AGAAATGGCTTTTAGTCTGATTAGCTAACAGCTAGTCGGAGCACACAAACTAGCTAAAAGAGCATTTTATGTGAAATATCCGTTAAAGATTTGCGTTGTATGTTATGGAAATATAATTGGATTTGTAGCTGCTTGTTTTGGGTTGATTTGTTTCACAATTTGATGTTTTAATTGTCTTGACTCTAGGTCGTTAATCTCAAGGAAAACATGTACAATGACATTTCCAATCAAAGCTTTCAGTCAGGTAATTGTGCGAACTTTCTAAAGCAACATTATGCAGTCATAGTTGTGGGAGTGTGTGTGTGTGTGTGTGTGGGGGGGGGGGGGGGGGGGGGAGCTTAAAGTGACGTTTGTGAAATTCTCTCCATGCCTTCATCTCCAAAGTCATCCAAACGCTGCAGATTCAGATGTTACTGCCTTGGTCAGACGGCGGCTGTAGCCTTTGTTCTGCCTCACCTCCGTCTGCTGGTGGCGCCATTACCTCGACACGTCACTGTGAAGACGATAGGAAGGTCAGTCGATGTGTACAACTTGGTTGATTACAGGGAATCTTCTGCATATTTCTTTCTACTACCTGTACTTCCTGGTTTCAGCATAATTTCTGCAGCATGCAAGTTCAACTGTTTAGACGATCCAAAACAAAGTCGTTTATTTTTAAAAACTCATGTTTCCAGTGCGCAGCATTATTTCTTTAATTCAAATCCTCCCATTGTGCTTAAAGCTGCAGTAGGAGGTCATCCAAGCAAAGGATATCCATCCATCCATTGTCTTTAGGACAAGGCAGGGTCGCTCGCGGGGGCTGGTGCCTGCTGCTTGGGTTTCACTCACAGGACTCTGCAGTCGTGTGAAACTCAAACGGTGGACAGGAAGTGTTTAGCTCCACAGCAAAACACAGCGGGGCGATGGATGCAAGCGATTTTTACTAAGGCTCTACATGACCCGGCACAGATGTGATGTCATGAAACAGTACATCTTCCTTTAGGGTTTGACCCATATAGTTTTAAAAGTCAGACGTTTTATACACTTTAGATGATTCACCCAGCGCTGAAGCGATCGGCATAACAAGCTACGTTTTGCTGACTGAACATAATTTATACCGGTTACAGTGTAGCGTCCAGAAATGGTCAGTTTTTCATCTGTGAAAAAGCAAAGAATCCTAATTCTTCTGATTAAACATTCAAAGATCAACCAGGTTGATATTCTATATTTATATAGAATATCACATCTTATTGGTCATAAGTAAAGGTAGTATATTAAACTTAAAAGCAACATATTATCCCTCTATGACAGTAATGATGAGGGTGTTTGAGTTTGACTGGGCACTTGGTCTTATTTATTTATTTGTTATTGTTGTTTTTATTGTTGTTGTTATTAATGCTATAATGCATGGTCACACATTGCTAGTAGGTTAGTTTTTTCAAAAACGTACTCAAGTAAATGTAGCGGAGTAAATATAACACGTTACTACCCACCTCTGGTTACCATATAACAATTTTAATAAGTAGGCGAATTAAAAATTGGCTTTTATTTATTTTTTTATTTCTTGATGAAAATTGAGGCCATTTTTATTTTAGGTTACACTAGCCAGCCGGGCTCTGGCTTTGCTTCCTGCTCAGCTGCTCCAAGTTGAGAAGCACGTTTCATTCACTTAGTGTTATGTGCCAACTCCGGGACGGGAGAGAGGTCCTACCTCAAGTGGAGGAGTTTAAGTATCTCGGGGTCTTGTTCACGAGTGAGGGTAGGAGGGATCGGGAGATCGACAGGCGGATTGGTTCGGCGTCTGCAGTGATGCGGACGCTGAGCCGATCTGTCGTGGGGAAGAGGGAGCTGAGCCAGAAAGCCAGGCTCTCGATTTACCGGTCGATCTACGTCCCAATCCTCACCTATGGTCATGAGCTTTGGGTAATGACCGAAAGAACGAGATCGCGGATTCAAGCGGCCGAAATGAGTTTCCTCCGTAGGGTGGCCGGGCTCAGCTTTAGAGATAGGGTGAGGAGCTCGGACATTCGGGAGGGACTCGGAGTAGAACCGCTGCTCCTCCGGATCGAAAGGAGCCAGTTGAGGTGGTTTGGGCATCTGGTCAGGATGCCTCCTGGACGCCTGCCTGGGGAGGTGTTTCGGGCATGTCCTGCCGGCAGGAGGCCCCCGGGTCGACCCAGGACACGTTGGAGAGGTTACATCTCCAATCTGGTCCGGGAACGCCTTGGGGTCCTGCCGGAGGAGCTGGTGGAGGTGGCCGTGGAGAGGACGGTCTGGAGCTCCCTAGTTGGGATGCTGCCCCCGCGACCCGGACCCGGATAAGCAGAGGACAACGACATTATGTGTAGAGGGGGTTGGGACAGTCAGAGGGCTATTTGATGGATGAGTTATAATCCAGTCATTAAGAACAGGACGTTCATAGTGATTGGATGAGGCATTTCCAGGATTTTATGTTTCAGAGTTGATTAAAATAATTCATTCTGTTGTTGAAATATTTAACTCATTGGTTGCCATCGATATGTGAAGAGCATTTAAGGCAGTAAGGTTATAACTAATACTTGTAATGGAAACTGTGATGATGCTTGATGTTCTGTGTTGAACTCAAAATAAACCTTCTGTCACGTTGGCTGGTTTCAGTTCCCCTGAAGGTTTCCTACAGCAGTAGTTCCCAAACTTTTACTTCTGGGCCAATCTCCTCAAATATTAGAACACTTAAACAAAAGTAAACAGATAGGTTACATTTATAAAAATCTACCACATCTTTTTGTTTAGTTTATTTCAATAGGGAGAGGTACAAGTACATAAAAAACAGTCAAACCGCAGCCCGCTTTTAGCTACAGCTAATTTCCACCTTTTGTCCCTAGACGGACTCGAAGAGGATTTAGAGTCAGTTTTCTTGCAATCAATGTTTAATTGATTTTTTTAAATATCAAAGCATCAAACCACATTTACGATGTAATAAAATTAGTTTTTTTAAAAACTGTATAAATATATTCAACAAAACTATCAATACATTTTCCAAAAAATGCCTCTGTGTGGGCGAGGAACCAAGTTTTCCAGTAGTTTTTAGACTTATCTAAAATAAAAAATAACACCACATTCTACTTTATTTCAGTAAAAACAAATGGAAATCATGAAACTGCCTTATGAAAAAGTGGGAGGACATGTTCCCCCTTCCCCCCCCCCAAAGATTACGTCTATGGCCATGGGTGGCACTGATGAGTCGAAGGCAAGACCGGATTCTGTGCCCATTCTAGATCTCGTGGCCGTGTTTTCTATCAAACGGGACATTACAGAAATAAATCCACGGACGTTGTCAGAAGTTTGCCGATACCCAGATCCCACGATGAACTTGTTTATGTGAGGATTTCCAGTTTTTCTTTAACTTTTTTTTTTTTATCTCAAAGGTGGTGGATATGGAGCTGTGCAACGATTTAGAAGGTGATGCCACAATGCCAGACTCGTCTGCAAGGACTGAAACTTTGTGCAAAGCATCTCAAGACCAAGAGTTCAAGCACCACAACCCTCGGGCTGGTTTAGTGCAACCTCATCGGCACACTATCTCAACAACCACAACCAGTTTGCCTCCTAAAGGCTCTGAAATCGTTTCTCCAGACACGACCGTCGCATCACTGAAATTTGAAACATCTCCTAGAATAAAAGAAGAGGCACCCACTCCCTCTGTAGACGTGTGTAAATCTGCACCTAAAGCGCCTAAACCCTCCTCCACCTGTGCTGCTACCGTCTCGGATGCATCACCCCAGTCTGCCTCCATGACAAATAAAAGTGCATCCAAGGTGAAATCGGCCTCTGGCGCTGCTGCTGCAAATGTTGGCAGCAGAAATGGTCCCAGAAGTGCGGAAGCATCTAAAGGTTCAGCTGCAGCTTCCGTGCCTGCTGCTAACGTGGCTAAACCTGTTGATGACTACCCCTCTGCTAAGACTTCTCATGTGAACAAATCAGAGGGAGAACATGCAAATGCGTACAAGAGGAACTCGCCTACGGCTCTTAGCCCAAAGGCCACCTTGCTTTCCAGCTCGGAACACAAGAACCGACACAAAGACCCCCCACACGTGTCTGCAACCAGCAAGACACCAGCCGGAAACCTCGCTAAAGTTGGCACGTTCACTTTGATTTAGTTCCGAACTCATTTCTCACACCTGCGTAGCTTTGCGCTAATCTGATTTGTTCCTTTTGTTTTGTAGGGGTGGATGAGCTGATTGTTGTGACGTGCGAAGGAAAGCAGCAGGTCTACTGTCGGCTGTGTTCAGTGAAGTTAAACTCATCCAGTCAGTATCACCTGACCAGCATTAACCACCAGCTTAAATACGTGAAAACGAAGTTCCCCAAATGGGTCGCAAAGGAGTCTGAACTGGAGGAGAAACTAAGCCATACGGTGGCCCTGTTGGCCAAAATTGAGAAAGGCTTGCCACAAATTCCGAACCCTCAGGTGATGCAGAACACATCGTTATACTCTGCACCGTTAACCCTCTATCACGACGGTTCAGATCTCTGAAGTCTGCTTACGAAAAACCTCAGTTGGGAGAAACGGATTAGTTCTGATTGAGGAGCTGATTACAAACGGAGTCTCAAACATTTCACAGGACTTAATGCTGCCATAAATCTCAACATTATTGTAATTCCTGGATGAGATATTATGACGTTCCACTCTGAAGTGCCGAAGTAGCTAGTGCAGCAGCTACGGTGACACAGGAGTTAAGTGCTCGCCCTGTAATCGGAAGGTTGCAGGTTCGAGCCCTGCTCAGTCTCTCGCTGTCGTTGTTTCCTTGGGCAAGACACTTAACCCGCTTTGCCTGCTGGTGGTGGTCGGAGGGACCGGTGGCGCCAGTGCTCGGCAGCCTCGCCTCTGTCAGTGCGCCCCAGGACAGCTGTGGCTACATCGTAGCTCATCCCCACCAGTGTGTGAATGGGTGAATGACTGATTGTGTTGTAAAGCGCCTTGGGGGGGTTCCAGGACTCTAGAAGGCGCTATATCAATTACAGGCCATTTACCATTTTTCCATAAAACCATTGGTGTGAATTTAAAAATGATTTTATGACATTTTTTGAGATTATAGAAACCTTTTGTAAGCGGCCTTAACTGAAATCTTAGCTAATCTGTCCAAACTGAGGCTCATTAAATTCAAGTACAATGAATCTTTTTCCTAATATTTATTAGTAATTTACCTCTTATATTACCTTTAATTTTCTAACGTTTCTGGTGTTTGAGCACAAAAAAATGCACCTACAAAACTACCTATAGAAATACTACATAATATTTCATATGTCCAATTTTTTTTTACATGAAGTTCATCCTTGGCTTCAGCCTTAACAAAATATAATAAAAAATGTGTGCGTTTCTGAGATTTAACCCCTTTATTGCCAGGTTTATGATCAGTACCAGAATTGTGGGGAAAAAAGTACAAAAATTTATAAATCAATTAAAAAAAATTGTGTTTTATGTTCAAATGACTTTTTTTGGGGTTAAACTGTCCCAGCCTTTGAAATGTCACAAATAGGCATAAACAGTTTTTGCTCACTGTATAGTTTTTGTGTAATTTCACGTTTTCTTAAAAAAAAAGAAAACCACAAGTTTAACCTTAGTGCGCAAATAAATGTAGACACAATTCTTCCTCATATAATATTTAATAACTCAATTTTTTTTACATGAATTTTGTCTTTGGCTTCCATCCTCACAAAGTATGATAAAATATTTGTGCATTCCTGAGATTTAACCTTTTTATTTCCCCCTTTGTTGTCAGGTGCATCATCATAACCAGAAATGTAAACAAATGAAAAAATATAAACATTTTTTGTGTGTTCTGTCCAGATGATTTGTTTTATGGGCGAATTTTCAGCACATTGGATTGTCATAAATGGTCAGAAAAATATTTTAATTTAATGTTTATTTGAATGCAATGTTAGTTATTTCCCTGATATACATAGGCAAAACGTGCAATCTAGTAGAAAACATAAAAATATCAGTTGAGTCTGCAAATGCCCTGACCCAGACAGAATAAAAAATATATACGCTAATATTTAGGTTTAATAGAAAAAAAATATTTACATGAAAGTGCAGTAACGCTACAAAAGGGAATTTAAAAAAAATATTTTTAGTATTTCCCCCAAAATACACATTCTCCCAAAAAAAAAAAGATAAATTGTTGCAGCATAGCCAAAATAATTCACAAAAATACACCTGTCTGCGCAAAAAAATGCACTTAGGACATAAAAGGCCTAACCCTGTTAAAGAGGTAGAGATCTTAAAGCTGCCTTCTGGAGTTTTCCTCTTTCAGAAATTAGGTATGATTTGTCAGAAATCCGTAAAAGTGATTATCTTATGTACTGTGATATAATATAATCAATACGTCTTTTATTTCTTTTTTTGCTAAGCACGCCCCCTGCCCGGCAGAAGGAAACTGAGCACCGACCAGAACGCGTTAGACTGCCGCTTAGGCGCTTGAAATTTAAGGAAGTACCTCGGTTGATGCAGAGCCGATGAACTTTTCACGGACAAGAAAGTCTCTAAAATATAAATGTATGAAAACACAACACGACATGAGAATAATACTCGTAAAACATGTTTTAGCTGTTTGTCGGCTAAGACGCACGTTTATAAACAGAAACGTGAAGTCGCCATCTTAAAAAAGAACAGGAACAGCGTTTTTGTGTGATATGCTTGTCAGCCACTAGATGGTGCCATCGGATAAGAGAAATACTCCGGAAAGAAGCTTTAAGTGATCTCCTGTGTTTTGTAAAAAAGCAACATGGCTGCCTTTAGGTATTGTTCATTGTGTTGCTATTGTTTGTTTTCTAGAAATTGGAAGTCAGTAAACAAGAGTACTTAAACCTGGGACGTCTGTCAGACAAGAAAGGTAAAATCATCCCTAAAGACCAAGTTCACTGAGAAACCATTTATGGGTGGTACGCTTGAGTTTCACATGCAGGCTGAACGTGAAAATGGTCTTCTACCCCTATTTCCTGCATTAGATCAAGATAAAGAAAGCTTTACACTACAGTGCATCGGTTATCCATTCACACACACGCTGATGCTTTTAGTGTCAAGGAAAGAGCAGAGAACATCTCGGCTGGTAGAAGCTAACTGTTGGCATTAGCAACTCAACCCCACAGCAGAACTCCTCCAGGCTTGAGTTGTTTGTGGAGCTAAAACATCAACGTTGCAAAGCAAACACGTCAGTGGTAGAGTTGTGTTGCTGTTGGCCAATCAGAGGAGAGATATCCAAATATCAGGAAATCAAACTCCAAACCCTGTCATCTCCTGTCTGCTCCAGTTAACTTCTGGTTCCTGAAACAGGAGCGCCAGAGCTTTCCCCCACAGAGATCGACTCACAAGGCACTCATTTACAGTAGAGACCGCAGCCGATGGGTTGAACTTGGTCTTTAAACTTTTCACAACAAACTATTTCAGTCTGGAAAATCTCTTTTTATCTAAATATGATTTAGCTTTACGAATGCGATTATCACAATAAATCCTATTAAAGAAAATGGATCTATTTCTTTTGTGATTTTTCCCTCTTTTATTCTCAGCTGTGGAGAAAGTGATGGAGATGGGCAAACTGAAGAAGTCGCATGACTCGTGTCCCACCGCTGATGCTTCAGGGCCTCTGAAGCCGGAAATCTGCAGCCCATGTGAAGTTTCGAGCTCCGACGACGGTAAATTTAAAGGCTATTAATAATGATCTGGTTATCCTCCCTTTTGTGATGCTGCAAACCTGTTTCCGTTTGGTCTCAGGGATGCTTGTTTCTCGTGATGAGACGATGAGATGTGACCAGAAAAAGCAGGAGGATAAAAACCAGCACCAGACAGCGGTGGTCCAGTTGTCAGGTCAGAACTCAAACATGGCTCACTTTGTTTACAAAACCAGAAACTTTTGCAGATTTTAAGTGTTTACATTGGTCGGAAACAGAAATGGAGTCCGGCGAGCTTGAAGATCAAAATCTGGCTGCGGGTGATTCCATCAGGGACCGGTTCTTAGATGATGATGATGATGTGATGGAGATGTGCGTCACAAAACCCATCTGTTCACCTGGCTTTCATTCTGAGGACGTGACAGGTATGATATCCTTCATTTAGTTGAAAAGGATCCCTACTAACATTAGTTCACACTACAGGAATCTAAAATGGATGGACAATTTTCAAACAGGACAGACCACACGTGTGGCAGTTTAAATAATCACGTGCTCTTGAGTGGACCACAGCGCTTTAACACACCACATATGACAGGATTATCTGATAAGATTATCTTTAGAGACCTTATATTAATCTGGCACGTTTAAGATTGTTGGAAGGGGTGGATCAGGTCATATATTGGCTGGATTAGCTGGGCCTTATGCCTGAGCTCTGCGTCAGTGCGGAGACACGCAACGCCCTTATCCGTCCTTGCGGGCCTGCTGGAGAGCCTCCACAAGGACGGGCGGAGTCGAGCTCTTTTCTAAACATCCGTCCGTCGAGACGGAGAACGCAAGCTTGTGGTTGGTCAGGGCGCCGCCATCGCGCCCTCAAAAACATAAAGAGAGCCAAGGATAACTAGCGGCAGACACTATCTTGGACCGGATGCATGACAGGATACCACAGAACAGTGCTGCGCCCTCTGCTGTCCTGGCGGGGAATTGCTTTGCAACACTCCCCAGGAGTATGAGGGTAAAATGTCTCCGTCCGTGCGTGTCTCTCCCTTTTGGAGCTGACGGAGAAGCATGACTCAGGCTTTAGACTCCTGATGGAGCGATCTGAGTCAGAAATGGGTTCGGCTTCATGTTGCCACACCTTCATTTGAGAGATCTGAGAAGCCTTTCCTGTTGGGGGGTGTGCAGACTGAGACAGCTCTCTTTGAAATGAGATTTCATGACAGAACTTAAGAAAAAGTTTAAAATTTGAGCCAAATTGGATATACTTTTGTTTCAGAAATGTGCCCGGAGACGATCGTACAGGAAAGTCCTGCAGAGGACCCGTTACTCAGACGCCACGTCGGTGAGGAGGCCTGGCGTCAGCAAAACCCCGTCCTGCATTCTCAGACTAACGCTTTAACGGGTTTGTTCTGAGGTTTGATGTTAATCTTTACTCGCAACCTCATCTGGACTGGATGTTTTCATCGCCTTTGTTCTAATTCCACAGAAGCCGAGGTGGTGAGCGATTCCCGCCGTTCGGAGCGTCGTTTTGCTCCTGAAAGACAACGAAGGAAGAGTGATTCCTGTGGGCAGCAGGACCAAAGTCCACAAAAACGTTCACCTGTTCAGCGCTGCCGCCTGCAGCTGCACACCGCCGCGTCAACATCAGAACAGCAGAACCCGTCGGGACCAATCCGTAAAGCAGAAGCTGGCGAGCAGAGGGTGTCCCAGGCACAGACCACAACTTTAGTGGGTGAGTGTTCAGCCGTCGGGTTTGATTTCAGGTTGAGTAATGAGCTCATTTGCAATCTTCTGCTGTCTGCTACAGGAGGGAAAGCTCGAGGCTCCAGTTATTTGTCCCATTACCTAAAAGCCCTTAAGCTGGAAACCAAACACGTCATCGGTAGGTCTCCTTCACGGCTTCGCCTCCCCGCAGCTGGCTGTCACGTTGTGTAACGCGTCTGAAATAATGTGCTCACCAGGCATGGCCTCTGTGTGGGAGTGTCGAGGATTTGGAAATTTGAAAACCTTTTTTCTGTGTGAAAGCTGTGAGATGACGCTCTCTCGACAAGACATCTGCCAGCACATGGTCAGCCTCGACCACCAGCGGAAGTACCTGGTAGGTGTCGCAACCACGGACCCGATCGCCGTGGAGCTCGGAATGACGGGTTGGTGTGTTTTCCAGGGGAAGTACCACTCAGAGGTGATGTACTGGCAGGAGTTGGATGATCTCCCCCAAAAGTTACAAATGGACATATTTTTAAATGACATCATCCAGCCAATCGCAGAGCGGGAGTTAACTTTCAAGATGGACGCTCAGGTATGTCGCTAGACCCATAGATGACCACATCTCGTGTGATGAAGGAGGTGAATGTTTGTCTCTTCTCTCTCAAGTGTTTCGTGCTGAGTCCAGAGCTGCACAGACTTGTTTGGACTTCTCCGTTCGATAAAGGTGACGACGACCCTCTCCTGTTCACTGATATGGTCAAAATAAAAACACTTTGTAATTCTCTTTTGGTGTTTTTGTAGCTTTAAAGATGGTGAAAGACCTGAAAGGCGAAGAGAACCCAAGTGTGCTCAGTCTACTGGCCTGTGCCTCCCGGCAGAGTGAGTTCCACCTGATAACTCGTGTTTACAGCTGCACGTCTGCCTAAACGCAGCCTAGTCAACCAGACACATGCAAATGTTCACTCATGCACTTGTCTAAAAGGTTTGAGTTCAGACTCATTTCTTTAGATTATCCTATTTTGGCTTTCGATTCAGACTGAATCGAAAGCCAAATGTAAACGGAAGTCTGTGAACGACTGCAAGTCACCCCCAAATCAACTTTTTTTTCTAACATAAATGTGTGTCTAATCGTGCTGCAGACACGTGTAGTCAACAGTTTTGCACTTTAGTGCATTTTAGTTAAAATTTAAATTTTCTGCCTAAAACTGTCAGTGTTGTGCCGTTGTCAGGTAAAAACTCTGCACTGCATTTGAATTTAAATCTGCCATCCCTATTGGCTAAGAGGTACCCTAGAATGTTAGCTGGTACCATATGATGTCACAATGTCGTTGTGAGCCTGTGTGTGTGTGTATTTGTTAGCGGCTCCGCCCGCTCGGTCTGCTAGGCAACAGCATTTGTTGCATTTTACAAATATGAAGTGGGAGTGGAGTAATACTCTGGTAGGGGGTGACTTGCTCTTTAAATCTTCAAAACTCGGATCCACAAAAACATAACATGAGAAATTTTCTGAACATCTAAAAGTCAGAAATTGTTAAAAGAAGGTAATTAAACCAGGGTAATGCCACTATTAAAGGAGCATTATGTAAGAATTCTACAGTGAAATAATCACAGAACAGTCTAATGTCTGTCGTGTTGGAAGGAAGGAAATACTGAAACACATTTTATTCTCTGGGGCGGGGGTGTTGTCAGTTTTTCTCCTTTCAAATAAAAAGAGGGACGTAGTTACCGTTTACACTCAGTGAGCCCGTGAGGTTACAGAGTGTTCCAAGCTAACGCTGCCGCACCGGCATTTGTAATTCAACACCAGCAGGCAAAAAGCTCCAGAGTTGTTTAAAGAGCTGAAGCCAGTAAACAGGAGCGACCCAGAAGTTATTTCTTGAAGTCACGGCATCTTTTTATTTTACTTTAATATCAGGTGAAGCAGACCGGAGACTAACGTTGAGCTAACAATTAGGGCTGTCGCGGTTGAGGAATTCCCCCTGCGGTGATTCAGGGTGGCTTAATATTGCGGTGTGCGATATTATTGCAGCCCTTTTTTATTGCAGTACTATCTAAACATAATGTTTACACATTTAAAAAAGGTTAAAAATTGCTGTGCCTTCTTTAATAACACTTTACTGAATGCAGATCAAAGGGCAGTAACAACACAGATCGCAGTAACGTTTGTTTCTCCGACAGTCAGAGTCCGACTGAACTTAAAAACAACAAAATTCAGGAGAAGGTTAAACTGTTAAATGCAAATTTGGCTGCAGCATCTAACAAATAAGAAACAAGTCCCCATTTTGTTTAGTTGTTTAAAATCAAGCATAAAAAATTACATGTACCAGGCGCGCGGGCGCACTATCATTTCACTTTCACACACACGAATGACGGTGATTTATAGCTCGGTCACGTCCTTGTTACATACAAGGAAAACCAGCATGTTAACCATATACGGTTTGAGAGAGGATCTGAGAGGGGTGGCAACATTTCCAGCAACACTGAAAACCCTCTCGGATGGTGCGCTCGTTGTACTAACACACACACCTGCGTGCAACTCTGGCGAGCAAAGGGAATCTCTCCCGGTTGTTGCTCCACCGTGTCACGGGGGGTTTCTTTAGGGTGGATGCATTCCTCCTGCAGGTAGCGAGTGAGCTCCAGCTCAGCTCAAGCTCTCTTCGGGACGGTTGCAGAAGCAGTGCTTGTCCGGGACTTCAGCAGGTCTCCGAGCGTTTATTATTATTTTTTGCCGCTGGTGGCAGCTCTGTCTCGGCCAAGGACTCTGGCTGCGCAGCAGCTGACGTACTGAAAACCAAAGTGCTCCCAAAGGAGCGAAGTAACGTTTCGTTTTGATACCAGTGCAGCCATCCTTCTCAACATGCATCATTGAGTTGAACCAAGTTCAGTAATCGCGGTGGCCCATGATGCAGCGCGGTGGGCTTCTTCATATTGCGATATTTCATTTTTGCGGTTACCGCGACAGCCCTACTAACAATGCTAACGGTGAATTGGAAACAACCACACTTCCTCTAATGGCTGAGAAAAACTACCGTAATAAGCGTAATAAGCTCTCCCTATTGTAAAACACCCAAGAGTGCTAACACCAGAGAAGACAATGTATTCATCTACTTATCAACTTGGTGTGTATGACTCGTCTTCGTTTGTCAGCTAGCATCTTCTGGTGCTGATCCATAACGAACATGAAACTCAGTGACAAAGTAGCTTCATTGCGTAGAAAACTGGCTGCAGTACCCATATTTGACCACAGGATGTCATTCATGCTTCATTCCTGCATAATGCACCTTTAAGTCGCCCTTAAGGGTTTATTTTCTGGGCCACATGTACGTTTTTAATCTACTTAATTTTAGTTAAAGAAACTCTAGGATACAAGAGAACGTTTATTTCAAAAATGTCAAGGCAAGGTGAATCCATCTACTCCTTCACCGGTTGTCCCTGCAACTCCTCGCCCACGCCTGCTCATTCATTTAACGAGCGGACGTGGGCAAGGACTCTGGGTTTTTATCTTATCTCCTGGACTCTCAGCCTCGTACATTCCCACGGGATCAGACCTTCTTCCACACCTTTCATCTTCCTGTTGTTCCATCCGTGTCCTTGAATCCTGTAGCTCTGGGTGTTTTGTCTCTGGTCTACTTTACTACCTTTGTGTGTGAAAAGCTGAAGGCTTCAGTGTTAAATCTATTTTCTCCTCTTTTGTTTTGAGTCTCTGTAATTAACATGTTTCTACTTTTATCTGATCCTAATAGTTTATTCATGAATGCAGCTGTTAGAACAGTTAACCAAGGGGCTGTGTTTTGTATTTTAAATCCTGTGTTACTAGTATAAATATGCTGTTACACAACATTTTCTTCCTGTTGACAGACCGGCTGAGTGAGGACTCGCCGTCGGCTCAGACAGTTGAGAGGACCCAGTGGTGAGGATGAAGGCCGTTATTTATAATTATTATTTAATCTGTGATGTTTTTTTGATTCTGTGAAAGAAAGAAAATATTCAGATGTGAACAAATATTTTACTTTAAAAACAAATTTTATGCAAATGGTCTTGTAGCAATACATATATATATATATATATATATATATACATATATACATATATATATATATATATATATATATATATATATATATATATATATATACATATATATATATAATAATTATTCTGACGATTATTTTATCGAATAGTCGACTATTCTAATGACTATTTAGATGATTAATCTAGGGATTATTTTTCTATTAATTAATTAATTAAGCAAAACCAGAAAATCTAAAATAAATTCCTCAAAAAAGTGATACATTGTTACTGTAAGAGAATAAACACTACAGGCCTTCCATTTTGTATAACACTGCTTTTACTGTGTTGCGGTTGGTTATGTTCTGGTGACGTGTGCTTGGGAGTGCAGGCTGCTGCCTGAGAGGTGGTTGGAGACGGGGTGTCTCCATGCTGCTTTGTTTTGGTCACTTATGTGCGTGAGGCGAGTGGTGTTACGACCCTTCCTGGGGAGTTGGGCTCGTGTGCAAAAAGGAAGGGACAATAACGGGATTTAAAAGCTAAAATGATGATCAGGTTTATTTACAACTACAAAAAAACATAAATCTTTCCATCCACAGGTTGGGAATAATATAACTAATTCTGCCTGTGGGGAATTAAAACAAAAGTACTAATAGGTAGGGATGTCCCACTGGGCAAAGACTACTGGGTTCTGGACCAAAATAAGGATCTCCGAAGGTCCAAACTCTAAACTGGGTGGTTAAACCAAACTTAAGGTGATATTTTAAACTAAACCGAAAACCCACAACACTCTAACTGTAATAAAAGGGAGATCTGCACCACAAAAAAGAGGAACTCTAAACCAAAACGTAACAGCTTATCCAAACGCAAGAAGCTGTTAGCGAAGATGCTAACAGTAGCTTTACCAACGTTAAGTTCAAGTTACCAAGTTTAAATAAACCAAAAACACCCAGCAGCAAACAGACCAGCACGGAGGAGAGACCGCTACCACCAAAACAGCTCTCCTGATGTCTGAAAGAAGCTCCTTTATGAAGGGAAAAACGCTCCCGGTGATTTTCTACATCTGCAGTGGAGACGGAGCAGCGCATCTGACCCCGGAAGTTGTTGTTCGTTGCCGGGAGACGAAGGCGGACAAAACACGAAAGGAATCTAGTAGCGGACGGACATTGTTCAGGGTCTTCGGTATTTGGTGGAGATGTTAGTGAAGGCGGAGAAGATGGCGAACTGGAGGAAAAACAGACAGATTCCTCCTCTATTTACAAACTCCTGGGGATGCAACAAGTGGGCGTGGTGCGTCCACTACCAGATCTGACGTGGACGAATTTTTAAAATCGAGCCGTCGACGTCATCGATGCGTCGCTACAGCCCTATTAATCGGGGCACCACCCAGTTTTGTCTGTGTGAACTGGGACACTGGTTTTAATATTTATCTTCTTAATGTAATCAGTCTCAAAGTTGACCCCACATTTTTAATCTGAAAGCTGAATTCTTGTCAGAATGCGCCGGCTATTCTCGAGATGGCTTGGCCAATGATCGGGCACGATTTAAGTTTTGTGAATTTATTACAAACATCGGTTACAGAAAGAACCAAACACAGCTTATTGTTTCATGCATGAGGATACGTAAGTGAATAAACCAAAGCTTTATGACAGTGCTATGACATACCTAGTCTGTAATAAGGTGGAGATTTGGTGACACATGGTTATAGTAAATATTAGGAATAACTTCTGTAAAGGGGAACAATTGAGCATGTGTGTGTGTTCCTATGGTATAGGAATACAGGAGTGTGTGTGTGTGTGTGTGTGTGTGTGTGTGTGTGTGTGTGTGTGTGTGTGTGTGTGTGTGTGTGTGTGTGTGTGTGTGTGTGTGTGTGTGTGTGTGTGTGTGTGTGAATAATGATTCATGAGCGGCAGAGAAAGAAAGTAAATCTTGAGCGATAAACTGGAATTGGGATCGGGAGTAACAAGCCATAAAGTTTAAGTCTGAATTCACTAATCGAGCTTATCAGGAAAAGTCAGCCAGATGAAAATGATTCACAGACCCAGGGATGACCAAACGTAGGCTGTGGTAAGCCTGAGGAGCCCCGTGGGGTGGTGCTTTCAGGGACTGTAGGAATTTTGGCCTCTGAGTTGGCCAACGGGCGTCTGTGGATTGGAGAATGATGCGTTCCCACATTGAGTGCGTTTACATGCAGCCAGTAACCCTTTTAAAACCCGAATATTCACAATAACCCGGTTCCGCAGGTCCATGTAAACACCGCCATAAACCCGGCTATGCTCATAACCGGTTACTACACCTGGGGTAACCCCTTTCTAACCCGAATGTTTGGTCGTGTAAACGCATACCGGGATATCCCCATCAAAGCGTGTGTTCTGCGCATGCTCTGTTCGCAAGGAATCTTGGTCTTTTGAGTAGCGAGACGTCTTGCATGCGCCAGAACACCGGAAGTAAACAACAAGTTGGGAGCAACATGGCGAGTCGCGGCACAGCACCACACTTTTGGAGTGACGAGGAAACTAAAGTGCAAACAAACGCTGTCGCTATCTCTTCCGAACTGGGAAACATGTTGTTGTTTTCACGGATACCAGAACAAGAAGAACCGGAAATGAGGCATAGTGCGTCTGGACGTAGTCCATACGTCCTGACGCTACCCCAACGTCCGCATTTAAATCGGGTTATGCAAGTTAGGGGTAACTCTTTCTATTTATGCTTGTAAACGGGTTATTCTGATCAACTCAGAAACCCGAATGCCAACCTTATCCCGATCATAACCCGGATATTGGCTGCATGTAAACGTAGTCATTGTGGCTTGACTTTAAGGTCCTCAACTCAGCTGCACCGAAACGTGGAATTCAGAGCGCGATTCCAGATTCACAAACGGTGCAGAATCAGAACTGTTCCAAATTGTTTTCAACTATTAATGCCTTGACGAACACGCAGACTTCCGGTTTCTCGTAGGAAATCAAACAAAACAATGGAAATTCATGTCTTAAACCAGACAATATCACTTTGGCATGATTTAGAACTGGTGAAACACAAACTGACAGAAGTTTAACATAAAAGAAAACAAAACAAACAGTTTAGGTCTGTGGCTGATAAGATTCCAATTTAGAGCACCTTGATTTCTATTTTAAGGGTTAACAACCTAAACACCTTCTTTGATTCTAGATAAACAGAAAAATACCAGGGTTCTGATGAAGGCTGAATCCTGGAATCTTCTAGCCTAGTGAACTAGACCAAATTCTTGCTTTGCAAAGTCTAGGCACACTCCATTGGAACCTCCGCAGCTCCTACCAGGACTCTGGCTAGCCAATCAAAGCTCTCTAGAGGGGTTTCAAACACATAAAGAGCTGTGATTGGTCCATAATGGTGGGCCAGTCATAGTGCTCTATCTGCTTAGTGAACAAATCACAGAGCTTTATCCGCTTTGTGGGCCAATCAGGGCACTCTATATGCCTGGTGGGTGGGATGATGCAACAGAGTGAAACAAGAGGATGTCACATTCATTGTCCAGTGGAATGCGGAGATCATTTGAAAGACAACGATAGAACCCGCCCCACAACCGAGAGCCGTCAATGGAGCATGGCCAGACTAAATAATACATTTATTTAGTCTGGCTTGTCAGGCTAGGAATCTTCCAGAATAACCCTTGAAAAGGTTTTACGAGCATTCAAACAAAGGGGAGAGCCCGTCTTGGCAGGTTGAGCTAAGCCAGAACATGTCCTGATGAAGTCCAGCTTCTCAATTGCTTAAGGAGGGAGACAAACGAGTCACTTGGTAAAATTTACGTTCCTGGGAACAAAATGTAGAAGGTAGCCAGATGTTGAAGTTGTGGGCCAGTCTCAAATTTCCCTTTTTGTTTCCTTCTGCTAAATGTGAGAGGAAAAACTTTGTGTGGAAATGTTATTATCGTTCTGCTCCGCTTGGATCCCGATAAAGTTAACTGAGAATATAAAATGTGGATTTCCGCTACATTCTTTTAAAAATGACAGATGCTAGTTTTAAAAATCCTCTTTAACTCATTCGCTGCCGGCCGTTTCCTGATCGCTAACGGCCTTTGCTGCCAGCGATTCTCACCGTTTTTACTGTTTTTTTAAGTGACAGAACGTTGCGCGCTAGGATGATGTCGACACCAAAACAAAGCGGAGACTCACCTCTTACATCAGGAAGAATCCGCGTGTTTCGAGCGTTATCCGTTCTTTCATAATTCGTTGTTGAATTGTGATCGGCAGACGCTTTTCCGGTTCGCGCCTCACTTTTTTTTTTTACAGGAACGGCCCAAAACGATCTCCTAACACATGGATGTTCTGCTTCCTGATCACGCGACGTGTGTCGTACGCGGATGAAGTTCGGCTTCAGGGCTGAGATGTTTGTTCTCTCAGAGCGGGGGCTCGTTCCGATGCTCAAACAGTTAAAAAATGAGTTAAAGAGCAAGTCATCCCCTTCCAGAGTCTTACTCCACTTCCTGTTTGAAAAATGCAAAAAATGATGTTGCCTGGCAGACTGAAAGGGCAGAGATGCGAACAAATACACACACAGGAACACAACGACTTTTGTGACCTCATAATGTACCAGCTGACATCATAGTGTACTTCTTAGCCAATAGTGATGGCAGATTAAATTTAAATGCAGAGTTTTTACCTGACAACTGTGCAACACTGACTGTTTTAGGCAGAATATTTAAATTTTAACTAAGATGCACTAAAGTGCCAAATTAGTGACTGCATGTGTCTACAGTGATAGAGAATAATTGTAATGCAGCTTTTATGTGATTACACACTTTTATATTCTGCTGTGTGTGCGTGTGCGTGTGTGTGTGTGTGTGATCCAGCCGAAGGTCAGGATGTCCTCCTGGGGCTGGTTTTAGATTTGCTTGTCAGCTCCTTTTCCTGTAGACTGCCGGACACGCATGGATGGGAGTGAGACCAAATGTTGCTACAGATTAGAGTTGTTTCCCTTTTTATGGTAACTAAGGAATGTGCTGATGCGTGTGCTTTTTACTGAATAAAAGAGACTCCGAGAGGTTTTCTCTGAGATTTGATTAACTCCAAACTGGGCCAGTTCGTTCTTGAGCCCCCTTCAGACTGGCCATGAAAAACGGAAATGTTCCGGACTCTGTCCTAAGACCTTTGTGTCTGAATACAAACATCCGGATAACGTGTTCCGGAATTTAACCGGACGAAGCCCCTAGTAACAGGTCCGGACTTGTTACGGACAGGGTGGCTGCTTCAGACTGGTGAGGTAGAGTTCCGGACAAGGAGGGGGAGGAGGAGGGGACCGGGGGACGCTGTGCGCACCTATATAGCCCGCTGCTGTAGCATGCGGCGAACCACGGCAGCTCGCCTCCTACGGTACCGCCTAGACGCGCGACGGAGCGCTTCACACCGCTTCAGTGATTCCTTTAACCATTGAGCTTCATCGTCCAGGTCTCTTATGCGTCTTCGTGTGCGCAGAATTATGCTTAAGCGCCTCGTGATTTTTATCTTGAGAGGCGCTATAGAAATGATATTTTCTTCTTAACATAAGTCCGATTCTACCCACCCCACCCCCCGCCGCCGTCAGACATCTGGAACTTTTCCCTGCTGTGTGAACGCAGCCGAAAGGACAAGTTCTGGTACAAAAGTGGTGTGTCTGAAAACACAGCTCCGGTTAAAAACCGGATTGAATTGTCCGCAAATTTTCCAGAATGTCTATCTGAAAAGGGCTTTGGTTTTCACGTTTCTCCCTCTGCAAAGACAGAAACATTTCAGCTCTCACCTGTGTTTGTGATTCACTCTAGGTAACCTGTGCTGCTAAAATAACCCAACAAACAGCATGGCTAGACACTCCTTTATATATAGTTGATCAGCAAAAAAAGAAGTTGATTTGGGGGTGACTTGCTCTTTAATTTTGACAAAAATTCCACTTTTTTTTCTGTGTCTGTCTAGTTTTGGGAGGAGGACCGGGCGTGGAGACAGAAGAGCCCAGAGTCTGGACGTGACCCCTTCCTGCTCTACAGTTGATCCTGCCAACTCTCCTGGTTCCTTTTAAACCAGGAAAGGACCAGCTGATGCGTCTCTTCTCAGATTTTGCACCGACAACCCACTGGAACAGCTTTCAGTTCCCCACACCTGACCCAATGAATGTTAACGCTGAATCTCTACCTCAGTTGCCCCTGCTGGGACTCACGATCCTCACCAGCTGTGGACAACAATGTTTGCAGGTCTCTATGATGAGACAAAGTCATTTCATGACGGCTTGCCTCTGAACGTTCTCAGAAGGAAAAGCAGGGTGTGAGATCTGTTTATGGAGGTTCTGGCTCTCCAGATTTTATTTTCCAGACTTGCAGCTTTATACCAAAACTCCATCTTCCCACCCAAGGTCTCTACTGGGGCATTATTTAGCAGCTCTAGTATTACTCAGTTTTCTGTCAAACGCATTAATCCTAAATATTGACCAGTTCTATAAACTTTATTTGTGTTTTTAAGGCACAAAACTGCATTCAGGTTAAAATTGTTCTGATTACACTTTGAGAAGATGGATGTTTTTATTTTCTTTAATCTGTTCTTGGCTGACGTGCAGCTAACTGGTTTCAGGTTTTGTAGCGTCTTTATCATTAAAAGCATTATGGTATTTGTATGCACAACATTTGTTGAATGTTAAATATATATGTATGTATATTTTTCTAACTATTAAAGTTTCAAAAATGTACTTGAGCCTATTTTTTTAGAGCAGTGATTTGTGCAGATGTAGCGTAGACCAGGCCTGCTTCATCAGTGTGCCGCTCATGACCGGGGTAAACGAGAATGAAATATCTCCTGACTTATCGAGCCTAACAAGCCAAGGTCCTTTTACAGGAGACGAGAATTTTATCTCACTTAATAAATATATTTTTGTTTCATAAAATGTTTCCAAACTTTACAAATAATTTTCAGTTTATCTAAAGTGACTGCTTCACAGTAATGGATGAATCAACATAATTGTTTATTCTGGAAAGGATGTTTTATTAGATCTTAAATACACCAAATGAGTACTTGTTGAATTGTTTAATGATTTAATATCAGCATATTCACATATTTTATAATTAAAAGTGAGTTGGATAAAAGTATTTTATGTTAATGCAGTTTAATGAATCTTATTTACCAACATATCTTAATTGTGTACCCTAAAGCTTTACGTCTCCGTTGTGCCCTCCATTTTGAATGACGCACTGGCACGTAAATAATCCGTAAGCGCAAATAGCCGTTAATGAGCTGTAGTGAAAATAACGGTTTTAACGTTTTATTTATATGTCGGTGGGTTTTACGCGCCTTTGGGACGACTACTCGGATTTAAAGAGGTAAGCACGTGGCCGCATATACCGAACTAAGTACACATAGGGAATAAATCTAAACCCCACCACCAAATCTGAAAGTAAAACTTATTTTACAGTTGGCTAACGGGCTAGCCGTGTCAGCAATGTTTGTGCTAACTTCTCGCTAATTTCTAACAGTTACGTGGAAAACCGCTTTTAATTTCGTCTGCGTTTCTAGCTAGTGAAACGTTAGCGCTAGCTTAGCAATCGCTAACTAAGAAATAGATGTTTACACCTTTATTACAACATTAAATGTGGTTCATTTTTGCAGCTTTAATAGAAACATGTTTAGGGCATTTTTATATATGTAAGGCTATCAAGTTATAGTGTGGAAACATAATTGTTTCATTTTATAGCATGAACGAATCAGTAATCTTTATTAAATTGTGTAAAATGGGACACTCAAGTCAGAGATCTTTAAAGAGCAAGTCACCCCAAACCAAGGTTTTTTTTTTTGCTGATAAACTATATAAATGAGTGTCTAATCGTGCTGTAGACAAGCATACTCAAAAGTTTTGCACTTTAGTGCGTTTTAGTTAAAATGAAAAATTCTGCCTAAAACTGTCAGTGCTGTGCCGTCATCAGGTAAAAACCCTGCACTGCATTTGAATTTAAATCTGCCATCGCTACTGGCTAAAAAGTACACAATAACGTTAGATGGTGCATTATGATGTCACAATGGCCTTGTTCGAGTTGAGCCTGTAAAACAGATGAGAGCAGACGGACGCAGCAGGGGGAGTGGCTGAAAGCCGGCGTTTAAGTCGGACAGATTTCCCCACATGTAGATCGCAGGTGATGATGGATGAAGATATCGCGTTAGTGTTCATACTTGTTTAATGTTTTATTTTAATTCTGGTGCCTGTTAGCAACTGAAACACATCCTCACATGCTTGTGGATGTCATATAATGTATATGGAGACATGACTGTAATAATAATTAAAGGTTATCAGCTGTAGGTAGAGCCCTGCACGAGCCTAAAATCTGAGCCCGTGTCCGGCCCGGCCCGAGGGGGTGGAACCCCAGCCCGACCCGAGCCCGAGCCAGACTTTTTTTTTTAACCTTTCATAATGTGTTAGCGTGATAGAATGCTCCGCATTCTCATTATCTGTGTGAAGTGTTCTGCAGTAAAAAAAAGAAAGAAAGAAAAACAGCATTCATGTAGCTTTTTTTTTCTAACAGAGTATTTTTCGAGCGGCAGATGAAATTTACGAACACCATATTAATTGGATGCGTTTGTAAATTTAATCTGCTCTGAAAAGGCGCTCTTGTGCAATTAGAAAACAAGCAGCATTCTAATTTTCTAACTGCAGAGCACATATTAAGAGCGGCAGATTAAATAAACGCCCCCAGTTAATAAAGCGTTTGTGAATTTAATCTGCCGCTCTGAAAATGCGCTCTCCAGTTAGAAAACAACCATCAATGAATGCTGTATTTTTTTAACTGCAGAGCGAATTTATTCACAGAAAAATAGAATGCTGCCGTTTTCATGAGAATAAACGAATGGTTTCTGACATCAAAGTGGACATAAAACGGCATATTAGAATAGGGGCACATGTTTCAATCAGCAGTTTGAGAATTTGTTTATATAGGCACATTTATAAACCACACAGAGCTTAACTGAGCTAACGGGTGCCGGTGCGTGAGAAGCAGGCAGGTGCTGCTGCGTTCAAGTGTTTCAGTTTTTTTTAATGAATTCGATTAAAAATAAAGGCGCCCGGCCCGTGTCCGAGGTAATTACACAGTCGTTGGCAAGAAGCCCGGCCCTCGGGCCGCCGGGCCGACCCGCGGGCCTAGGGCTTCAGTGCAGGGCTCTAGCTGTAGGTTTAGTGTGCCCATAGGAAACGTGACAAAAGAACTCAAAACACATTTCTCTTTATGGCCTATCTTGTTGTCATCATCAACGTAACATGATTTACAGAATACATGTGACCTACTAACATTTCTCATTCTACCACCGGATGTTTGGATCAAAATGTGAACCAATCGGATCTTAGATCAGGTGAGAGCCAGGCGTTTCCAGTCAACCCCTAGGTTTTGCAGCCGGTGGAGAGCAACTGCAGCGCCTTGATCCAAAATCTGCGGCCGCCTTGATCTCACGAGGTTATCGTTGCCTACGTATGCATGACGTCAGAGCAAGTCGGCGTCAAGTCGGACACAAATCCAACCGGCAAGCACTGCTCGCCGATCGCCACTGGTCTAATCTGCGCAGAACTGGCTCATCTCGAACACGGCCAATGTCGTTGTGAGCCTGTGTGTGTGTGTGTGTGTGTGTGTGTGTGTGTGTGTGTGTGTGTGTGTGTGTGTATTTGTTAGCGGGTCCTCTCGGTCTGCTAGGCAACGGCATTTGTTGCATTTTTCAAACAGGAAGTGGGAGTGGAGTAATACTCTGGTAGGGGGTGACTTGCTCTTTAAGAATACAATTATAAAAGCTTTGAATAAATGGTTGAATCAGAGAATCTGTGATGTTTATTGCATCGTGTGATTAAAACATCATCAAAACTTATAGATTTAAGTTATTAAATGATATAAAATAAGTATTTAGTCTCCCTGTGTGATTACATAAGCATCAAGCTGATTATTAGTAAGAATATCTTCATGCAAAGTCACTTGTGGAATCAAATATATTAAAAATGTATAAACAAATATATTTCTGCTGTAAGCCTTAGTATGAAGGCAAGTTTTGTTCACAAATAAAAATAAAAGCAGAACCCTATTGAGACAAGGGAATGTCGTGTCCTACAAATGTCAACAGATTCCCTCAAAGATTCAGTTTCCCAAAATATCTTAAATTGTCCTGTAGCAAAAATGACCCTTCTAACAGTTTTAGGTAAGAAAACAAATAACAAGCAAATGTTTTAACTTCCTGTCTTTGGCACCGATTAAAGGAACAGTTACAGCATTAAATGAGTAATTTATTACACCGTGTTTTGGAAACTACATTTTATTCAATAAAAAAGTGAAACCTGGCTTTCTTTTTCATTTAAATGAGCATTTAAATACTAAATTTGACTAAAAGTCTAAACTCTTGATGGGACTTGAATAATGGTGGAAAAAAGGGTCAAATGTTTAAACGTGACCACAATTCATTTTATTTTACTAAATGTTTTGATGCGTTTGTTTTCCAGGTGAGTGAAATTGAAATAATTTCAAATGAGAACATTCAGGCAGGTACGAGCCACCTTTTTGGAAATGTTGTCCTTCTAGAGATGTCAGACCGAGTTCAGAACGCCACCACCCGTGCTTCGCTCCGTAAACGCGTCACCTTTAATATGAACAGCAACAAGGTTAGCTCGTTTTTCTCTGATGTATTCAAGTACAGTGCTAAACAGTAAAGCTTGGTTTATGCTTGACGCGTTCACTTTCCGCGCGGTGATGCGGCTCGCGGATGGAACGCGCTTCACAACTCGCAGCGTTTATGGTTCGTGCGGCTCGTCTCTGCGGTGAGCCAATATTCTCCCAAACTGTAGGGGGCAGCATGGAGCTCTACAGCATGCATCCAACACTGCACCATAGTAGAAGTAGAAATTACTGTTTACAACATGGCATTCCAGCATTTTTAACAGCGTTCTCGTCTTTTCTGACAGTGCGAACTATTTCTCTCCAAGAATTATTAACAACATGTTGATCACGGTGATCTTTGAGAGCTGAATCATACAAATGTCTGTATTTACGAACCTCTGCCACACTAGTTCTTGCCGGTCCGCCATGTTTTTCCGCGTCCGTCCCTCCGCGTGGTTAGAACATTTCCGAGGTGCGCGTTGCGGAAATCTTGGGCCGTGCGGAGGCGCGGTGGAGGGGCGTGGTTGTTAAAATGATGCAACTTTTCCGCGCGGAGCCGTGCGGACCTCGCGGACGCGTCAAGCATAAACCAACCTTTAGTCACCCCCAAATCAACTTTGTTTTTGCTGATAAACTAAATAAACGAGTGTCTAGTTGTGCTATAGACACATCAATAGTTTAGCACTTTAGTGCATTTTGGTTCAAATTTAAAGAGCAAGTCACCCCCTACCAGAGTATTACTCCACTCCCACTTCCTGTTTGAAAAATGTGACAAATGCTGTTGCCTAGCAGACCGAGAGGGCGGAGCCGCTAACACACTCACACACACACACACACACAACGACATGTGACATCATGGGTACCTCTTAGCCAATAGCGATGTAAGATTTAAATTCAAACGCAGTGCAGAGTTTTTACCTGACAACGGCACAACACTGACAGTTTTAGGCAGAAAATGTAAATTTTAACCAAAATGCACTAAAGTGCAAAATCTGTTGACTACACGTGTCTGCAGCACGATTAGACACGCATTTCTATAGTTTATCAAAAATAAAAGTCGATTTGGGGGTGACTTGCTCTTTAAATATTCTGCCTAAAACTATCAATGTTAAGAGGCTAAGAGGCATCCCATGACGTTAGCTGGTACATTATGATGTCACAATGTCATTGTGAGCCTGTGTGTGTTTTTGTTAGTGGCTCCGCCCTCTCGGTCTGCCAGGCAACAGCATTTGTTGCATTTTTCGTACAAGAAGTGCAGTGGCGTAAAACTCTGATAGGGGGTGACTTGCTTTTTAAATATTCTGCCTAAAACTGTCGATGTTAAGAGGCTATGAGGCGTCCCGTGACGTTAGCTGGTACATTATGATGTCACAATGTCATTGTGAGCCTGTGTGTGTTTTTGTTAGTGGCTCCGCCCTCTCGGTCTGCCAGGCAACAGCATTTGTTGCATTTTTCATACAAGAAGTGGCAGTGGCGTAAAACTCTGATAGGGGGTGACTTACTCTTTAAACAGCATCTAATGCTTCTTTTCTCTATTAAAGGTGTACATAGCAGGGAGCCATGTCCCCTCAACTCCAGAAACTTCTGCAGACGCTGAAGGGGTCATTAAAGTGACCGACGATCAGAGGAAGACCCACGTGGACGTGTCCGAACCAAACACAAGTTGTAAAAATGTCTCTTGTTCTGTTTTTAGAAATGTTTCCTTGTTTTGCATGCCCACATGTGCAACCTCCTCCTCGCCAACAAAGCACGTTTGCACTTCAGGTTCGGCCCTCTCAGCTCCAAAATCTGCACCAGTGCATCTGCAGAAAAGTGATGCTGCATCCAAAGAGTGGAAGAGCGCTGTGGGCTCTACAGCCGAGTCTGAAGTCTGTAACAAAACAGCACCTTGCTCCAAAATGGAGAAACTCCTAGATGTGAGACAGACGTCTGTAGCCAGCGCTAACACAGCTGAGCCGCCAGTTACACACCCACATCCTGGTGTGACAAGCTCACTTCCTGCTCCTTACCTGAACATCATACCTGTCGGCACCAAGGCGCCACAGAAAGGTCGTTGCTGCAAGCCTGCAGGTCAAACGGCACAGAGCGGTAATCTTCCTGCTATTGGAAAGTATTCAACCTGCATCAGAAATGTCCCTGTCCGTTTTTGTTTCTTTGGACTTTTAATCAAATCATTTGCATCTGTTACTTTGCAGGCTTAAGCCAGCTGGTCATAGTGCTGTGTGAGGAAAAGAGGCAGGTGTTTTGTCGGCTGTGTTCAGTCAAGCTGAGTAGCTCGAGTCACAGCAGAAGCATCGACCACTGCTTTAACTACGTGGTATGTAGTCTCGCTCTACCTTTGTTGGCTCTAGCACCACAGCTGTGTTTAGATGGGCTGGACATCCAGACATAATGAATTGGACAGCTTTTAGTGATTTGAACTTTTTATGTGCATTTGTAGCAAAAACACTGTTCTCAGTGACCCTGTTTAGGCTTTAAAGCAGGGGTCCTCAATTAGAGCGGTCCGAGGGCCACACACAAAAAAGACCTAGAAGCAGAGGGGGTAATGCACATAACACAAAAGCTTGCAATATAAAGCAGGACAACACCTGTCCCCCTCCAGCTCGGCTGTGTGACTGCACTAACCTGTCCTGTGGGACCCTCACCATGTGACCCTCATGTCCATGCTGTCTCTGGAGGAGCAGACAGGAAACAAGATCTCCTGTAACTTAAAATGAACCAAAGCTTCCTCCCAGTTTCTCTTTAAGCTGAATTGAACATCAGTTCATCATCATGAAACAAAAGAATAAAGTGGAACAAGAACTTCTATCTTCTATTTCTCTCTCCTTTTAACTTCTCCGTGTCCCTAAATAAAAGAGACAGACGATCACTCTGCAGCCGCCGTCACTGACCCCGCCTCCTCCCCAAGACCGGACCTCCCGACATCACAGCACTCGGTCTGACTGAGCGCCTCCAGGAGGAACGATAATGAACTTATGAAAATAATAACGCGTGTTTGGAGGAGCGTCCTCCGATCCGCTTTCTTGTGTGAGCAGACAATCTCTCTCTCTCTCAGTCGCTGATCGAGCAAGTGAGCGGAGCGCGCCGCACGACAACCCGCTCAGTTAACATAATATACGGCCCAAATCCAACAGAACCGGTCGGGCTGATCCAATTCGGGTTCGGTCTCAGGTTACAACTCCAGCGCTCAGCCCTTCAGCACCACATAAAGGCAGACCAAAGTTTCCTACCCGGTAAATGTGGAGAACACCGCTCTGACAGATGTGGATGCTGCGCTGGTGCCGCCGTTGAAATAACAAAACTACATTCCACTATAACTGATTATGGTCCTCTTCTATGATGCAGAATCGTTTATGCCCGCATCTCGATGCATTCATTATTTGATCATTTTTCTCAGCTCTGTCCTACCCCGGGTTTCCACGGGAGCCATCAGCAGCACGTTACTGCAGCAGCACGTCTTGCTCGCGTAAGCTGCTGCTTGGCCCTTCCCATGAGACGCGAAGCAGCAGGGGAGCAGCTGTCACCGACCGAGCACGAAGTCACACGAGTGACTTCGTCAGTAAACACAACAACAAGCAGGAGAAAATTACAACATGGTTTGTGTTTTATGTTCTGTCCATTTTATAATCGCCAATACGGACCTGAAAAACAAAGGAGACCGCTAGCTAGGTGATAACTTCTCACGAGGCCGCACAGTTAGTAACCTTTTTTAAAAGTAAAGCAACCGGAAGACAGTACGTTCTTTATTCTGAAAATCTCGGGAGCTTCTCTCCATTTCCGCGTCCGATTTCCTGTCCTTCCTTCCCCAAAAATGTCGAACTTGACCCGTTTCAGAGGCGTCGCGCGTAGAAAAGAGAACCGGCGCGTAAGGGCCACGACATGCTGCTCCTGAGACGCGGCCGACTCGCGCTGCTGACGGCTCCCGTGGAAAGCCAGGGCTAAACCTCCCGGTCGGTCATCGGGGTTGGGGGGTGCGCGCGGGGTTTAGGGGCCACAAAGAGAGGGCTCGCGGGCCGGATGTGGCCCGCGGGCCGCCATTTGCAGACCACTGCTTTAAAGTCAAGCAGCACAATAATAATAAACATGACGCACATCCACATCAGAACCCCAAAGAGCTGGGTCTTCTTGTCCACGTTGATTTCCACTATTTTATTTTAGAAATTACCAAATATTTAGTCAAATATTCTGTCATTTAAGTCTTTCTACTCATTTAGGAACTTTTCTAAACAGTCGTGATTAAGTGAAGCACTGAGTATGTATTTCAGGGACTTTGAAAGACAGAAATAACAAAAAAAAACATGGTGCAAATACTTAAAACATTAGGAAAACTGTCTTAAAAAGTTAGCTTAACGTTCCTCTTCTGCCTGTTTACCGCTCAGTTAAGGCAGTTTTCTGAATTCTTTCCTTGTTTGTTAGAAAATGAAGTATCCTGGATGGACGGCGTCGCAGGTGGAGAAGGAGCTGAGCAGCGTAGTGGCTCCTTTAGCTGAGCTCGAGAGACGTCTTAAATATCTGCACCCTCAGGTGAGAACGTCCCAAACTCCTGACGATTCCACGTCGTCTTCTAAAAGGACGTTGTTCTGTAAGAGTTTGGTCCTTTAGCGTCTCTGATTTCGGGATTTATTTTTTCTTTTTTGTCTAAATTAGAAAATAGAAGTAAACCGGGGCGTGTACTGGTTCCTGGCTTCTCTCCCAGAAGACAAAGGTACAGTTTTCCACCTCCGTCGGTTGGCAAAGATCAAACCAGTTTTGTCACGACATGATCTCGAGATGGTAGTCCGTGCTTTTGTTACGGTGCGACTGGACTACTGCAACTGTTTTAGTCGGTGTGAGCAAGGGCTTAGTAACCAGGATGCAAATGGTGCAGAACGCTGCTGCCAGATTTTTAGAGGGCAGGCGCAAGTATGACCTCATTACTCCTGTCCTGGCTGCGCTTCATTGGCTGCCCGTTGATGTAGGGATTCGTTTTAAGATGCTTTTGGTGGTTTTTAAAACGTTAAATGGTCTGGCCCCTCCTTACTTGGTGTCACTGCTTCAACCGTACACCCCTGCACGGTCACTCCGCTCGGAGAACCTCATGCTCCTCTCGGTCCCAAGAACGCGCCTAAAGACGCGTGGTGATAGGGCCTTTGCTGTGGCAGGTCCTAAGCTTTGGAACGAGCTTCCTCTCAGCGTAAGGGCCTCCACCACTGTGGCGGTTTTTAAGGCAAGGCTAAAAACCTACTTTTATTATCTGTCTTTTAATCTTTCTAACTAGTTTTTATTGTTTTACTTAAAGTGATCCGTGCATTTGCTGTGTTTTTATCTGTATCTTGTGATCCAATGTTTTTATTTTCTGGACTTAAATGTTTTATGTTTTTACTTCAATCAATCAATCAAATTTATTTATAAAGTGCTTTTCAAACAGAGTGCTACTCAAAGTGCTTTACAAAACCCCAGATTCCCATAACAGGTTAAAAACATTAACAGACATATGCAAGCACACGCACACACACACACACACACACACACACAAGTAAAATTATATTTGGCTGAGTCCAGATGAGCCAAGTAAGGTAAGGCAAGGAAACGCCATCAGAGGAGCCGTCTGCCCCGGCAGCATCAGGTCTTCCACACTAACTCAGGGCGCTCAGTGGAGGGGGAGCACAGACCCCCACCTATAGAGCGCCCAGGAAGCTACAGTCGACCACCGCTCCCGGGGCAGAGGGCCCCTACAGAGGAAACACTGATTAAAATGAGTAAAAAATATAATAATTGAGCTAATATAAGGAACAAAATTTAGAAAATAAGTAATAAATAAAATCATAGACAGTAAAACAATTATATTAAATAATAAAACTGTGCTAAAATGTAATCATATAAAACATGCAAAGCAAGCAATAAAATATAATCATGTAAAACGAGAAATAAAACTAGTAAATATTTAGATAAAAGCTAACTAAAAAGATGGGTCTTGAGCCTGGACTTAAAAACATGAGCGTTCTCTGCGGCCCTGAGGTCCTCTGGCAGCTCGTTCCAGAGGCGAGGGCCATAACACTGGAAGGACGCCTCGCCGTGAGTTTGTGTCCTGACTTTAGGGATGACCAGGAGACGCCTGCCGGAGGAGCGCAGAGGCCGCGAGGGTTCATATTGTAAAAGCAGTTCTGATAGATAAGAAGGCCCAAGACCATTAAGACACTTAAAAACCATTAGAAGAACCTTAAAATGGATCCTGAAACATACGGGGAGCCAATGCAATGATTCTAAAACCGGTGTCATGTGCTCCCGCCTCCTGGTCTTCATCAGGACACGTGCTGCCGAATTTTGTAGAATTTGTAAGCCTGAGATGCTCTTTTTGGGAAGACCAGAAAGCAGGGCATTGCAGTAGTCTATCCTACTGGTGATAAAAGCTTGCATGCATCAACGTCTCCGTATTGGCCCGAGAGAGAATGGGGCGGACTCTGGCGATGTTCTTTAGATGATAAAAACCTATTTTTGTGATATTTTTTGTGTGGGATAAAAGTCAGCTTGGTCTGTGTAGCGCCTTAGTGGCATGTTTTTGTCTGTAAGGCGCAATTTATAAATAAAGTTGAGTTAAACCAAACAAAGTTAGAAAGGAAAAGAAATTCTCACCTAGTTTTCTGTCCTGTGGCTCAGCTGTGGAGACGGTGAAAACGCTGCTGAGACAAACGCGTCCTCGTGTCTCGTCGTCCACGGGCGACACCGCTGAGACTTTGGGACTTGAAGTTTCAAGCTCAGACGACGGTAACGTCACATTTATGAGAATGAAAGCTCGTCTGTTCACACATTTGAATCCGTTTTTGCTCGTTTCTAAATCAGATCAGGTTTGAATCGTGCAAACTGGACCTGTTTTTCAGGCGTACGTGTGTTTGATCGTGAAGTCTCCGACGTTTGTGATAAGCAAATACAGACGGATCTGATCCAGATAACAGGTCAAAAATCTTGTCTGAATATTTATTATTATTATTATCTTCATTTTGCACTGAAAAGTTTTTTTTACTCAGAAATGTTGAAGGAGGACGACCGTCCGGGGGATCTTCAGAGGTCAGATGATCCGATTCAGGAACCTCGCTCTTGTGTTAGCAGCGATCAAGTTAATCCAGATCCAGTTCCGGGTGTTCAAGATGAAGAAATGATAGGTACAATATTTAATGGATAAAAAACAAAACCTAAAATAACAAAGGTGACATTTTTGTGTTGTTTCAGAAACCGTCCAGCAGGATTCCTTTGATCCAGATGCAGAAGTTAAAGACGACGTCACCGACGTGTCTGGGACTCCCCGTAAGTCCCCGACTCCCTTCCACATCTCAGGTTTGTCCGTCATGGCAAATATTTTTGTGTATTTTTCATTTATTGCTTTAAATTCACTCTTTTTTTTTTTTTTATTTCCTCCTAATCAGAAGAAGCAGAAACCCTCGTCGGTCCGGGGCGATGGCGTCCACCTGCTGCTGAAACACAACAGTGGAAGAGAGATGTGCGCCAACTGGACGAAGAACTCCTCACAAGACCACAAAAGGTTCCACGTTTTCAAACCTGCGGCCTGCAGCCGCAAACTTGTGCTGAAGCAGGACAGCAGAGCCCGTCAGGACCGAGCTACAGAGCAGAAGTAGCTCCGGAACAAGGAGCAGAACCCCGAGGACAAAGAGCATCACAGGAAGGACCCAGAGCTTTATTAGGTGAGAGTCAGAGCTCAGCCGTAGCTTCAGTTTGTCATTAATCAGCTAATTAGACGTCTGTTCCAGGGGGAAAAGCTCCGAGCTGCAGCCATTTGTCTTTCTACCTAACAGCAGGCGGATGTGGCTCCAGACCCGTCGTCGGTGAGCGTTTATGTAAACACACCACCACCCGTTCCACGCAGGCACGTTTACACGGTGTGTGTTCATCAGGCATGGCCTCCGTGTGGGAGTGCCGGGGACTTTCTCAGGACACTTTCTTCCTGTGTGAAAGCTGTGAGGACATCCTGTCCCACAGAGACATCTGTCTGCATCTGGTCAGCCGGGATCACCAGCTCAACTACCTGGTGTGTTGACGATCCCCGCAGATTTGAGCAGGTGTGTGTACCCCCACCGTTTCCATCGGTAAACACAGCTGTAAACGTGTGTTTCAGTGGAGGGAACGTCCCGAGGTTCTGGAAACGTTCTGGCCGAGGGAGGATCTGCCGTCAGAGCTGAGAAAGGAAATTTTAAACCGCGTCGTTTGGGAATTTGCTGTGTGGGAGCGGGACAGGGTGGACACGCCGGTACCACCCAGATGCGTTAGTCTGTGCTGCACAAACTCTTCCTGTTTCACATTAATCTACAGGTTTGTTTGTATTTGTCCTAAAGTGTGTGCTGCTGGAACAGGAGCTCCATCAGTTCGTTAGGACAGCTCACTACATCGAAGGTACTGGCTTCTCGTTCAGAGTCTATGAGGGAAACGGACTAATTTGTGTTAAATGTGCCTTTTTAGCTCTTAATATTTTGAGATTCATCACAAATGAAGAGACAAGTGTCCGCCTGTCCAACAGAACCACACACCAGAAAAGTGAGTCTGCCCTCGTTTTCTCTAAAAGCTTTTATTTATGTTTTTTATTTATATTTTTCAGCAGACTGGAGCTCAGAGCTGCAGCCATGTTGTTGAAATCACATGGATGGGACACTAGAGTGTTTATCTAAGTGTGTTCTGCTCACACGTGTGTGTTCCTCATCAGGCACGGCCTCTGCGTGGGAGTGTCGAGGACTTTCTCAGGAGGACTCCAACCTTCAGTAACTTGGTTAAAATCGACTCGCTGCGAGATTCTGTTCGTTTGTTTGCATCTAAAGAAACAAGCAAGTTAAAAAATATTTTTGCACGTGGAAGCTTTTAATTTGAGGTCTCGTTATTTTGCAGTTTCGCACCTTGACCTCCAGTCAAGCGGTGGCATCCAGGAACCGTTCTCACGGTTGGTTTCCAGTTGTGCAAGTTAGGAATCTGCGACATGGATAAATGTTTCTGTCTGAACTCAACAGTTCTCAGGAAACACAAGTAACGCTGCAACAGAGCGACTGAGAGCTGCGTTCCACTACTATGTGGAACAGCATGCACCGCTGCAGGATTGGAATGCAGCCTTTGTTCAGAAACCACGTATGAAGTTATGTTCCTGTTTTTGTTCGTCGGGAGGATTTTTTTATTTGTACTAATAAATGAGAAGAGTTGTGCAGTCAGCTCAGATGGCTTTTCTCAACCTTCCACCCAGATTTAGTGTTTTTTGACCTAAAGATGGAGGGAGGATGACCTCCTAGAAAGGAAAGCAGATCACCCCACACACACACACACACACACCCACACAGAGGTATTTCCTGGAGCCTTGAAGTTTTCACTCCCAGATTCTTCCAGTACAGAAAAATATTCCAACTCACGGTTGTTCCGTCCTCTAAACCTGCAGGACGAAACTCCCACGGAAACGCGTTTGCACCCGTCTGATGCATCAGGCTGTGTGCACCTGTTGTGTTAAACCAAAATAAGCAAAAGCAAAACCTACATGAAGCAAAAGACCCGAAGGTCAGCTGCAGAAAGTGTCCTGTTCTGTGTCCCTTTGTTCCCCAGCCCCTCCAATTCCCACTCCAGGTTCTCCTTTTGTGTTTTCTAGCGCCCTCATGTGTCGTGTCTGCGTCTCCTCATGTGCCTCCTGGTGTTCCCCGTTTGCCCTCTAGGTTTCCCCCCTCAGACATTCCCCTCCCAGGTCCTGTGCTCTCTTGGCCCCCTCTTAGCCACGCCCCTGTTGTTTTCTTGCTGTAGTGTCTTCCTTTAGTGTCAGCTTCCCCTTAGTATTGTAGTTATGGTTCATGCCTTCTGGTCTTTTGTTTTTTCCCTTAGGTCGTTTGTCTTTGTTACAGCCTTTCAGTTTTTAGTGTGTTTTTCTCCCACCAGTGTTCTCTTCCTCTTCCCTTATTTGGTAATTGTAGTCACCTGGTCCCTCTCCCCGCGCACCTGCAATTCATCTTCCCAGTCTATATAAGCTTGGTCTTGTCTCTGTCTCGTGTCGGTCCATTGGTTGTTTGTTGTTCTTGTCAGTCTTGTTCCTGTTTCCTGGTATCTAGTGTTTCCAGTGTCTCTAGTGTCTCTAGTCCTCCAGTGTTTTTTATGACTCAGTTTAGATTATTGGACTTTTTTGGTTTTTGGCTCCATGCCTTTGGATTACTCCTAAATAAAGGATTTATTTTCATCATCTACCTCCTGCCTGGTTCATCTGGTTCTTTGCATTTTGGGTCCTAAACCTCCTCCTACACCAACCCTTGACAGAAAGAGGGCCTTTATTGCAGATTTAATGGGCTTTCTGTCTGTGCAGCTGCTGAAACTTCAGAAAAGCTTCATTTCTGCAGATTCAGCACAGATGCAGACAATGCCCTAAATGGAGAGCTTCGTGCTGTCCTGGAGAGACTCATCCTCTCCTGGAAGGCCTAGTATTTTTATGTTTACACAAGCACACACACATTAGGGCTGCAACATCTCACACTCCCTGGTGTCCATCTTCACGTGGCCAGGGACTCCTCCTACATGAACCCGCCTGGTTCTCTGACAGATGTTTAAAATGAATCCCAAGGTGAGGGACGCTTCACCGTTTTCCTCCATCAGTTCGAGTGAGCTTAGGTCACGACTTGTGGTCTTATCTCTGTGAAAAGAACAGTTTGTTCACCAATTCTGTTCTAAGCAATCCCCAGATGGTAAAACCAGATTAAAACAACTTTTCTATGTCCTTGTGACGCTGTCAGAATCTGGGATGTTTCAGATAAACATGAGAACTTTTCAGCAGCGATGAGATGTTTTATTTAAAGAGCAAGTCACCCCTAAATCACTTTTTTTCTCTGATAAACTATATAAACGTGTGTCTAATCGTGCTGCAGACACGTGTAGTCAATAGTTTTGCACTTTATTGCATTTTTGTTCAATTTTAAATTTTCTGCCTATAACTATCAGTGTTGTGCCGTCGTCAGGTAAAAACTCTGCACTGCATTTGAATTTAAATCTGCCATTGCTATTGGCTAAGAGGTACCCTAGAATGTTAGCTGGTACCATATGATGTCACAATGTCGTTGTGAGCCTGTGTGTGTGTGTATTTGTTAGCGGCTCCGCCCTCTCGGTCTGCTAGGCAACAGCATTTGTTGCACTTTTCAAACAGGAAGTGGGAGTGGAGTAAGAATCTGGTAGGGGGTGACTTGCTCTTTAACGCCAATACAAGGTTTATAAACGGAAATGTAATCCATAAACCATTAAAATAAGACTCTTTAGTCTGCTGGTTCTGATCGAATATAAAAATTGATAGGGAGCATCTGGTAACGAAATTTCTGTTATCACACATAATAAATGATAAAGTCTTACGACGGTGGCACAGGAGTTAAGTGCTCGCCTCGCAATCAGAAGGTCACAGGTTCGAGACCCGCTCAGTCTGTCGCTGTCGTTGTGTCCTTGGGCAAGACACTTAACCCACATTGTCTGCTGGTGGTGGTCGGAGGGACCGGTGGCGCCAGTGCTTGGCAGCCTCGCCTCTGTCAGTGCGCCCCAGGGCAGCTGTAGCTACACTGTAGCTCATCCCCACCAGTGTGTGAATGGGTGAATGACTGATTGTGCTGTAAAGCGCCTTGAGGGGTTCCAGGACTCTAGAAGGCGCTATATCAAATACAGGCCATTTACCCAACACGGTCACACTTAACATGCACAAATATTTGAACTAGGCTCACATGTCTTAGTGATTAACAGCCTTGGAAAGCACCTGTATTGTGTTAAGGATATCACGTCACAGCACCCCCGGTTCTGGGTAATAATGATTGCAGTGCACCCAAGGTCCATGTAGTCTTTACTGGGTCAGGTCGACCTTATTGAAGGATGCTACTCGATGGTCAGCCTCCCGTCTTGGTTGAATGTCCGGAACACCCAGAGATAGCAAAGGAACTTCCCGGATGAAGCTGCCATTTATCATTAGTAAAGGAATGTGTTTTCAAACTCTGTAACTGAATAAAAGGCGCACGGAGGGAGCAGGCTCTCTGAGATTTGCCGAACTCCACACTGGGTTGGTTCATTCTTGGTCTTCGCATTTCTTCTCTGCAGAGATAAAATAAAAGTTATATATTTCACCTGTGCTTGTGATTCACTCTATGTAACCTCTGCTGCTAAAATAATCCAACAAAAATCATCCTATTTACTAAATTATAAACATTACATTTGAAAACCTGAATAAACTATTTTAGTAGTAAGGTTGAAGTTGGAGCAACATAAACAACACGTTTTAATGTACCGTACAGCCTAATTACACTCACAAAATAAAAATGATCTTTTGTTGTGAGCGTATGTTTTATGTTTTATTCTTTATGTGGAGTGCCATTTGTAAAGGCAGTCATCAGTCAACAGCAGTATTTTGGGTTATTTAGCCTTTCATAAGAGAAGAAAGGGTCATATTTCACCCTGTTACATATTTATAAATGTTAACGCTCCCAACTCAGTAGTGAGCACGCTAAATATTTATTTTATAAACTAAATACTTAGGTCAGACCTAAATGGCCTGTATTTGCGTAGCAGCTTCTTAGTGTTCTACAACCCCCCAAGGTGCTTTACAACACAATCAGTCATTCACCCACTCAAGCTGGTGATGATGAGCTACGATGTAGCCACAGCTGCCTTGGGGTGCGAGCGAGGCTGCTGAACACTGGTGCCACCGGTCCCTCCGAACACCCACCAGCAGGCGTGGTGGGTTATGTGTCTTGCTCAAGGACACAAGAGCAGCGATCTCTGAGCTGGGATCGAACCTGCAACCTAACCCGCTCTGCCTCCTGAGCTACTGCTGTCCTACACATGGAGAGTAGAAGTATGTTGTTGGTGCTGACATGATTTGTTGTTGAAGTAACCTCTTGCCCTACGGAGAAGAAAGAGTCAACAGACCAATGAGAGAAGAGCACCTCATGCACATTTCCTTAGGGATTGTTTTCAAATAAAAATCCTGGGTCCAGTCAAACTCTGGAAGAGTCTTCTGAAGGCACTGTTGGTGGTTAGGGACTTGGAATGATTTTGACCCAGGATCCTGTAAACTGTGATTGTTTCTGTGGCTTTGTCTTAATTGACTTATTAAAATTCACCCAGGAACACACTCAAAACAGGTTCTGTAAAGAGAGATTTTATGCCTTTTGCTGTTCAAATAAGAGCAAAACTAAAACATGGTCTTTATACTAGCTCAGTGGCCTAGAGGTAGTGTCCTCCCTGAGACTGGGAGATGGTGGGTTCAAATCCACAGGCGGGGTCATGACTTTAAAAATGGGACCCAATGCCTCCGCTTGACACTCGGCACAAAGAGCTTCGATTGGGGGGGTAAACCACCAAATAGTCTTCACTAATTTCTCTGACATGAAATGAAACAGCCTTCAAATTCTTTAATTAAACCAGATTTTATATATTTTATGTCGCTGTATATTTTTTTTATTAATGCTGTAATTATATTTTTATTTTTGTTACAGTAGATGGAAAAGTATTTTTTGCTTTTATTTTGAAATATTATCCGAAATCGGTGGGTTACGCACAACGGATGTAAGTGCTGCTGACTTAACGTACTACGTAGACGCATGACGCACAAGCTCGAGGCGCAGCAGCCAGCAGCAGCACACTTGCTGGAGAAGGCACGCGGAAGAAACATCCTTCTGGCAAGTCTAGATAACGCTTTCAGAACAAATCTTCACGCAATTCTGGAATCTTCGACAGCGATTCGGTCTACAGGTGGAGGTAAGTAGCCGCTAGTTACGTTAGTTTTGTTAGCAACGTTTGTCGGTGGAGTTGTTGCGTGTTAGCTACGCCTTTAAAATGAGACGGTCCAGAGTTTGGATATTTTCAGAGTTTATGGACGAAAAGTAAAAATTAACGAGTTAATGAAAACGTCGTTTTTACGTTACTGTTTAATAATATGTGTGTTGAAAATGTGTGTGTCGTTTGAAAATACTGAACAGGAAAGACGTGACTTTTCTGTCATTAATATTAAACCTGTTTGTTCTAAATCAATAATAAGATAACAAGACGGTCATTTTTAATGTTTTGAGGCTGTAAAACTACTGAAAATCGTAATTTTGTTAGCAAGCGGGTCAGAAAACTGCATAATTTCTTTTCCTGTTTACTGTTTGTAGCTCTGTGCCACAGCGCCATCTGGCGTTTAAAACCATAATCACAAACAACTTTTTATCTGTTTGAGTAAGTACAGTAATGTGGATTTTTACATGTAAATATTTCATTGTTTGTGCTTGTAGGCACAACTACAACCGTTTTCTTAAAGAAATATATTTATTCCATGCCTGATTTCTGTGCACAGGTGTTTTTTGTTCTTCGGTGGCAGGATGCAGCCAGGTGAGACGATCATTGAAGCCATTTGCAAGCTCAACATTTCTACTAAATTCACTTTGATCCATTTTCTGTTTTCAGAGCCTTCAGACAAAAGCCAGTTGTTCAACTCTCTGAAGTCTTATCTCAACGACAAGACCAGAAGACAGCCCTACATTGGTTTGTAGCTGCAAATTTGTAGCCTGGCAAGCCAGACTAAATAAATGTATTATTTAGTCTGGCCACGCTCCATTGACGGCTCTCGGTTGTGGGGCGGGTTCTACCGTTGTCTTTCAAATGATCTCCGCATTCCACTGGACAATGAATGTGACATGCTCTTGTTTCACTCTGTTGCATCATCCCACCCACCAGGCATATAGAGTGCCCTGATTGGCCCACAAAGCGGATAAAGATCTGTGATTTGTTCACTAAGCAGATAGAGCACTATGATTGGCCCACCATTATGGACCAATCACAGCTCTTTATGTGTTTGAAACCCCTCTAGAGAGCTGTGATTGGCTAGCCAGAGTCCTGGTAGGAGCTGCGGAGGTTCCAATGGAGCGTGCCTAGACCAAACTTTGCAACGCAAGAATTTGGTCTAGTTCACTAGGCTAGCAAATTTGTGCTATAAGTGCTTAATTTCTTATTCAGACATTTTTGTTGGATTTTGTGTGCATGTGTGTGTGTGTGTGTGTATTCAGGCCTGCGCAGCATCGTCGAGTGTGTGAATGTGGGCTCGGACAACAGAGAAACCTTGTACTTGTGTGAGGTCTGCGTTCGCCGGGTCACCAAGGCCGATATCCGGAACCACATACAGGGAAGTCGCCACATCTTCAGCTACATCGTAAGCAGCATTAAAGAAAAGTCATGATTGTACTCGTATGTGCTGCTTTGGATACACTTTTAATAGACAACGCTCTTCCCATCAGAAAACCTGTCATCCCCATTTGGCGTATAAGTGGCAGAAGGACGCGGATCTTTCGATGCTGGCTAGGCCGCTGATAGAGTTGGCCACGGTTGTGGAGAGAAAAGAGGGAACCGGAAAAGTCCAGGTAACTTTTTTCGGTCCTTTTCGTTTGAACCAGAAAGCAGACGAGCGATTCACTGAATGTGCTTTTTTTTTTTTTTTTCATTAAAGTTGTTTGAAGTTCCTGATGCTGTTTACCAGAAGATGGCTACAGAGAGTGAACATTACGGTTAGCGAACTTGTTTAGTCGAGCTTATTTTTGTCTGACATCCAAATGCTTTTGCTGATTTGAAACTTTTAGGTGACAAAAAAAAGCATAAATGAACAAAATCAGCAACATTTTATGTCTTCTCTCTTTAACGCCACAGCTGTAGCTCTGATAAACGTCTTACGAGACAGAGGGGCGAATCAGGGAGTCTTCTCAGAAATGCTCTCCTTACATTATCCCGTCGAGTCACAGAGGGTCGTTCTGCTGACACAAACCCAACCAGAAGACACGAAACCGCACAAGGTGTCGGCACAAAACGAAGGTCTACGACGTCCTCCAGCACCTCATACGAAGAACACTCAGACGTCATCCAAGAACAGCAGGAGCTCTGTGGAGGACTTCTCAGGGGGCACACCTCCGATTGGTGAGCTGAGAAAAAAGCTTTTGTTCCGCCTTCAGAGGAAGATCACGTCTCCCCAACAGGCCGAAGTCACGATAAGCTCATTTATTGGTTTCCAACAGGTCTTTCTCGTGTCGTTGGGTTTAAAAGTGAATGTGGGAGATTGCAGTGTTTCCTGTGTCACTGCTGCCGCGTCAGATCCAGCACGCGTGACATCACCGATCACCTGACCAGCTCCTCTCACCTGTTCAACTACCTGGTAGGTTTGTTCGCGGTTTAACGCACAGAGCCTCTGGAGCAGCTACTACAGCGCAGGTGTGACTTATAGATGGAAACGCACCCCAGCTTACTGGAGGGGATGAGTGAGAATTCTGAAGCCAACTTCCATCTTCTCCCATCTCTGGCTCACAAAGTGGAACAACTGGAGGGCAGAGGACAGATGGAGGTATCAGTTTTTCCCTTTAGCCGCTCTTAAAGGTTCGTCAGCTCTTATTCAACGAAGAGAAACTCAAAATCTCGTCTAGTTTAGTGAATAAATGCTCCAATAATGCATATCTGTAAGTGGCAAAAAGGTTAAACCTCTGAGGTTTAGTTGTGTTTAAGGAAGCACCTTCTGCTTTAGTGCCTGATTTAGTGTAAAATAAAAACTACAGAAGACCCACGAAGGTGCTTGTCTGCTCATTCGGGTGTTGGAGGAAAGGGTTCTGCAGTCATTAAAGAGCAAGTCACCCCCATATCAACTTGTACTTCTGATAAACTATATAAATGTGTGTCTAATCGTGCTGCAGACACGTGTAGTCAGTAGTTTTGCACTTTAGTGCATTTTGGTTAAAATTTAAGTTTTCTGTCTAAAACTGTCAGTGTTGTGCCGTCGTCACATAAAAACTCTGCACTGCAGTTGAATTTAAATCTGCCATCGCTATTGGCTAAGAGGTACCCTAGAATGTTAGCTGGTACATTATGATGTCACAATGTCGTTGTGATCCTGTGTGTGTGTGTATTTGTTAGTGGCTCCGCCCTCTCGGTCTGCTAGGCAACAGCATTTGTTGCATTTTTCAAACAGGAAGTGGGAGTGGAGTAATACTCTGGTAGGGGGTGACTTGCTCTTTAAAGAGCAAGTCACTTCAAATCAACATTTTTTTGCTGATGAACTATATAAATGTGTGTCTGATCATGCTGTAGACAAGTGTAGTCAATAATTCGGCATTTTAGTTAATCTTAGTTAAAATTTAAATATTCTGCCTAAAACTGCCAGCGATGCACCGTCGTCAGGTAAAAACTCAGCACTGCATTTGAATTTAAATCTGCCATCGCTATTGGCTAAGAGGTACACTATGATGTTAGATGGTACATTATGATGTCACAATGTCGTGAGTGTGTATTTGTTAGCGGCTCCACCCTTTCGGTCTGCTAGGCAACAGCATTTGTTGCATTTTTCAAACAGGAAGTGGGAGTTGAGTAATACTCTGGTAGGGGGTGACTTGCTCTTTAAGCACAGATTTAGGGACTGGATCATGGCAGGGTGTTCTCCACAACACTAGAACCTTTTGGGTCAGCCGGAGGTTAAAGACGAGCTGCAGAATCCAGCATGGCTGATCCTCGAGGACTCTTTAGTCTCTCCAGCTGCGCCTCTTCCGGCTGACCCTCAACTATCAGGACAAACTTGAGAATAAGGGACATAAATTAAAATTAGATCATTTTTTTATGTAAAAAAATTCTCATTTTTACATTTTTAAAGACAGAATCTTTAAATAAATTTGAGACTAGAATTGTAATTGCTGAGCGGGACATGTCTCCGGGTCTGCAGCTGTGTACTATTGTAGGGATCACACAGGGGGAGAGCGGGTTTCATCGAATCTAAGCATCTTATTTCTGGGTTGAAGGATGGCTCAAGAAAATAACTTATATTTCATAAAAAATGACGCCTCATAGCGCCAACGCCAACTTTTGATCATATTTTGCGCCCATTGTTGCTCTGGAAGGTGTAAAATAGCACAATGGAGGTCTTTTAAAGATAAACAAAGTCTCCACAGCCCTGGAAAATTTACCCAGATATCAAAGATTTGCACATTTTTGCCACTTGCAGATACATTGGATCATTTTCTACTAATAAATCACAAAGTAAAACATATTTCCCTCCATGTTTCATGTTACAGCTGTGCATGGTAGGAGTTATGTGAAAGTCTAATCGAATTAAAATGGCTTTATTTGTTTTGTGAAACGGTCGTGATTGCACTGGTCTCAAACATCTCATGTTCCCAGATAGTAAATGTCCCAGAATCCTTCTGTAAGCAACTCTCTGGCAAAAGTTACCACTGGTGTAAGTAGAGACGCTTTAAATCCTCCTCCCTTTAACCCTCCAACTCTTTTACTCCATCTCTGCTTCTCAGCTCTGACTTGTGAGTACAATTCATTCTACCTAAACTTGTTACTGAAATTCTCACCTCCGTTTTCTTAGAATAACACAACCTGGTCAGGGTTTCTGCTGCGTGTGTGTGCGTTTATGACATGTTTAGGTACCGATGATTTAACACGACTCAAAGTACTTTAGAGTGTCGTCGTTCTCTGTGGCCTTTTTTGTTTGTTTGTTTTTCGTTATTAAGGTTTGACGATGCAGTCGAGTGGGTGGGTTGACCTCAACGTCCCAGTCAAAAAAGAAGCTGTCAAAGGTGCGTTTTTCCAGCGTCTACATCCTTTTTTTGATCACAGTCACCTGCCTCTGGAACGCGAAAAGCAGGAGAAAAAGGTTTTTTTAAAGAGCAAGTCACCCCCAAATCAACTTTTTTTTCCTGATAAACTATATAAATGTGTGTCTAATCATGCTGCAGACACGTGTAGTCAGTAGTTTAGCACTTTAGTGCATTTTAGTTAAAATTTAAATTTTCTGCCTACAACTGTCAGTGTTGTGCCGTTGTCAGGTAAAAACTGCACTGCATTTGATTTTAAATCTGCCACCGCTATTGGCTAAGAGGTACCCTAGAACGTTAGCTGGTACCGTATGATGTCACAATGTCGTTGTGATCCTGTGTGTGTGTGTATTTGTTAGCGGCTCCGCCCTCTCGGTCTGCTAGGCAACAGCATTTGTTTCAATTTTCAAACGGGAAGTGGGAGTTGAGTAAGACTCTGGTAGAGGGTGACTTGCTCTTTAAAGGTGCAATTTGTAATTATTCTACAGTGAAATAATCACAAAACGGTCTAATGTGTCAAACATGTTGGAGGGAATGTCGGACTGATCTGAGACACATTTTATTCTCAGCCAGCAGGGAGGTTGCTAGTTTTTCTACTTTAGAGAAAGGAAAAAAAACTGTTTACACTCTTAAGTTTGAGGATGCTGAGTGTGCCGAGCTAACAAGCCCTGGCAAATCAGCATAACATTACTGCAACGGTGCACCTTATAAATGTGCCATGGCGGCATGGCGATGCATGAATTTTGAAACATTCCTTCCGCCTTGCTTGGTAGTAATATTGCGGTAATTGTCTGTCCTATAAACAGCGAATGCGTCTGGCCGTAAGAGAGGGCGGTGCCATGATCACTTAAGGAGTTACTGTTGAGCTCCGACCGGTAACTATATTGAAAATGAAAGTAACCACGGACAATAAATTTTACTTTTGTAAATGGAAGCAGATGAAATGATAAGCTGAAGCGATGCAGCACTCCATGAGCTTCTCTCTGTTAGAGGCGGTGCTCAGATCACCAGAGACTGCACAGGGACTGTGGAGGGCAGACATCTTTAGGAGCGGCTTGTCAAAAAAACGTAACGCAAGTTACGGCCAAGATAATCGAGTGTGCACGGTGGTGCAGAGACTGCCCCCATGCCCCCTTTATACCGCCATCACGTAGTAAAAAGGGCACAATTGCACCACGTTACCACCACAGTCTGACCATATATCGCTCCCTGATGCCGCCACGGCGTTGCAGCAAATTGACATTATTGCTTTGTAAATCGGCTATGGTGGTGCATGCATTTGTAATTGGACACCGACAGGCAAATGGCTCCAGAGTTGTTTAAAGCACCGAAGCCAGTAAACAGGAGTGACCCAGAAGTTATTTCTTGTACCCCTAAAAAGCCACAATATATTTTAGTTTTATCTAATATCGGGTAAAGAAGGCTAGAGGCTAATGTTGAGCTAACAATGCTAATGGTGATTTAAATACAACTAGTCTGCTTTAAAAATATCTCAAGCTACTTTTACAATTACCAACAACTCAATATTACAGTGAAATGTATGTGTGAAGTGAACAATGAGTCAATCGTGACGTTTTAGAGGAAGAAAGAAGAAAAGATCCTTTATATAGCGCTTCAGGATAAAAATGACATGGCGCTTTTACTTCCTTTAATGAGTCATTCAGAACATCAAGCTAACAGCTAGACGACGCAACACTTCCTTTAATGCCGGAGACAAATGACCGTAATACGTGTGGTAAGTGCTTCCTACCGCAAAACATCCAAGAGTGCTAACACCTGATGTACTCATCTACTTGTCATCTTACTGTGTGTGACTGGTCTGATTCATCTAGAGTCTTCTGGTGCTGATTCCTAACCGGCAGCATCCATGAAACTCAGAACGACAGCGAGAACGTCAGAATTTTGCTCAGAAATCAGCTGCAGTAACCAAATTTGACCACAGGGTGTCAGACTTGCAAATTGCACCTTTAAGTTTTAGCAAACTGAAACTCTGGTTGGATTTTAATGAACTTTAAGTCTATAATTGCATTTATCTCCGCTTTCTTAACAGTGGTCTTAGTTTAAAAAGTATTCCTTTAAGCTTCATTTCATTTTTCAAGAATAAGTTTTGTTGAGATGCACAAAAAAAAAAAAACCAGCCGTAAACAAAAATCTGAGTTTCCCTCGGTTGGTAAACCCACGCTCGTTACTTGCTAGCTTCTTTTTGAGAAACATCAATTTCAAATAAACCAGAACCGAAAGAAAACTCGTGTAAACATCGAGTTCTTCTAAACCAGAATCTGTGCGTCTCTAGTTTTTTGACTCGTTGTTCTATTTTAAAGGTGTGGCCAAGCCTGCAGAGTCGAGGATAAACACCATTGCCGTGGTGCGACGAGCGAAGAAGAAGAAGAGGAGGAGGAAGGGAGAGATTAATACAGTGTTCAACATACGCATGCCTGTCCATAAAGGCGCCGTCTTGGTGGAGAGGACGTCTTTCAACCAGGGAGACCTCCATGGGCTGCCTGCTTCATCCTTATCTCACCCGGGTCCTGTTTCACGGGCCGACTGCGAGACTTTAGAGATCAACCAAGAGGAAATTCCTTCAGAGGTGGACGGTTCACCGTTGAAGCAGCAGGTAGATGAGGATTATGGTGGATTTGCAGCAGAGGAACAAATCAAAGTCACCATTTCTCAAGATACAAGTGAAAACTTCCCCCCGTTTGTGGAGAGCGAGTATGATGGACGTGGTTCTGAGGAAAGATCCGGACATAACGGGTACGGAGACTGGATTAATGAAGGAGCTTGGAGCGAGAGACCGTTGCCTCCTGAGCACCACGGTAACGGCTGGTCTGACTCTCACTACGGACGGGAGTGGGGGGATCCTGGTCTGCAGTCCGGACTGAAACAACCGAGACACGAGGCGGGAAACGGGAACACACACTCCGGTTCATTTGAGCGTTACGGACGGCAGCAGCATCAGACGGCGTGGGCTGGCTGCGGGCCTCGTCCGGGCAGCCCGCGCAGGAATCCCGACTTGTCCGGTGAAGTAGAATCGTTTATAGAAACCGCTCGGACAAATGTGCAGACTTACTCGGGGGGTGCTCCGTCTCAGAGCGGCAGCATCTCCGAGCCCAGTTTCATCAGCTGGATCCCGTTAGATTACAGCCGGTACCAGACCGCTCCGCAGGACTACACCACTCCGTATGCAGACCATCACATCAGCCAGATAAACCAGGTGTGCACGTTTTACTGCAACCACCACCAGACTGGCTACGACACAACCTCCATCCACCACCCAGCTGGCCCGGTGAGCGGCAGCGGTTATGGAGAAGCCGCCGGCTGGAGTTTGATGCATCCGAATGCTTTCATTCAGCCCGGGGTTTACGGCCCCGGTTCCGATGTTTACTTCAGAGCTGGAATTCCCTACTGAATGGAAGCACTTCCTGAATCTCCCTGGGATCTGATCACATTTTGGCCTTCAGGGATGTTTAAAACAAGTTTACCTCATTTCTCTATTACGAATCTTCTACTGAAGGAAGTTTGACGTTATTATTTGACTAAACATATTTAGATTAAAATAGAGAAACTTGATTTGTGTTCATCTTGGATTAAAGTTTGAACAGTTAAACTGAAGGCCAGATTGTGAAGGATGCATTATGCCTTTTGCAGGTGGATGTGGCATTATTTTCTTTTAAAACTGACCGTCATTTAATAGAAACCCGAACAAAAGTCTTGTTTTGATCCTACCAGAGTTTAGGATGTTTGCTCAGAAAACATGTTTTATGTTTGAATGTTTCAGGTCGGAGGCGTCACTGTTCCAGTTGGAAAAAAACAACAGCTGAATGTGTTCACGCTCACGTTTTACACGGATAATTGTGTTCGTGTTAACTTCAAAGAACAATTAGCTGTTCAGTTTATTCAATTCTGTTATGTTGCCACTATATGTGTTTATTTTAGTATTATCTATCAGCAGTGTTAACGTCAGTGTTGGGATGTTCGTGTGTTTAGAAGTTATTTGTTTTCTGTGCACCACAATTTTTTCCTTATCTTTACAATCTGATCATTATTGCAGTGATTGTTTTTTTTTTTGTATTGTGTAATGTTTTGGTTTAGCTGACCCGTTTTACTCCAAATGGAAGAAGAAAATCTTTTTTTGTGGCTGCTCCTGATAAAAGATTCAAAATGAGGCGATGCTGCATAACGGAATGTGACGATCAATAAAAATGCAAACATTTCCAAATCCTGCTTTATTTCTGTTTTGCATACGATTGCTGGTTTTTAGATGGTAAACAAATATATTGGGAAATGAATGTTGCCGTGGGAACAAAAACAAAATAACACCAACAAAGTCATTATGTACAATTATATTGGAGATTATATATATATATATATGCAGAATTATTAGACAAATGAGTATTTTGTCCACATCATCCTCTTCATGCATGTTGTCTTACTCCAAGCTGTATAGGCTCGAAAGCCTACTACCAGTTAAGCATATTAGGTGATGTGCACCTATGTAATGAGAAGGGGTGTGGTCTAATGACATCAACACCCTATATCAGGTGTGCATAACTATTAGGCAAATTCCTTTCCTTTGGCAAAATGGGTCAAAAGAAGGACTTGACAGGCTCAGAAAGGTCAAAAATAGTGAGATATCTTGCAGAGGGATGCAGCGGTCTTAAAATTGCAAAGCTTCTGAAGCGTGATCATCGAACAATCAAGCGTTTCATTCAAAATAGTCAACAGGGTCGCAAGAAGCGTGTGGACAAACCAAGGCGCAAAATAACTGCCCATGAACTGAGAAAAGTCAAGCGTGCAGCTGCCAAGATGCCACTTGCCACCAGTTTGGCCATATTTCAGAGCTGCAGCATCACTGGAGTGCCCAAAAGCACAAGGTGTGCAATACTCAGAGACATGGCCAAGGTAAGAAAGGCTGAAAGACGACCACCACTGAACAAGACACACAAGCTGAAACGTCAAGACTGGGCCAAGAAATATCTCAAGACTGATTTTTCTAAGGTTTTATGGACTGATGAAATGAGAGTGAGTCTTGATGGGCCAGATGGACGGGCCCGTGGCTGGATTGGTAAAGGGCAGAGAGCTCCAGTCCGACTCAGATGCCAGCAAGGTGGAGGCGGAGTACTGGTTTGGGCTGGTATCATCAAAGATGAGCTTGTGGGGCCTTTTCGGGTTGAGGATGGAGTCGAGCTCAACTCCCAGTCCTACTGCCAGTTTCTGGAAGACACCTTCTTCAAGCAGTGGTACAGGAAGAAGTCTGCATCCTTCAAGAAAAACATGATTTTCATGCAGGACAATGCTCCATCACACACGTCCAAGTACTCCACAGCGTGGCTGGCAAGAAAGGGTATAAAAGAAGAAAAACTAATGACATGGCCGCCTTGTTCATCTGATCTGAACCCCATTGAGAACCTGTGGTCAATCATCAAATGTGAGATTTACAAGGAGGGAAAACGGTACACCTCTCTGAACCGTGTCTGGGAGGCTGTGGTTGCTGCTGCACGCAATGTTGATGGTGAACAGATCAAAACACTGACAGAATCCATGGATGGCAGGCTTTTGAGTGTCCCTGCAAAGGAAGGTGGCTATATTGGTCGCTGATTTGTTTTTGTATTGTTTTTTAATGTCAGAAATGTATATTTGGGAATGTGGATATGTTATATTGGTTTCACTGGTAAAAATAAATAATTGAAATGGGTATGTATTTGTTTTTTGTTAAGTTGCCCAATAATTATGCACAGTAATAGTCACCTGCACACAGATATCCCCCTAAAATAGCTAAAACTAAAAACTACTTCCAAAAACATTCAGCTTTGATATTAGTGAGTTTTTTTTTGGGTTCAATGAGAACATGGTTGTTGTTCAATAAGAAAATTGTTCCTCAAAAATGCAACTTGCCTAATAATTCTGCACTCCCTGTGTATATATATTATTACTTATTACTCTCTCTATATATATTATTACTTAAGTGTATATATGTATATAAAAAATATATGTATGTGTATGTGTATATATATACATATGTATTTTAATACATATATAAATACTTAACGCATTTTAAAAGCGAAATTCGTAATTTCCTATCGCCATGAACGCAACATTTAAACGGAACGCGGAACCTTGTGCTACGTCTTTCTTCCCAGCGGAGGCAGGAACGGAGGTACCCGAGCAGCTACTGTTAGCATGAACAACCAGGCTGTGGCACAGCAACAAAAAATCTAGTTTGGATGGCGAAAACTTATTTTGAGCGCGTAGCTTGCTCGATAAACGTTTCTTTTAGTGGGTAACCCATACATCTGCACCTCTGCGGTGTCTCGTTGCCCCTCCGGATAATCCCGTCGAGATGTCCGCTTTCTCCGAGGCGGCTTTAGAGAAGAAACTATCCGAGCTTAGCAACTCCCAGCAAAGTGTGCAAACGCTGTCGCTGTGGCTCATTCACCACAGAAAACACTCGAAGACGATCGTCACCGTGTGGTTCAGCGAACTCCGGAAAGGTGAGGCTGACCGACCGAGTTAGTTCCTCCGAAAAGCGCCGCTGCAAGTCAGAAACATGCCAGTTGATCCAGTTTAGCTCAAGCTAAAGCTACACCACTAGTTACCGTTTTAACGTCAAACAGACACCAGAAATATTACAGAGTCCTGCAGAAATTAGAATTAAATTTTTATAGGAAAATGAAAACCGAAAAGTCTTATAAAAGGGGGGGAAATTAAAAAAATAACAGCAGAAATCCTGTTTGGTGTTTTGCAGAAATTCATCAGAGGTGAAAATCATTAAGAACATTTGGAATTAACTTTTAAAAAATCAGGATTTACTCTGAAAATACAAATATTCACTTCTTCAGGTTTTCATGGTTGATTCCTCCTCATTTCTGAGTCTTGCACGCTTTTTTCCACATTTATTTTTTGAGTAGCTTTCACATCGTTGGCATGAATTCAGTTCACAGAAATGCACAAAAGTTGGATTAAATGTTGCAGAATAATCCAGGATGTGATCTATTTTTCAGAGCATCGCCATGTGGACACAAACGATTCTGTTTATTTAATTGGATTGCTAAAGGGGGAACCCAGAAGTTCAAACTGTTAATGGGGAACACATAAGAGAGACGCAGTTTGTACAGATAATCACGGATTCACGTGCACATGTGCACATTTTTAAAAACCACAGACAGCTAAGCAACACTGGTGTTGTGTCAAAAGGTGTTCCTCATCCTGTGTGTAGCCTGTCACGCCTTGTAACACTCTCTCCTCTCTGCTGTTTAAGTTGGGCGAATCAAACCAGATTAACACTCGAAAACACGTTAATTTGTGCTAGATTACAGCCTCGTTTGGTCTCTGTAGAACTTTTATGATCGTTTCCAGCAATTTTGCATGTGAGAGTGGGTCTGAAGTGTCATAAATGTTTTACTTTTATCAGAAACGGACAGATTTTAATCCTGTATGGGATTAAAACATCCTAAACAAACTTCTGTTTATCTATAGAATCTAGATTTGATCAGGGAACTAAACTGAACAGGAATGAAAAACAACGAATACTCGTTAAAGGTGTGCTTGACTGAGAAAACATTTTGTAATTATTATTTCTGATTATAATCGATCGCTCTGAGTTTTTCATGCAGACTGAACATGAAAATAGTCTCCTACACCTATCTCCTGCTTTAGCTTCTGATGGAAAATAGACCGTGAAACTCTAGGATTAGAAAATCCTGACAGATCTACGTCAAACTGTGAATTTGCGTTCATAGCTTCGCCCATCTCGACTCGCGCCCGCCCACAGGATGGCTTTAAAAAAAAAATTAGCGGGCGGAGAGAGTCTTGAGCCCCCTTCAGACTGGCCATGAAGAACGGAAATGTTCCGGAGTCTGTCCGTAAGACCTTTGTGTCTGAATACAAACATCCGGATAACGTGTTCCGGAATTTATCCGGACGAAGCCCCTAGTAACAGGTCCGGACTTGTTACGGACAGGGTGGCTGCTTCAGACTGGTGAGGTAGAGTTCCGGACAAGGGGGAGGGGGGGGGAGGAGGGGACCGGGGGACGCCGTGCGCACCTAGATAGCCCGCTGCTGTAGCATGCGGCGAACCACGACAGCTCGCCTCCTACGGTACCGCCTAGACGCGCGACGGAGCGCTTCACACCGCTTCAGTGATTCCTTTAACCATTGAGCTTCATCGTCCAGGTCTCTTATGCGTCTTCGTGTGCGCAGAATTATGCTTAAGCACCTCGTGATTTTTATCTTGAGAGGCGCTATAGAAATGATATTTTTTTCTTCTTCTTAACATAAGTCCGATTCTTCCCCACCCCCCGCCGCCGTCAGACATCTGGAACTTGTCCCTGCTGTGTGAACGCAGCCGAAAGGACAAGTTCCGGTACAAAAGTGGTGTGTCTGAAAACACAGTTCCGGTTAAAAACCGGATTGAATTGTCCTCAAATGTTCCAGAATGTCTGTCTGAAAAGGGCCTTAGTGATAGTGACTTCGCGACATGGCTGAACGTGTTCTGTTAGCCAATCAGAAGCTAGGTGTGTGCATATCATTAATAATGATGAGTAATCCTGCTGTTTACAGCAGCTAACCTCTGCATTTCACACCTGGACAATCCCGATTCCAATTCCTTCTTTCGATTCCGGTTCCTATCGATTCCCGATTCCGATTCTTTCAAGATGTGACATGCTTTACACGAGCCAGCTAACCACAGGTCCTACTTGATAAAATAATCTTAACTTCAACATGAATTTTAATTCTATGAACAACAACATCACCTTCATTTAGACAAAAACGTGTTTTGGAGGAAAAAAAGAAGACGACTTGCAGCACAGCCAGTGTGTTTGTTTCTGACCACAACCAAAGTCTGGAAGAAGCCTCTGGGATGAGAGGCTAAATGTCTCCAACATATCCAGGACCGTCCAGCTGTTTTCAGCTAAAACTCTCGGGATGATCACGTCCAGGATGACTGAGAACTACACCTCCATGCTGCAGCAGCATTCAGTCACAACAGGAAGTGAAACTTAATCGTAGCTGGCCGCGTCTGACTGCTGACGCTCCGTGTGTGTTTTTATTTCTGCAGTGAGACAAACTCACCTCACACCGTCCAGAGTTTGTTCTTTAGAGCTTCTGTTAAATCCACCGTGTTGACGTATTTAACACGTTTCCTCTACGCTGCAGGAGTTAGTTTACGTTACGGAGGAAAAGTTCGGCAGACGCGTTTGTTTATATCTGGGGGGGGGGGGGACTCGCGCCGCACACACAGCTGGTGTGATCAGCTCTGAACAGCGTTGATCACAATTTGCAGATCACATTTATTTTTCACGGAGATCATCCGCGGATTCCTCTTCCGTCGGCATTCTAGGAATCGAGTAAAAAACTTTGAACGATTCCGGGAAAAATTAACAATTGGAACCGGTTCCAGTCGATGCCCAACCCTACGAGCATCGTAGCTTTTTTTAATGACTCATGAGGTGTTGATTTACACCAGAGAACACTGAAAAGTTATTGAATAAACAAGTAAAGCACATTTTAAATGAAATGCAGATTCGAAACTCGGCTGCGGCCTTTCTGCGTGGAGTTGCGTGTTCTCCCCGTGCATGCGTGGGTTTCCTCCGGGTACTCCGGTTTCCCCCGCAGATCACAACATGCCCTATAGGTTATAAATTGTACGTCGCTTTGGATAAAAGCGTCTGCCAAACAAATAAACATAAATGAAAACAAGTGATTAAGGCTCGTTTATCCGCACTTGTCCTCCACTTGATGTTTTTTATTGAAGACCATAAACCTCAACCCTCAAATGATTTCTTTCATTATATTTTTTTGTTTTGGCGTCACATATGTTCAGCCTAACAAAGAGACTTTATAAAAATATTATTTAACATCATTTTTTTCCACTATTTCGATATAATTTATTAAAAAAAACACAAAGAAAAGATTTCATCTGCTGAGATAAACTTTTATTATTTGCCAAGATTAATTCCTAGAAGCAGCTTCTGTTAAATCTGGTGGAGTGAGCTGATGTGGCCGTTTTGAGCTTTTCTAAAAGGATGCCAGGTGTTTATTTAGCCGTAGCTAATAACGGCTGCTCTTTTCCCTGTAGAGTTTTCTCACGCTCCTAATGACGCCTCGAGTGAGTTTTGTATTTTAAGAGTCTGTCGGGAGCGAAGGGTGAGCGGGTTTAGATGGCAGCAGAAATCCGTACATCAGAACACAAACAGCTGTGTTCGTCTGGCTTGGAAGTTATACTAACGAACACCGATGGCTCCCAGCTGCAGCGACCGCTCACGCCAGGCCCTTATTCACATGTTTTGTTTATCTGTGTTTGCTCTCGTGCAGCTCAGGTGTCCCGTAAGCTGACCTTCCTCTACCTGGCCAATGACGTCATCCAGAACAGCAAAAGGAAAGGACCCGAGTTCACGCAGGATTTTGCGCCGGTCATCGTGGACGCATTCAAGCACGTTTACAGGTCAGGGAGGAGAGGTCTTCTCTCTAAGTGTCGTGCGGTTTAAGAAGGCGTTTGAGAGTCCATGTGTTTGTTTTGTTTTTGTTCAGAGAGGGCGAGGAGAGCTGTAAGAAACAGCTGGGTCGAGTTTTATCCATCTGGCAAGAGAGAGCTGTTTATGAGAACAACCTGCTGGAGCAGCTGTCACAAGTCCTGTGTACGTTCTCCGCGCCGCTGAAATCCTTTTAGCTAAAACCGTCGAGCTGAAATTCTCTCTGATTTTGTCACAAATGTCAGACGGAGAAAATAAAGCTAAGAAAAGGTCGTACGAGGAAATCCACCCTGACGAGGGCTTCACTTCCAGTCGCTCCCCAGCTGATCCGCCACAGGTGACCCCTTGCTTGCTGCGCCTCCTCTCTGGTGACGCTGGTGACGTGCACTCAAACACCTTCTGTTTCAACCGCAGACCGCCGAGTTGATACGAGCCTTGCAGGAGCTCGAAAACGCCGCCTCCAGCGACTCGGTGCTACGCCAGCGCATCTCATCTCTTCCCGCCGAGGTGCAGGATACGTCGCTTCTTCACCGGATCACAGGTGGGACTTAACGCACCTTTTGTCTTACAGCTCTGGGGCTTTTCCGACAGCACTACTCAGCGTTACTTGGATCGGTTCGCTTCGACAGCCTTTTCCACGAGCCTGGTTCGGTATTTCCCCCCAACTTTTCAGTCCCTGCTTTGTTACGGTTCCTATCGTGATGACCCGGTCTGAAAACGCAACGCCGGTGACCGCCGGCCACTGATTGGCTAGGGGGTGGAGTCACTGGTTGTTCAAGAGCCTGCAGCCACTTCCTGATTCAGAGTCTGAGCAGAATGTTCAAGAATGCTGCCAGCTGTACCTGTGTAGCCCTCAACCTCAGCTGCTCAGGAGTGGGGATAGAATAGAATAGACTTTATTGATTCCCAAAGTGGGAAAATTCACTCCTTAAAGTGACAGTGTGTATTTTCCTGGCGATAGGGAGCTGTAGATACCTGCATTGGTGCAAGCAATCTGTTATTTTTGTGGTGGAGTAAAACCTTACCAACAGATGCCCATTAGGGTCAAAAAGCCCTGGGGAGTACAAGCTTCAGCAAAATGACAAGCACATCAGACTCCCTTTCATCAGTGGTAATGAGTGAAGAGGTAAACGTGTAAAATCACATTTACGAGTGGTGAAAGTTTAGTAACCGCTTGTTCCAAATCAGTAATTGTATTTTGTCCTCAAGGGCTCCCGTAGAAGGAAACATGGCATCTAAAATGGCGTCGCCCAGAGACTTAGACCCGCCCCCATTTATTTTAGACCTGATTTTTATGGTTATATGTTATGAAACCGCCAATATTTTTCAACAACTAGGCATCATTTCATTCATTTTCAACAAAATTTTGATGGATATTTCTCGAAATGAATGATTAAAAACTACATATTGTCCCTTTAAGGCAGTGCATACACTTAAGAGTATAGAGAAAAAATAAGGGCGTTAGGCTATTATTGCAACCTTCAGCGATTAACAGGATGAATAAAATAGATAAAAATAGAAAAGTGTCTCTTGTCTAGGATGTGATGTGAGTTCCTGGTGAACTGATCCAGTGAGTTCACAAGCTCATGTGAGGAACGGGTGGGGGGAGTAACCGTCTTCAGGGGAGTGTGAGAATCTTCACCCTTCAAGGCCGAGTCGGGGAGCCAAAGTCCGATAACAGGAATTGTTTTGGAACGGGCTAGAGACGAGTTTACCTCTGCCTTCTGCTGTCTCAATGCGACGTTTTTTTAATGTTGAACATCCTAAACATCCACAAAAGTAAAAATTCTTAGTGACATTTTTCCACTTTTACAATAAGCGAACTCATGATATGCAAATTTTATGACATGCATATTTTTGGCATGCATATTCATGAGTAGCTCGGCCTGCCAGACTCCTGCTCTGTTTAATTCTGCACAGAGAAAGGCTCTGGGAACTCTCCTGTACAAATAGCCCCACCCCCTGAGAATTCTAACCGAGCCAATCAGCACTGAGTAGCGTACGTCACACACCACAACGCTGCGTTTGTCGTAAACATGGCGACTGAAGCGGAGTTCGCTGCGACTCGTTCCTCTGGTCTAAATGACTTGGACACGTCTTTAAAACAAGTAGAAGCTCTAAAAGCCTTTCTTCTAAAATAATTAAAGATGTTTGCGCCGTTGCCAGATGCCTTTTTTTATTTATTTTTTTACTACAGCTGAAAACTACAGCGTAGCGCGGTACAGTCGGCATTTCCCTCTTTTTTCTGATTGGTTATTTTTGAGCTGCCTAGTGCCTCCCTGCCTGTGAGTTACCAGACTCTTTCTCTGTGCAGAATTAAACAGAGGACGGGTCTTCAGGCCAGGCTAATTCATGAGTACTATCAAGATGGCGGCCACGCTAATACTTTCGCTCCAATAGGTGGTTCCAGTGCAGGAGGAGTTTACGTAAATGATATCTGTGGCAGCTAGCGGTTAAAAACTCCCACGAGCCTTTGCTTCAAAAGTAAAGCAGTCCAACGGGATTCTTTTATTTAATTTTGCTGCATTTGTCTCAACCAAATTTTATTATTATAAACATTCACACAAGTAACAATTCTTAGTGACATTTTCCTGCCTTCTAACAAAAATATGTGAATAAAAATACAATTTTAAGTATTTTTTGATTTCCTAAGTTTAAAAAAAAAAACTGTTTATTTCTCATGTAAATTTTATTTTTGACATTTATTTTAGTGAATAAAAATGACATATTGTAGATGTGTCTTCATAAACATTCTGGATTTATGAATGTAGTCGACTCCAAAAGGTCTATGAGTGCACGTTGTTTTCCAACAGCCTTTTTAAATCAATCAATCAATCAAAGCTTTATTTATAAAGCGCCCTGTCGCGAAGTCCAAGGCGCTGAACATGAGAGAAACAGGTAAAAACATTTAAGTAGAAAACAAATGGGTAAAACAAGAGATAAAGAGACCAATGAAAGGAGGGAATTAAAATCAACGTAAATGAAGGCTAAACTCAAACAAATTCAGGGAACGCCAAGCGGACGAGGTGGGTTTTTACAGGGTATCCGCGGGTCCTTAAAAAGTCTTAAAAAGTCTTAAATTTGCTTTTCCAAATTTAAGGCCTTAAAAATCCTTAAAAATGACAAATAATCCTTAAATACAGTTTCCAAAGGTCTTAAATTACCAAAGACCCAATAAACAAGATAATTTTATTTCTATAAAATTTTCATGAATTTCTAGTTGGTTCAGGATTTTTTGTGTATGATGTTGGCGTAAGCGGAACCGTACACATTCGGTTGGTTTGTGAAAGGGGGCTATTTTTAGAGGAGCATGCTAGTGGGAGCTTGCGCCATGGGGAAGTGCAACATTAATGGTAACGATGGTTAATCCCACGTTCACGACGTGGTTAGCACCGGTTCCAGGCAATAGCTGGAAATTAGAACTTAAATTTAATTAAAAAAAAAAAAAAGCTTAAATTTGGTCAAAGTGGCCTTAAAAAAGGTCTTAAAAAGTCTTAAATTTGGCTCCCTTAAACCTGCAGATACCCTGTTTTAGGCGACTCTTAAAGGCTGGCAGAGATGGGGACAGCCTGACTGAGGGTGGCAACTGGTTCCAGAGTGATGGTGCTAGGACTGAGAAAGGCCGGTCCCCACGAGTACAACACCTAGAACGAGGGACAGCGAGCAGGCCTTGGTCAGAGGAGCGCAGAGCGCGCGATGGGGAATGTCTGTTCAGGAATGTGGCTAGATAGGGGGAGCACTACCCTGGAAGAAATTGTAAACAAAGACGAGAAGTTTAAAGTGTAAACGATAACAAACCGTAAGCCAGTGCAGGGAGGCCAGAACCGGACTGATGTGGTCCCGTTTCCTGGTCCCAGTCAGAAACCTGGCTGCGCTGTTCTGCACAACCTGTAGGCGACGCAGTGATGATTGACCCAGTCCTGCATATAGAGAGTTGCAGTAATCAAGCCTAGAAATTACAAAAGCATGGAGTACCCACTCCAGGTGGGCTGTCGACAGCATAGGCTTGATTTTTACGTCCAGCGTCAATTTTCACCCCCAGACCGGTGACAACTGGTTTTGAGTAGGGAGAAAGAGGGCCAAGATCAACATAATGACCCACATTCCTGCTGTTGGGGTGAAAAACAATGAGCTCTGTCGTCTAAGGAGCTTTGAAAGAAAAGCGTCTGGACTAAGTCCAGACGCTTTTCTTTCAAAGCTCCTTAGACTACAATGACCTGGATGACTGAGAACCTTCACAGACAATGAGCTCTGTCTTTCCCTCATTCAGATGCAGAACGTTGGCCATTAGCCAAGACTTCACCTCGTTAAGACAGGACACAAAGGACTGGATAGAGAGACCTTTCTCCTGACACAATGGAGAGTAAGTCTGGCAATCGTCAGCATAGAGATGGAACGCTAGGCCATGTTTACGAAAGATTGACCCCAGAGGAAGCAAATAAATTGCAAACAAAAGAGGACCAAGGATCGATCCCTGCGGGACCCCCATTGGAGCTCCTCCCAAGAAGAAAAAACGTCACCTAAGCCCCCTTCAGACAGGCCATAAAAAACAGAAATGTTCCGGACTCTGTCCGTAAGACCTTTGTGTCTGAATACAAACATTCGGATAACGTGTTCCGTAGTTAAATCGGACGATGCCCCTAGTAACAGGTCCGGACTTGTTACGGACAAGGTGGCTGCTTCAGACTGGTGAGGTCGAGTTCCGGACAGGGAGGAGGGGGAGGAGGAGGACACTAGGGGATGCTGTGCGCTCCTAGATAGCTCGCTCCTGTAGCATGCGGCAAACCATGGCAGCTCGCCTCCTACGGTACCGTCTAGAAGCGCGACGGAGCACATCACACCGCTTCCGTGATTCCTTTAACCATTGAGCGCCATCATCCAGGTCTTTTGCGTCTTCGTGTGCGCAGAATTATGCTTAACATTAGTCCGATCCCCCCCAGACATCTGGAACTTTTCCCTGCTGTGTGAAGGCAGCCGAAAGGACAAGTTCCAGTACAAAAGTGGTGTGTCTGAAAACACAGTTCCGGTTAAAAACCGGACTGAATTGTCCACACATGTTCCGGAATGTCAATCTGAAAAGGGCTTTGGTTTAACACAGAATGTCCTGTTGTGAAGATACGATCTAAACTAATCCTTATCAATATTTTATCCCTTCTTTGCACAAGAACTTTGACTAAAACTACATTTCGAGCGTTCCTGTTTGCAATAATCAGTCACATCTACGTTTAAACAAGATAAAACCAGCAAAAACTCCTGCGTCATTACCATGGAGGAAACCTTGCATCCTCTGATTTCTGCAATTTATCAGATATGACTGAATTTATGCATTAATGCAGTGATCTTGTTCCAGATAAAGAGTCAGGAGAGCGGCTCTCCCGGCTCGTGGAGGAAGCCTGCATGCTGTTGGCAGACTACAGCGGGCGCCTGGCGGCGGAGATCGATGACAGGAGGCAGCTGACTCGCACCCTAACGGTCTTCCTGCAGAGCCAGAAGGACGGCTTGGCCCAAAACGAGCAGAAACTTGAAGTGCGTAAATATTGCTTTTCTTTTGTAGCTAAATTATTTGATTTTAGTTTTGCAATTTTCTGTCGTCACCTTCAAGAAAGTCATTTTTAGCCTTTGGATCTGGTCGCTGGCCTCGTGGTGAGTATTAAACACTCGAGTTTTCTGGTTTTATTACTGATAACTCTGCAGCCTTTCCCCACAGAAATCCAGCAAAATAAAGTCTCACGTGTCTCTCCAGAAATGTTTCTTAAATGAAAATAAAACATGAAAATGACTTTTGTCGGTGCTTTTATTTAGCTCCTGTTGGAGTTTGGGCAGATTTTACTAATGATCTTTGAAATGAAAAACGCTCATAAACAGATCAGCTCAGTGCAACATAAGTAAAATTTAAATAAAAAAAAAAAAACATAAAAGTCCCAGATCTGAGAAATGAGATAATTACACACGACTTTCTAATTTGCTACACTGCAAAAACTGATTTGTGAGAGAGAAAAACGTTTGAATTGTTATGCATTTTGTCTTAATGTTAGTCTAAATACTTTTAAGTGGTAGTTTTTATCGTTTATCTCTGGAAATGTACATCAGAATGTTGAAAAAGAATGAAACGATGCCCAGCTGTTGAAAAATACTGACGACATTGTAAAATATAGTCATAAAAATCGGGTCTAAAATACATGGAAGCATGTCTAAATCCAAACGCCATCTTAAACACTGTTTCCTTCTACGGGAGCCTGTAAGGACAAAATGGATTTACTGAAACGGTCACAAATTTTCGCCATTCATCAGCATTGTTTTACACATTTACCTCTTCACTCGTTGCCGGTGATGAAAGGGTCTGATGTGATTGTCACTTTGCTGGAGGTTGCACTCCCAGGGATTTTTGACCCTAATGGCCTCCCGTTAGTAAGATCTTGCTCGAGCACAAAAATACAGCTTGCTTGCAACGATTTAGGTATGTACTCCCCTTATCGCCAGGGAAACTACACACTGTCACTTTAACCCTTTGATGTATAATGGTCACTACAGTGGACAGGTACTCAAAATTGTTATTTATTTATTTTTGCTATTAAGCACAGCTGTTGAAGACTTTATTGCACTTGAGCCCCTCCATTTGGACCTCAGTAAGTCAAGCCAACATATTTCATGTTCGGAATGCACGCTGTCCATTGAGGTGGACATGTAATAAACTATTTGTAAATTATTAAATGTTACAAAAAATATTTGTTGAAATTTGTTTCATTCACACCTAAAGATGAATGAAAAAAATTGTAAAAAAAAAAAATCATGGTTGAAGATTTCATAATTCATGCATCAAAGGGTTAAGATGAGGTAAATATTTGTTAATATGATCCAAATTTTATTGTTTTGTATTATAAAAAAACTTCCAACGGGGTAAGCAAACATTGCTTGACATAAAAATTTAGATTATTTTGGTAGTTTTAGGAATTCTACCCAAGCAACAAGATATTTTTAATTAAACATAATAATTTGAATCATATTTAGGAATATTTATCTTATTTTAAGTAACACTGTTTTCCTAGAGAATTTATTTTTTAGACAAACAATAAGACAAAATGTCTAAAAATTAGATTTTTTAAAAAGTTGTTAAGAAATCAGTTTTTGCAGTGTACCCAATTTAATCTAAACCTAAAGGGTCCTTAAAAGTAAAAACACAAGAAGTAAACGTATCTGCTATAATTTCCACATATAAAGGATAGTTTTGCTGATTTAATCCCATTTGTTGTTTATTTTTTTGGATTTACTGACTTTATTTTTCCTCCAGCTACATCAGAAACGCTAAATTTGACCTGTTTTCGACAAAAATAACATTTAGTTAAAAGTAAATAGAAATTAAAACCATTGTACGTCTTCTGTGGGAAAACATAAAGAAAGTGTCTGCAAATTCAAAATATTTAATATTTATTTAAATTTAGGATTAACATTTAGTTGCACAAACCAGGTCTGATGATTTTTTTTTTTATTCTGAAACGTTTTCAGGAATACAAGAGAAAACTGGCGAGGGTGTCGCAGGTCAGAAAGGAGCTGCGATCACGGCTGAGTGCTCTCTCAGAGGGACTCTACAACTCTTCTAAATGACTGAAGTCTTTCGTCACCACTGCTAGTGAAACTGCTGAACTCACGTCTGCTAAAACACGACCCCAGCGTCTGTCTCTGGTGATCCTGTGGTCCTTGTTCCGTCTCGGGACGGATCCTTCCATCGACGTCTCCAGCTTTCTCCGTGTACAAGCTCGTGTTTTAATGTAAAACACTGTAAACTAAAATTAGTTAACTCTAACTCTTTGCAGCTTCAAAGTGGTCTGCCTGCTGTGGTTTTTCTATTTGTAGGGACTTAAATAAAGTAGAATTTGTATCTATTCAGGAACGCTTTAGTTAAAATAATGTTAACAGACGCGCTTCCTCGGATTGATGAAGTCATTCAAACTTAAATCACTGATTATTTTACACCACAATTGCAAAAACGGTCATAATGCATAAATCGAACCACAACATTATGTTTCTTTGTGTAAGGGTCGTCCTGATTGGTCACAATATAAGTTTGCATGTAAGTACAGTGGAGGTGTACTTCCTTTCAATCGTGTTATATGTGTCAAAGAGTTTCCAGAACAATTGACACGTTTATCTCCTTGTTTTTATGTACATGCACAAGTGAAGGAGTGTTATGTTTGATGTGTTCTCTCTCTAATGCTGTGCAGAGGCTTCACACACCTTGACAAATGTTCCGATTTCCAAAGCAAGACTAAGAAAATGTCTGTTTTTTGTAATGAAGCAGCCAAGGCTTATTAGAACCAAATAAATGCAAAATGTACCTGTTTCTGTTCTTTCTGGTTTTAAAGCTTTGGAAAACAAATTAGCTTGAAACTTTTTTTTCATGCCTCCTAACAACATTTTAACATAGTATAGCTGTAAATTGTGGAGAAAAAGTGATTCTCGCTTTTGTCCAAAAACCTAAAAGCACATTTTGGACCTTCCGGTTGTCGGTCTCACCAAACTGATGCACTTTCCTGGGTCCTCTACTCACTAGTGTACTTGGCAAAAGAGCTCCGCTGGTGTTCAGAGAAGAAGAAACAGCTGGCTGCTACCACTCCCAATTTTAGGACAAACTACCAGAGTCCCAAAGAAAAAAACACCATTTGATACCAAGGACAACAAAACATTTGGACCTAGAAATGGTGATTGGTGTTAAGCACTATCTTGTTTCCGAGGGAAGATCACAGACATATATACGTAGGTGCCCTGTGGACTGGAGCTGCTGCCAGCCGCCATCTTGGATGGGTCTTTATTCGCCCCCAGTGCATTCATTTTTACTGATACCCAAAACATTTTATCAAGCTTTTTCACAAAATCGACTCAAAGTATGAAATGTTAATAAAAATATAGTTATAATTAAATAAATAAAATTTTATATATACAATCCTATCAGGTATGCTGGAAAGGTCAATAGTAGTCCCACGTGATCTGTTTTCAGTTATGTGCCAGTTGTAGCCTTCACAAAAATGGGCATAGTTGTGCTCTCTGCATTGATTTTGGAAAGTGAGGAGACCCATCCAATATGGCGGTGATGCTGTTCCTCTCTCCAGCGTCCAATGAGGCGTCTACCTTTGGGGAAGATATCCAAGGGAAGGGGAGAATGTTCTGTGACCTTGTTGGTGTTCAAAACCTAGCTTGTTTGTAGATTCGCCATAATAGCCTTAAAGGGAGACTAGGCATTTTTGGTTTGCTTTTAGCCCCCCCCCCCCCCAGTGCCCATTTTGTCAAACCGAAAGCAAAATCTCTTCGCTGTGCATTTGTCTTTTTAACAGCTGAAATGTATCCCCAGCCTTCATTAGTGTCTACAAGAGTGGTTAATCAATCAATTAAAGCAGCGGTTCCCAAACTTATTTAGCCGTGCACCCCCTTCTATGTCCCGACCATGTCGACAACCCCCCCCAGCCCCACATCAGGACATGGCTATATATATATATATATATATATATATATATATATATATATATATATATATATATATAGCCCTATAGCCAGATATATAGAAATATATATATCAGATGTCAAGCTAAACAGTCACTCGACAGACAGGGTTAAAAAAATATGATCGACCTTTTTCCCCATCACTTTCATTTTTATGTTTATGTATTATGTATTTTTGAAATAGTAATTAATAAACATTCAATACATTACGATTTCCTTTGATTTAATTTTAAATAAATATTTAGAGTGCCCAGGTAGCACAAAAACAATGCAATTTATCGGTTTTCTTGAAGCAGGAACGTTTAACCAGAGCTTTCTCCTTCCTTCTGCTCTGCGTAAACCTGAACCGGTCACCTACTTGTGCGTAATCAATTGTCTATAGTGGAAAAGATGGAAAAGCTATAGCCATGAGGTTCACTTTTGCCTCAGACCGACTTATCGCTGTTTTATGGTGTGGCTGAATCTGCGATCCGCTGCCACGCAGACTGGAATAACAAATGCTGCAGTAACATGACTTGTGGTCAGGTTCATGAGGAGTCACTGGCTGGAGCGGACTTGACTTTCATACGTCATCCCAAAATAGAAGCTAATATCTTAATTTGACCTTGAATGAAAAATGTTATAAAACCTCTTAAAAGTTATTTATCATGGAGGAGGCAGCGCTCATTTCTGCCTTCAGTCTGACGGCGCCCCAGAGTTTGCGCAGCGTGCGCTTGTTGAATCAGTATGTGTGTGTGTCTGTGTGTGTGTGTGCGGCACAGCTCCACGAGCCGCTCCAGTCACCGCGTCTCGTTAATGGCGCTATTTAAACCAATGTTGCAAAATTATTTATGCCCAGCCCAGATGTGCTCACATGTGCACCCGTGAGCCGTGGTTCAGCTGGAACGCGTCTGACCTCTGACAGACGCACTCTGAACTGCAGATCTTCAGCGCGCTAATAGCCTGACACGTTTAGAATGCTGTCCCACAGTCGGTGTGCTAATATAATAATATAATAATGCTAAAATGCTCAGATAGGAATCATTTCTTGATTTATTTTGTTACATCCACAATGTTCTGTGTGTGAGGTTTACAATGTCAGAACACCTGCATGAGACAGGTGTTAATTACAATCTGCCAGAATGACTCGCCACCTTCAGATTCCCCCAACATTGTTAAAAATGATCAAATATTGAACATATCTTGCTATTGACAGCGTGCACAGGCCAGAGTGCCGATGCTCGGCACATTATTATTATGAAGCTAGGGCACATGCGGAGGACACACACACACACACACACACACACACACACACACACACACACACACACACACACACACACACACACACAAGCAAAATATACTTGTTTTCAATTGCATTCATTGGGCCCACTTACTTTTTCTTAAGCCCACCCACAAATGAGTTTCTGGCTACGCTAATGGTGACATATGACAGACTTCTCTGAGATCCGCAGCCATTACACTTTTCACCTCGCGCACCCCCTAGCGGCAGCTCGCGCACCCCCCATTTAGGGAATCCCTGGACAAATCAGCTGTGTTCATGATCTAAAACATACAAGAAGCATGCTGGAAGCAGACTGCAGCGCCAAGTATGTCAGCTCCAAGACCAACAGATCTGACCGGCTCTCTGAAGTTGCGGTATTCTGGCCACAGAGGGTGGTGAAGGTCTGAGTTACATTTCATTAACCATGTAAAGGTTAATTTTAGAACATACTGGCTCAAGAAATTTTTTTAAAAATATGAAAAAGTTGCAAAGCATCCCTTTAATGGATGTTTTTGCATTCAAATTGCTGTATCTAATGTGACCAGAGGGAGGCGCAAGAGAACTTCCGCTTGCTTCTTTGCTTGCAAGTGTGCGCTCGTTTTAAACACCAGTGCCTCGTTTTTACAACGGTATCCGTGTTTAAAATTCATCTCCGCTCGCTCAGGCTCCCGCGTAATACTTGGCTAACGTACAGGAAGTAGTGATTTATTTTATAGAAAATCGTCGTAAGCGCATTGCTTGTATAAACAAATGCATTTGATTTAGTTTTCTCTATATTTAGAATATTTGACGCTTATCATTTGCTGTAGTACTAAGTCATCGTGCAGTTGCTATAAGAAGTTTTTCTTTTAAAGCGAACACGGTTTCAGGTAAACACGTGCTAACAAATTAGCTTTTTTAGCTGCGAGAAAGGTTTGTTCAATTATCTGTGAAAGACTCGATAATGGACAACATAGAAACACCCTACGACGACGAGGAGGATTTTATTGAATGCAGGGTAAGCTTCTGGTTTTTTAAAACACGGAATATGTAGGTCAGTTAACGTTTAGGTGAAACGAACGCAGCACAGTTAGCAAGCTTAGCTAAGCTAACTTAGCCAGATCTCTAGCGCCCCTACTTAACAGCAGATCAGTAAAAACACGGTTTCTTTTGTTTTGTAACGTGAAGTTAAACTTTCAGTGTCTTGAAAAAAATAATAAAATTTTCTGCTGAAGAGTTCCCAGAGATTGTTATACTGGTTTATTTTCACTGTAAATATTTCAGAACTAATGTGTACATTTATATAATTATTATTTAGAAGGATGGACACACTCCCCTTGTCTTAGAGAAACAACATTTTTGTAGATTGTTTCTAAATAAAATAATGTATGCATAAATATACCAAATATGTATAAATTCGAAACAGGCTGAAGCTGCACACAGATGGAATCAGCTTCTTTCTGACCTCAGATGTGCCCCCGCTCTAGTAACTTTTAAATCAAAATAGAAGACTTTAGGATGGACAATATATCGGCATCAATATCTATATCGGCCATGTTAGTCATTTTTTAACATGTTGGTATTGGTTCGATAAATAAAACCGGGCCAATATTAACGACTGATATTTTTCCCATCTTGTCTCCATTTGTTTGCCTGTTTCAGAGGGTGAGGGGGGTGATGTGTGATTGTTTAGTCATGTGAACAGTGAATGAAATCATCTCAGAAGCGTAAATGTGTGTGTTGTGTGAACATAACGCAAATTAAGCCTTAATAATTTGCATTCTATACAAAATCTGCTGATATTTGAAGCTTTAATGTCAATAAATCAGTATGGGCAAATATTGGTTATCGGCCATAACAGTGATCTTAATATCGGTATCTGCCCAAAAATTTCATATCTGTGCATCACTAGAAAATTTTCATGAATTCATTAGCCGTTGAATGACTTTCTCCTATGCTGCACCTTCTGCACTGTAACTGCTCACCTTTGCCTTTTTATCAGATTCTTATGTCTAACAATGTGCTGTTCTGCTGATACTAAATATTATTATCTTGTATCTTTTAACCAAGGTCTGTGAAAAATCTCTAAGAGGTGAAACCCTGTACAAAATCCACGTGACCACTCCAGGGCATCTAAAGGTACACTACTCATGCTTATGCAGTCTGCAGAAGGAACTGCTGACAAAGCTAAACCATTAGTGATTAGTGACAGGCTTCTAGTAGTGCATCTCATTCAACTGGTTTAAGTTGAGAAGCATTTGCTAGTTGTTTCATTTTAATTTTTTAGCTTTTAAAACTACTGGGAATGAAGACAAAGGATTAAAGAAATTATTAATATTAGGGTTTTCTATCATTTAAAGCTGTTTGTCTGACTTATTAATGGATAAAATGGTTGCAGGATGAACATTTTTATTGATTGATATATCATCAAATGGTGAGTAATTTGGGTGATGAGGTTTAACATTCTTTAACGTCCATCATTTGACCAATAAAAACCAGCTTGTATTCTGTCTGCTTCATGATAGTTACGGTGATTGATCCATGCTTTATCTGCTGGTTTAAAGCCCTAAATATGTTTTGTTTTTAATTGGCCCAAGGTTGTAGACATCATCTTTCTGATGGACCCATAAACCATCACGAACAATATGTCCTGGATGAAAGTTCTGTTTTTTGTGCTATTGGTAAACAGTGCCTTCTAGAGTCCTACAACCCCCCAAGGCACTTTACAACATAAAGAAAGAAAACAATAATTTCTATAGCGCCTCTCAAGATAAAAATCACGAGGCGCATAAGTCATTCACCCATTAACGCACACACTGATGGTGATGAGCTAGATTGTAGCCACAGCTGCTTTGGGGCACGCAGACAGAAGCGAGGTTGCCGTACGCTGGCACCATTGGTTCCTCCGACCACCACCAGCAGGCAAGGCTAATGAAGTGCCTTGCCCAAGGACGCAATGACTGCAACAGACTGAGCAGGATACGATCCTGGAAAATTCCGGTTTCGGAGCGCCCATTTAACCCCGTTTGCGGGCGCGACTGTGGAAACATGATTCTTGTAAGTATGAAGGTGAACACTGGGGGCCAAAGAGGATCTACCATATGTCGCGTTAAACTTTTTTGTTGTTTGTCATTTTGACCGACGGGTTTTAAATCGACCGGCCTTGATCATTTTTACCCCGTCGCGTTCAATATCATTACATTTTCCTTAATATTTGGTTCAAACAAGCTGACCAGAGTGCCCCGGTAACATATCAATGTTACGTTTTAATGATTTCCAATGCCACTTAGAGTGGGAACGTTTCACTTGGCTGATGCGCACACCTTCCTTCTGCTGCGCGTGTACCTGAACCGTACACCTGCTTGTGCTTAATTAAATGTCTCTAGGTGGCTTGCTGAAGAGGCTATAGTCATGAGTTTCTGGACTTTTACATCAGAGATACTCATGGTTGTTTAAGTGCTCTGGAGGATCAGGGAACATTTCTACAAATGAAACAACCTGAAGTCTGCAAGACTCCAGAAGAGTTTCCAGAGCAGGAAAACACGCTTCAGCGCATGGTTCTGCTGCACTGGCCTGTGATCCAAAGATGCGGTCCAAACTCGTCTCCACAGCTCTTTAGCGTGCTGTCAATAGTGAGATGCGTTGAGAATGGTGTCCAAGTATGACATAATGCTCAGATGGGAATATTTTCTTGACTGATTTTGTTACCGCTGCTATGTACTCTGTGTAACGTTTAAAATGTCGGCACACGCTTGAGTCGGTGTGTGAATTGAAATCTGTCAAAATGGCCGACAGCCATCGGATTTTTCCGTTACTGTTTAAAAAAGGTCAAATCTGGAAAATATCCAGTTAATGCAACCCCTCCCTATGAGTCATTAGCATTGATTCAAGTGAAACATCTCTCTTTCGCAAAACCTCATCGCAAGGTGGGAGCAAAGAACCCCTCTCCAAGCTTTGATACAATGGATAAGCCCAACCCCCTTTTTTCAGCCCCACCCCCCCATCCCCGCCTCCAGACTGCAGGAGTTTGCCTTATGCAGTAGATACTGTTGAAAGCCCATGAACACATAACGTTGCCTTTTCGACCAGTTGTTGGCGCCTTTTCTGCCATAATTCCTAACGCAGCGTCTTGCAACGAGGCAACAGTGCTAGCATCTGTGCCACTATTAGACGTAGACGTAACGTAAAACTGCAGCGTTGACGTGGAGTGCCGTGCGTTTAATGCTTCTGATGTTTTTCACCACCGAAGCACAAGGCTAGCTTCTCCTTTCTTTTAACGACCGCTACGTTGCAGTTTCTGTGATTGGAGCTTTTGTTTCCTTGTTCAATTTTGCTTTGTAGTAAAGAGCAACAACTACGCCATGAAGCAAAGCTACTTGGAAAGACACTAAAGGAACATCTGAGTATGTGAAAGCCTATGTTTTGTATTATCTTTGAACAACTTACTAGGGATGTCCCAATACAACTTTTCCACTTCTGATACAATACCAATATTGCAGCCTTCAGTATTGACCGATGCCGATATCAATCCGATACGATATCAGCACATATCATACATACTTTTACCTATTTCATAGTGTGGAATCTATGAAAGGCTTGATCAAGTGATATTACTCCGTTGGAAAACAAGTGCCAATAACAGTAAGTATGAAAAAAAGACAATTTTTTTTCTTAACCGTTGGTTGCAAAAATGTGAACCTTAACGGACTGCTTATATCGGAGATTTTAGATGCTGTTCGATATAATCCGATACAGTTTTTCGGCCGATATCGACTTATTTCCGATATCGGAACGGGACATCCCTACAACGTACCCAAGAAGACTTCTGTACGGACAACCGGCTTCAGCTGAATTTGGTTTCATTCACGTTTTTTGTATCCTACAAATGAACAGAAGTGAGTATAAATAAAAGACGGTGCTTTGCGTTTCTAACGCCAAGTTAAAGTTTTGGTTCAGGTGAGTATGGCCAGGCCCAGTAATACAGAGTGAGATCAAGTATAAAAAATTTCTCTGATCCATTTCTCTGTTTGTTGTACATTCAGACTACAAGTATCCTGTACATTTAACGCTAATAGTCTAATGTTCTGCTTTCATTCCTGGCAGAAAGAGGATGCCCTTGTTGCTGAGGGTAAGTAGACCGCATCTTTAAATGAATCCTTTCAGTTATCTGCTTGTGACACAACGGTGAAATTTCTGTTCTGGCTCCTGGTTTTACAGGATATCGTTTTCGTGTACAACCGATCGTAGTTGTGACCTGACAACTATTTAAACTGGAAATGTGTTGAGCTACTTTAACTCATTCACTGCCAGCCGTTTCCTGATCACTAACGGCCTTCGCTGCCAGCGTTTCTCACCGTTTTTACTGTTTTTTTAAGAGTCACAGAACGTTGCATGCTAGCATGATGTTGATGCCAAAACAACCAAACCAAAGCGGAGACTCACCTCTTACATCAGGAAGAGTCCGTGTGTTTCGAGCGTTATCCGTTCTTTCATAATCCGTTGTTGAATTGTGATCGGCAGACGCTTTTCCGGTTCGCACCTCACTTTTTTTACAGGAACTGCCCAAACGATCTCCAAACACATGGATGTGTTGCTTCCCGATCATGTGATCTGTGACGTATGCGGATGAAGATCGGCTTCAGGGCTGAGATGTTTGTTCTCTCAGCGCGGGGGCTCGTTCCGATGCTCAAACAGTAAAAAAATGCAAATGACGACTTTAGTCGTCAATGGGAGTGAATGAGTTAAAGCTAGCTGTGCACAACCTATAGCTACCCAAAAAAATTTACCCCCCCCCCCCTATATATATATATATATATATATGCACAGTTGTATTTCCACCAAGGTCTGAAGTTTAGGGTAGGTTAGATGAATAACATATCGGTTCTCGCTCTGCCTCAGTGCTGCACTGATAAAGTTGTTCAGTCGCCGTTGGTCAGACAGCTGCATAAACAACTGGAGGAGCACCACAGCCACTAAAAGTTAACGAATCGCAGGAATGCTTTTTGTTTGCTAGCTAAACTTTTAAAATCTGACTTCTTTTAGCTTTGAGCAGGAAAAGCTGTAAAGTTGGACCAAAAAACCGTAAAATCAGATCTTATCGCAGACGACTGTTGCGCTAGACTTTTTCCTTGTCAATTATTTTGACTGACAGTGTTAAAAAAATCCCGTCAATCTGTTTAAACTTGTCAGTTACTTTATTAAATGGTAATTTTGACGTGTTCAGTAGTGTCTAATTTTAATTAATAACCAGTTGGTACATGGTGAACAGAGAATCCACATCATGCCCATATCGTTCTGGAGGACAAATCCAAACCAGTTGGCAATACCCTCTAAACAAGGGGTTCCTGATCGTGAAAGAACTCCCAAGGATGTGCTCCTGGTTTCGTTCAACTGCACCAGCCTCTGATCGCTCCAGGTCACAGACGTACTCCAAAAGCCTCCTCTAACTAAGTCTTCAATGCGCTGTCAGCTCCCGGTTAGCGAGATGCATCATGTACTACTTACACCTGCGATTTACTCTGCGCAGAGATGAAAATGATCCTCGTCTACAATTATCCATATTGAGGTTATCAGGACTTGTGAGAAAAAAGGAAATGAATCTGAGATGGTTGAACGAAGAAGAAACCATCACTAACGCCACCGTGTGCCGCCCCAAAGATCCAGGGGGCTGTTCAAAGAACTTCCTTTTTTCAGCGTTTTGCAGAGAAAAGAATCTTCCCCAGATCTCCATCTCCCAGGATGTAAGAAGACCCTGCCACTAACCCACTCTTACAAAGAAATGGGTGCATGCTTACTTGTCTGCGCCAGAAAGCAGGTCTTTTGCTTGGGACCTGATGATAACCTTGCAGCGCCTCTGGTTAGACCTAGTTTATACTTCTCCTTCTGTGGAGGTGTGAAGACACGCAACTCAATCATCCGTCGCCACAAGGACTCTCCAACAGACTCAAATGGATGGACGGAGTAGAGCCCAACTTTTTAAATATCCGTAAAAAGAGACCACTAACCTGTGATTGGTCAGGACGCTGCTTCCTTTAACTTCTTCGGCAACTGCAGATTTTTTAAAGTTTCACATAATTGTGACTCGCCATCACGTTGGATGAAGACAGAAAAAGTAACAACCAAAATTGCCAATTTGTGGTAGTCTACTTTTTTCTTTGGTTCGCAATGAAGCAAAGTGGATCTGGGTATCTGACTTCTCATCCAGGAATGTTTTCCTGTCATCTGTTTGCCCCATACCACCCCTTCCAGAATAAAAATCTTGCGCACTTCTTATCAGAAGCTCCTGGTTTCCCAATATCCTGTGCAGAAGGGGGTGCCATCTGCCAGCTAAGTCAGAAGGTGCATGAGACGCTTGACAGATGTTGAAGGTTGAAAGAAGAACCACCTCATTTACAATGACAATTCTAACATGACTGAAACGTTTCCAGATTCAGTCAGCTCCTATTTATTTGGGACTTTGATATACGACTAATCAGGCAATTTTATTATTATTTTTTTAAATTAATTGATTTGTTAATAGTTATTTCAGTGGATGCCTGCTTCCGGTTGTGACAGGAAAGTTGGCGCTGTGGACCTTGGAGGGGTTATTCCAGGATCAACCTCAGAGATCTGTGTTCAGAATTAATGCTGTCCAAGGAAAAGCATTCAGGCCTCTGGTAGACGACTAGAGGTTCATGGTGAAACTTAGGTTGGAAAAGAGTAGAATGCCTTTTCCAGGTCAGGGATCAGGTGCTGCTTCAAGTGGAGGAGTATCTCAGAGGGGCCATTTGAGTTGGCTGTGGCATCTGGTTAGGATGCCTCCTGGATGTCTTCTTGGTGAGGTGTTCTGGGCACATACAACCAGGAGGAGGCCCAGAGGAAGACCAAGGACATGCTGGAGGGACTGTTTCTCGACTTACCTGAAAACGCCTTGGGATTCCCCCAGAGAACCTAGCCCAAATGCCTGGAGAGAGGCAAATCTTAGCTTCTCTGCTTAGGCTGCTGCCCCTTTCAAAGGCAGAAGATAATGGATACAGTGGCAGACTGGCCACTTAAAGCACCAGGACATTTCCCAGTGGACTGACAACTGAACTGACCTGCTTGGTGTTGTTGACCGCACCACCAACCCACCCAACCCCACCCCTTTCCCGCTTGCTCGAATGGATATACAGCAGTGATTAGCTGATCTGGTACCAAATTGGTAATTGGTACCAAATTCCCGGCCTGAGTAATTAGCCGTTTTTGCAAAACAATTCTGTCAATTTGCCACAATGCAGTGGCAACATCAGGAAGACTTAGGTCGTATATAAGGGGTCAGACAGTGGCGGTAATGTGGCACAATCGTGTCCTTTTTACAAAATATTAGGCGATGGCGGTATAAAGGGGGTATGGGAGTGGTCCCTGTGCTCCTGCGGACTTCCGTTTATCTTGGACATAACTTGCTTTTTATGGCGAATGAAGGCGCGCTCATTAAGGTTTTTTGAAAAGCCGCTCCCAAAGATGTCTGTCCCCCGCAGTCCCGTGCAGTCTCAGGTGATCGGAGCTCCAGCTCCAACGGAGAGAAGCTCCTGGAGCGCTGCATTGCTCCAGTTTGCCATCTCAGCTGACTTTGCTCCAAAAGCAAAACTTAAGCCCTGTTATTACTTTCAAATTCAATATAGTTGCCGGCCGCAGCTCGACAGTAACTCCCCACGTGATCATGACAGCTACCTCTGTTGCGCCAAGGCGCAATCGCCGTTTCTAGGACTGGCAATTACCGCAATATTGCTACCAAGCGAGGCGGGACAAATTCTGCAGAATTCGTGCATCGCCGGCATGGCACGTTTTGTAAGACATACAGTTGCAGTAATATTTGGCAAATTTGGCAGCACGATGTGTCTTGTAAAAAGGGCTATTGTCTCAGTCCTCTCCTGAATGGATGGAAAGAATAATACCCCAACGCAGTCTTAAGGTCAAGGCACCGATGGGTAAAGAAGATCAACATGGTTTTTTGTTTCACTTACAAACTGAAGTGTTGTATTTGATTTTAGATCTTTTTGTGTTTTGTTTCACTCAAACCACACATTTGATGTTTGTTAAGCCCTCACTTCACTCTTCTGTGCGTTCCTATTCTAACTACAATCACTTGACTTTGTCCAGGAAGAGCTACCAGACAACGCCTCGTACCGAAGTTTGACAACATTGTGGACTATCTGAAGTACCTGAATATCAACGAACCTATTATTGGTGAAAAGTTTGGTACAGAATTTTAATTCACCATTAAATTCTAGATGACAACTTTAAATTTTTTTTCCCTATGTCTTAGGTTTAAACTATTTGGAAGAAGTGGTTGGTTTCGACCCGCAGTTGGGCCCCAAATACTTTTGCAGGTTGTGCAATCAATCGGCAGTCCTCGCCGAAATGGTTTGCCACGTGATTGGACGGAAACATCGTCAGAGATATGTGGTAAAGCATTGTGAAGGATGATTTTTTTTTTTTACTTTGGACAACATATATGTGTTTAAAGTTATTAAACAGTTTTGCCTTTGTAGGAGATGAGGCGTCCGGATTTGGCGACCGGGACCCTGAAATCCCAAGGAGGTAAAAGCATTCGAGCCAAAGCAGAGATAGTTGAGAGGCAAGATGGACGAGGGAATCCAAAGGTGAGATGCACAGGTCAATATTGTTGAATCTAAATCAAATAAAGTTCTTTTATGGGTGTATCTTGTAACATTGTTTACATATTTGTGCCACAGCTACTTACTAAAAAGGCAAGGGGGGTGGAAGGCAGGTTAAACATCACAAGAGGTACTCTACCCTTCACCTGAAAGTTGAAAGATGGTAGATTTAAATATGTATTAAATGACTTTCTTTTTCTCGCCTAGTTCCTCCAAGTGAGAGGCAGTACAGGAAGCAACCCACCCCACCAAAGTCCTCTCGGGATTTGCCACCTCTGCTACCAGAATTCAAAGATTATCACAGAAGGAAAAATCCAGGACTTGAGCTTTATCCAGATGAGGCTGGCATGAAAAGACGGCTTGAAGAGGAGGACAGTTTCAGCCAAGGCCACCTTCAAGAGGATCGAGGCAGGTCCTATTACGGAGAGGAGTTTGATGATAACAAAAAACCTGATTATCACAGATCGTACGAAAAGAACCAAGCTCCACGAAACAGCAGGACACTTGGGCGGTATGAAGTTGCCAGGTATGAGGATGAACAGCGTCCTCAGAGCCAGGATCCTGCCGACCGTTATTACCCGACAGAAGCACCTGTGTTTGAGAGGCACTACCCTGAAAGGGATGCACTGGAGGAGTTCTACTCTGAAGAAGTCCGGCGTGGCCAGGATCGTTCTCGTGGATCACAGCCCTCATCTGAGATGATGCCCCCTGAAGGTGATGAACCTCTGTGGTCCATGGAGAGGGGATCTGGTAGGCACGACAGAAGGCACGGATCGAGTGAACCAGAACCCAAGAGGAGAAACTTGGATTCAACCCTTGAGCATGACCAATCGTACAGCAATATGTTTAATATAGTCAAAGACTATCATCATAAAACAAGCGGTCCATATGCAGAGGAGGAGTTCGACAGTCCTGGGATCAGCGGAGCAAGGCCACCCGCAGGCCAGGTTATTAGGGACTATGATACTCTGACCAATTTACCTGAGCCATTCAGACGTTTCCTGAAAGCCGGGGAGGATAATGACAGGAGGAATAAACGAAGGAGTCGCTTTTCTGATGCCTCCCCAGATGAGCTGAATAAAGCTAAGGAGATGTGAGTGAAACCATTTTAAGAATTGTCTCGGCCTTTGTTGCGGTTACTAACGTTTTTTTGTCTGAAGGTTCAGAGATGATCACCACCGTAGTGATAGAGATCCAAGATCAAGTGGTGGACCAATGACGGCCCAAATACAATACTCAGATCCCCACCAAACACTGCAGGTAGGTAACGTAGAAACTAGGGCTGCAGCTATCGAATATTTTTGTAATCGAGTACTCTCAAATCTTTTATCGAGTAATCGAGTACAAACTTTTGTGTTTGTAAACCATTATATCAAATAGCTAGTTATAAAATATGACAGACCTCTTAAAACGAGCACGCAGTTGCCAGTTATTCTTCAAGTTTTATTCAAAATTAGTTTTCAAAACTTCAGCACTTCAACTTTACTTCACAGCAAACAAATGCCTGTGCAGAAAATAAGTATACAACCTGAGCCGATATTCCTCTCGTGCAAGAAGTAGCACAGCGAGCGGCTGCGGCCCAAACAGCACCAGAACCGCTCACAGCACATGCGCAAACATGGCTCGCCAGCTATTTCCCTATTAACACACGTCCGTTTTAATTTCTACACTTATTTTCTCACACAATAACAAGGATTGTTGAGAACGCGTGTTTACCGTGGTTATGTCAAATTATACTGATCACAAAACATTTATTTACTTCATTTCGTTTTCCTCCGCCACTCATAAATACCTGCGTCCTCCTGCAGCAATCCCGAGGGACAACGGACGTCAATAACAACACAGTAAAAAGTCTGACGTTTTGTGTAAAAATTGCTATTTTTAGCACATTTTTAGGTCTGACGTGTTGCTACCAGACGCAGTGTGAGCTGAAACTGAGTGCTACAAATGAAAAAGTTGCACAGTGTCTGCAGAATATATAGCAGACCTCGGAGTCCGCTTGCAGAAGTGACATTTACATGTGGGTGTTTCCTGGTCAGGTGCTGCAGCATCGAGGATGCGGTGTTGTGGTACGCTAAATCCATTTTACAGTATTTACACTGGACTAGGGTCGTCACGGTGTGAAAATGTAACCTCACGGTTATTGTGACCAAAATTATCACGGTTTTCGGTATCGCGGTATTTTTTTAAACGTGTTACATTTTCAGACTACCACATAAACCCTGTATGTCAGGAAATATTGTCCTCAGTTTGTGTCTAAATTTAGCCTAACATGTGTTATTTTGTAATTATGTTGTTTATTTGTTTACATGATTTCCCTTTAGTCTTTAAAATACCAATATTTGCCCATAACTTCTTATTATGATGTCATCATTTAAAAATATTAGATCAGATGATACTCAGTACTCAAGTAGCCTTCTAATCAGATACTTTTGTACCCTTACTTGAGTAATAAACCCGATATCAGGAAAGTATTGTCCTCGGTTTGTGTCCTTCCAGTGAGCTTTGCAGATGTGGGAAAGTGTCATCAGGCAGTAATCATTGTTAAATTCATAATTATTCTCGGAGAGAGACCAACTCTTATCTGCCCCTGGGAGCCCCGTAATGCATAGCGTCATTTCAACATGGCGGTGTCCGCGACACGCTTTATATGCAGGTAGCGGCGCTGCGGCTGCTTTATATAGCGACTCGTTGCTTTCTCCCTCAACCCAAATCCTCGGATCACGCATTTTAGCTAAAACGCTAACGTTAGCTTGCCTTGCGTTGACTGTAGAGTTGTGGGTGATGGTCACGCAGATGTGTCATGAGATCTGAAGCGTTGCTGCCTTTCACAGACACTTTTTCTGCACGTGCTGCAAACAGGATAGCCGTCTTCTATCAGCTGTCCCTCGTCATTCTTCAAATATCCAGAAAATGCCCGTACTTCCCACTTTGTCTTCTTTGAGGGATAATAAATGTCCTCCTGAGCGCTGCCGTCTCCTCCTTTGGCCATTATTTCAGCTTTAGCTTCAATAAAGTTTTGTTGTAAACAACAAAGCGCGCATGTGCCGCCGGCAACTTCAGCAGATGATACGGTGGCTGGTAAGGGTCACCGCGCCTACACCGCAGCCACGGTAATCCACCGGGATAATATAGTTTTAAAAACAAGACGTTATTATTATTGTCAACTTTTTTACCGGGGCTTACCGCTACACCGGTTACCGTGACAACCCTACACTGGACTACGTTTTCCGCCTGACGACGTGAAAAGTGGTCCCACACCTTTGACATTTTGTGTCTTTTTCGCACTCCACCGGGGTCCACGTTGTCCGCCATGGCTTAAGAGAAAGTTAAGTTACATTCGCTACTCGCGTGTGCATTCAGTGCAGTGTGTATGTGCGTCACTTATTTCGGTCCGGGTGAAACATGACCCCGGGCGATTGCAAAGCCATGAATTAATTAAACATGAATTAAACGAAGCCTCGAGGCAGAGGATTTGACTCGAGGATTTTTTGTACTCGAATTATTCGAGGTACTCGAGGAATCGTTTCAGCCCTAGTAGAAACTAAACCGTCTCTAGTTTTTTCCACTTGAGATAAATCTTTTTTTCCATAAAAGACTTAGGTGAGACGGTTTTTTAATGTCGGACTTGTTTATTTTTCAGAATCCACCTTTTTCCAAAGGCTGCAACAGCGGAGGCGCCGAGTCAGGCACCGTCTTTGACGTTCTGGTAAGATCGTACTTAAGTGTTTGTAACATTTGTAGCTTTTCAGGGTCTTGTTATTGTCTCACGTCGTATTTTCTTCTAGAAAAATGTTGAAATCACAAGTGCAGAAGAGGCCATTTTCCTGAAGAGCAAACTTAGCAGTGTTCTGGAGGAATTCCAAAGCATAAAGGAGAAAAAGGCGGTAATTGTTTTATTACATACAGCTTGAAATGAATACTACAGATTCCTTAAATTCTCAACAAAGCAGCAAAAACGAATGAACACATTTTGTGTTTGTTTTTGTAGTTTGAGAACCAGTACCGAGGAGGAGCCTCCATGAAGCATAGTGACTTAAGGCCAGACCAACTGCCTCCTCGAGCACACGAGTATGAGAGACCTCCCAGAGAAGATCCTGACCCCAGACAACCAAAGAACTCCGGTTTTAGCGACAGAGGACGCTGGGATCAGCGTGATCCCAACGAGCATCATCAGGAATATGATCATCCTCCTCATATGGAGCCCTCACTCTCAGGACGAGGACATTATGAAGGTTATGAAGGTATAATAAGTGGTAATGATTTAAGTGCACTTATCCAAGAGAAACCCAACAGCGCCCCCTGCTGCTCACAAACTAGAGGTCTTACACAAGGACATGAAAACCATAGAGAAATTATTATAAACCGGTCTTTATACACTTACTGGCCACTTTATTGGGTACAGCTTGCTAGTGCCGGGTTGGACCGTCTTTTGACTTCAGAACTGCCTTAATCCTTCGTGGCATAGATTCAGCAAGGCACTGGAAACATTCCTCAGAGATTCTGGTCCATATTGACATGATGGCATCACGTAGTTACTGCAGATTTGTCAGCTGCACATTCATGATGCAAATCTCCTGTCCCACCACATCCCAAAGGTGCTCTAGTGGATTGAGGTCTGGTGACTGTGGAGGTCATTTGAGTACAGTGAACTCATTGTCATGTTCAAGAAACCAGTCTGAGATGATTTGAGCTTTATGACATGGTGCAAGATCCTGCTTGAAGCAGCCATCAGAAGATGGGTACACTGTGGTCATAAAGGGATGGACATGGTCAGCAACAGTACTCAGGTAGGCTGTGGCGTTGCAGCGATGATCAGTTAGTACTAAGGGGCGAAAAGTGTGCACCACCACCAGCCTAAACCACTGATACTTAACAGGATGGATCCATGCTTTTGTGTTGTTGCCAAATTATGACCCTACTCTGAGTATTACAGCAGAAATTGAGACATGTCAGACCAGGCAACATTTTCCGATCTTTTATTGTCAGATTTTGGTGAGCCTGTGCCGAATTGCAACCTCAGTTTCCAGTTCTTAGATGACGGGAGTGGCACCCGCTGTGGTCTTCTGCTGCTGCCTCAAGGTTCAACCTATTGTGCGTTCATAGATGCTCTTCTACCTACCTTGGTTTTAATGAGTGGTTATTTGAGTTAATGCTGTCTTTCTGTCAGCTTGATCCAGTCTGGCCATTCTTCTCTGACCTCTGGCATCAACAAGGCATTTTCGCCCACAGAGCTGCTGCTTACTGGATGTATTCCTCTTTTCGCACCATTCTCTGTAAACTAGGCATGTAAAAAAATATATATGGCAATACATCGCAATATATTCTCCTGCAATATAGCAAAATTCAAAAGTTTTAATTTAATTTTTTTTTTTTTTTTTTAGAACTAACCCTCCCACTGTCTTAATGTGTGTGACCCCACGAGGAAAGTTGATCATTGAGCAGGGTTGGTGGTTTATCCCTTGGGTCCATGTGGCAGGGGTGAGGAGTGAGCACCACCTCACCCCTGCCACATGGACCTTAACTCATTCACTTGAAGTCGTCATTTGCATTTTTTTACTGTTTGTGCATCGGAAAGAGCCCCCGCGCAGAGAGAACAAACATATCAGCTCTGAAGCCATCTTCATCTGCATAAGTCACACGTCACATGATCAGGAAGCAGAAAATCCATGTGTTTGGAGATCGTTTTGGGCCATTCCTGTAAAAAAAAAAAAAAAGGTGAGGCGCGAACCGGAAAAGCATCTGCCGATTGACAACGGATTATGAAAGAACGGATAACGCTCGAAACACACTGATTCTTCCTGATTTAAGAGGTGAGTCTCCGCTTTGTTTTTGTTGTTTTGGCGTTGACATCATCCTAGCGCTCAACGTTCTGTGACTCTAAAAAAACAGTAAAAACGGCGAGAAACGCTGGCAGCGAAGGGCTTTAGCGATCAGGAAACGGCTGGCAGTGAATGAGTTAAGGGATAAACCATCAATCCTGCTTAATGGTCAACTTTCCTCGCGGGGTCACACATAAAGACAGTGGGAGGGTTAACATGCAAACGTTTGTGTATTTACTTTTCTTTTGGTACAGTTCAAAAGCTGGCCGCTAGTTAGCAGCAGTGTGCAATGGGTTTTGTTTCCACCACTGTAAATCCCTCTATGATTCAGATACCTCATGTTAAACATGTTATGTATCAGTTTGGACTGTTGATTGAATTTTCCTGCAATAATTTCAGTCTATAAAACTCGCAAATATCGTTTGGTTGAATATATCGCTGTGATACGTATCTATAGTGATTAGGGCTGGGCGATGCGGCCTAAAATCAATTTCACGATATATTGAGGATTTCACCTCGATAACGATAAGTCAACGATAACTACAGGAATGCGCAGAAACAAAAGTAGTCCACTAGGTGGGGCTGTCACATAGGGCTGCTCAATTAATCGAATTTTAATCACGATTACGATCTGAGTTTTGAACGATTATAAAAAACAAAACAAGCCGATTATTTGCTCCTCCCGCTTGCGCTGCCCTGAGTTGCAAATGAAGCGCTCCTCCCACAGTGTTGCCAACTTGGCGACTTTGAGGCTATGTCTAGCAGCTTTTCAGACCCCCTTCATGACTTTTTAACTTAAAAGTACCTAGCGAACACCTCAGAAACATCTCTGGTAACCCTTAGCTACTTTCTGGATAACTGTCGTCGACATTTCCTGCAGGTTAGCTAAAAACTCCGCCTGCGCTCCGGACCTTTCTTCAGGACATTAGGAAAGGGAATGATGTAGTGATGTGTCAGTCGCTAAAGAAACGGCTCTCGGAGCCGGCTCCCTGTTGGTGTAACCAGAGTGAGTGACACACACACTGCACCTGCGGACTCCTGAGCCACTAAAAATGGTTAAATGTGCGGCGTGCTAAACACGCGTGCAGCTTGCCCCGATTGCTGTGAGACCGGGTTGGGGGGTGGGGGGTGCAGCTGTGGTTGGGACTATTATTACATTAACTGATGGACTTGTAAATAAATAGTTTATAAATAAGGTAGAAATAAGTTCCTCACGCTGATAAATAATAACTAATCTCTCTGAGGATACGGTGCTAGTGCACTCTCCTACAGCACCTTGACACGACTCAATAAATGTTACGCAACATTTTGTGAACATCAATTTATTTGCATGTATTTGTTATAAATGCCACTGTATAATTCTTGCTGTCAGTATTTGCAAGATATTGGTATTTGGGTCTGTACTGGTTAGACTTAAATGAGTTAAACCAAGGTCTATAGCCCTTGGGTCATAAACTATGAGCTGTAAGTATATTGGGCTTTTTATACTGGGAATCAGGAGTTATTTTAGTGATCATCTTGTTTCTTATTTATTTTTGTCCTGATTGTGCCCTGAGCAATTTTATGACTGAATAAAAACAAATAAAATCAACATAAATTGAAAAATCGTCCTAAATAATCGTGATCTCAATTTCAGTCACCATAATCGTGATTATTATTTTTGCCATAATCGAGCAGCCCTACTGTCACATGTGTTACATACATTTTTACGTGACACTTTGCCAACCTACACATATTTTCATTTTTTTTATTATCAAATTTATTGACATGGGAAAAATGATCACGATAAGAGTCAGAGATTTCGATAACGATACATTTTCGATTTATTGCCCAGCGAGTGATACGTATTGTATCGCCAGAGTTTCACCAAAACTCATCCCTACTGTAAACCCTAGAGATGGTTGTGCAAGACAGTCCCAGAAGATCAGCAGTTTCTGAAATACTCAGACCAGCCCGTCTGGCACCCACAACCATGACACGTTCAAAGTCAAATTAAATCGCCTTTCATCCCCATTCTGAAGCTCAGTTTGAACTGCAGCGGATCGTGTCAACATGCCGAAATGCATTGAGTTGCCACCATGTCATTGGCTGATTTAGTAATTTGCGTAATCGAGCACTTGGACAGGTGTATTCATTAAAGTGGCCCGTGAGCGCGTGTACATACCGGTCACATAAACATGGTGAGTTGGAGGACAGTCTGTAAAGCAAAAAAATCTGTATGAAAGTTTAATTATGAATTGTTTTTATTCTAAAGTCGTTGTCTTGTGTGTTTTTAGGTGGAACACCTTTTTATCCCGAAAGACTTCCAGAACTCATGAACTCACCCGACTACCGGAATCCTGATATGTTTTTTGACCCTCACCCCGCTGCGCCTCCCCCTCTTATGGAGCAACAGAGCAGGATGCAGAGGGACCCTCGCTACTCCAACAATCTGGACAAAATCACCTGCGCTCTCCTGGAGCTTGTGGCAAGAAAATAGTCACTCCCAAGATGGTTATGAAATAAAATTAGATTTTGTTTGTGTAAGTAGTTTCAGGTTGCATGTGAAGTTGAATGGTTTGGTTTATTTTAGGGAATTTGCCTTAGTAAAGTTCAGTTTTTGACCCGTCAAGATCTGTGATGTAATTGTCTTGGCTGTAGTAATCTGTTTATTTTAGTTTCTCATTTGTATCAGTGTAAGCATAACCATCAACATTTGTACACAGTTTCATTTTATGTGATATGAACGTGTTAATTTACAAAACTAAAATTCGTAATGTGAATGTGGCTCTTTTTATATACAGAACACACCAAGAACTAAAAGATGGAATTAGAATTTCAACACAACAAGAACACACCAAAGATGTTTAAAGAACACACCAAGGTTGACGTCTGTTTATGCACTTTTTAAATAGCACAAAAATTACCTTACGGTCAGAATCCAAGTTTGAATCCTCTGTTTTTTTCCAGGAATTTTCCAGACAAAATAGTATTTTATCAAGCCAACTTTTGCAAAACTTTATATTTTTTGTGAGGTAAAAATTATTTGCATGAGTGACAGGCTTAATATGTGTTTACATAAATACAATATATCCATTTGAATGTTATTTCGTAGGTTCAATATGTCTTACTTGTTCAGACGTAGGTTCTGTGGAAACGTAGCTCGCACTACGTCATCGCGTTAATCTTTCCGGTTCGAGTCAAGCAGCCATCTTGTTTCCCTAGCTTGTTAAACAAAATAAATAATACGCTGAGCCGGACTTCAGCTCGAACCCGAAAAAGAAAGTGAGTAAAAAATTTAATTCTCTCATACCTATGTTCTTTACATAAAACAGGCCTGAGGGAGTGGCAGTCGGGGCAATTATTTGGCCTGTTTTCATTTGCTGTTCTTGACCAATAGACGATTGTTTTGGGAGATGAACATCGGCGCCATTTCCCTCCCCGCACTCAGGCGCTTATTGGTGGCCCGCCGAAGAGATCCCGGGCGGTTTGGAAACTGGAGGTCTGTGTCCGCCATTTTGGATCTCATTAAAACGGCTGTCAAACGCAGTGGCTATTTCCATTGGATCCCGAATGGCGTCGATTGCAGAACGAACTTAGCCTTAAAAACCTTGATTGGTGGAATCTAGTCCGAGGTTTGATTGGTCTGAAGGACAGATCCAAACGTTGTCTTTATTGGTTAGGGTGTTTCTTTCGAGCTTTGCAAACTTTACGATGGCAAGACTCGTCAGATTTAATTTCACTCCGCGGAATGTCAGCCGAGCAGTGCAACAGTCACCATTCTCCACCAAGCTAGCATAAAGTTCACTTTGTCACTGTCGGCACTCCCTATCCTAACGTTAAACTAGTAGTGGAAATCTTTTGTGTACGGCTGTTTTGTGTGTCTAAGCACGAAAATGTGTTCAATTAGTCTCTCCAACTCAAGAAAATACAAGCTAGTTGTGCCTGCTAGCCCAAGATTTAGCATCATTTTTTTCACTTTATCACGATGGCCGCTTTATTCAAATAAACCTCTGTAGAATTCCGTTTCGCAAACTGAGAATGGCCAGAAAATGCGTTATACCTGCTGCGATTTTTACCTAATATGTCTGTCGGCTGCGTTAAAAGCGCAGTGTGCCATTTAATCGTAAAAAGTGTAATTGGTTTAATGTCATGATCACAATTGGAAAACAAATAACCAGTTGAGCTGAGTTATGTAATCATCCTGCATGTACTGAACTGTTTTCTGAATATTTGTACGCTTACGAATCAACAAATACACAATATATAGACAATATCAATAACTAAACAACACCCAAAGCAGAAAGGACACAAACCGTTTTGTTTTTTGATTAATTTATTTAAAAAAATCCTATTTTAAGCTTTTACTTTTGTGCATTTTAGTTCCTAATTTGTTTTAATTATGAATTATAGCTTAACTTTGTACATTTGAAATGAAGTTTGGTTGTTTAATAAAAGTCCATCTGTAATTCCTTATTCTTGGTGTATAAGTTTACTTCTAACTCAGGATTGCAGCTCTTCCCACCCCAGTCTATTATTTCTGTCTCTAAAACATTAATGTTTGTTTAATCCACTAATTGCTTATTTTTCTAATTGACAGAATGCTTAGATTTTGATCAAACATTAATGGAAGCACCTATTGTGCAAATCAGTGAGCTGGGGTTTGCAGGTGGTTATATGTTTACATGTTGAAGGCTTAGCTCGGCCACCCTGAGGGTGCTGTGTGTTTATGAAACCTAACGTCTGATTGGTGTGTGTTTATCTCCAAACAGCATCAGCGAGCACAAACATGGCCATGCTACGGGCGGTATAGGTCATGGGAAGGTTTCATTTGTATGTTGACCTTGCCAAGTGTCATTACTGAGGCTATTTGGGTAGCAAGCGTCCCCTTTAAGAGAAAAATAAATGTCCTGGCCAGTTAGCCGTGATGGAGAGATTAATCTTTGAGAAAACTATCCAATCATTAACCTGATGCTTGCAGCGCCTTTTCTTGTGCCGGTGCTCTGTGCTAAAATAGCAAAAGGAACATTTAGCTTTGTTTCTCTTGAGTTATCTATCTTGTTCCCTAACCCTCCCACCACTTGTTCTACCCCTCCCATCCCATAACAACTCTCCTCTCTGTCCTTCTCCATCCTTCCGGTCTCCCCCCCCCCCCTGGTATTTCATTGAAGGGGCAGGTTTCCTCTGTTTCCTCTTAGGCTTGTTCCATTCCACTCCACTGTAGAGTCACATTCATATGGAGCATTATCTTTAGACTATTATGTCACTTTTTAAACACGTTTCCTGCTTCATGTATGTGTCTCCTAATGAGTTCACATGTGAAACGGATCACAAACTGCTCAAGGTTGTGGTTTGTAAAACATCAGCTGGGCACATGAGCGGTGGCGGCTGGTCTTGGTGATCCGAAGTAAAGGTTTCTGCGATGAAAGGATGTGCCGTGAACAAAAAGGGCATCGAGTTTGTCATTGCTGGTGTGGTTTCCGTTGACGTTTTTATTGTGGAAGTTGCTGCTAGCTTCGTTTTGGGGTCAGGACACCAGCGTCTTTGTGTACAGATTTCCACCCATATCTCTTAAGTCTTGTTTAACCACAAATAGAACAAGAATCATATTCAGCCTTATCCCTCCCCCATCCCAACTAATGTTCCATCAGCTGATTTCTTCCGCAACTGATGGCCTGAAATGATCAGTTTTAGAGATTTATAAATATTTTTTGTTATGGTCCAAGTAAGCAACATAGTTTGCAGAAAATCATCTCCTGTGTCGTAAATTTGTTGAATGTCATTCTGCTATTTTACATCCTAAACAAATAAAAAAGTATTTTGTTTATGTGGACAAATTTTGTCTTTGCTGTATTATCAGTAATATGAATGTCATTACAACAAACGGGCTGCTCAGAGGCAACGTTGTCGCTCCACGCACCTGGAAACACCAGCAAGGATAAACGAGGAAGCAAGGACAAAATGTGCATTTGTGTGGATGTGCATGTGAGACTGTACACGCGTGAGACAGGGTGGCTGGCTGCTAGGTTTTGTACTTTAAATCATGTGGATGCAACATGCAGCATCAGTTCTGGCACTTCTTTCAGCCAATCGGGGCGTTCCTGGTTGCCTGCATCATTGTGCCGTCAGCCCGTAGCTGCCGAGGGGGGCGGGGCAGAGGGAGACATTTAGTTTGACATTGTAAATAAGCAGAGAGCAGTTGTCAGAGAGCAGCCCGTCGGAACCTTTCTCATCCAACCAGCAGCAGGAGAGACGGGAGACCGCTTCAGAACAAACGATGCCAAGGCAAGCCACAGCGATCACGCCCTCGTCGGAGACTTTTCCACAACTTTACTTGCTCCTTTTTCTCTCTCCCATCGCCTCTCTTCTCTCTTTCTCTTTTCTTTTCCCTGACCCCTATCCTGCAGCTCAAGGTAACTTAGAGCAGGAAGTTGACTGTCAGTGAAAGGGGGTTGGGCGGAGGAAAGCAGAGTGGGGGACGTGCCGGAGCGGATTGGTGTACGCGGCGTCCAATAGCACGACAGCCCTTTGTCTTTGCATTGGTCACATCTGCTAGAATGAGGTGGGCGTTGGGTTTGAGGCGGGGTTTGAGTATCATGTAGCATGCTAGATTGATTATGCTTGAATGTTAAAGGGGAAGGAGGCTCGAGATTCTTGTCTCTGTGTCAGGAGTGCCGCGGTAATGTTTGCCTGCTGCCGTGCTCTCTTTCCGAGACTTCTCGCCCCCTTCTACCTACCGGGCCAGGGGTCAGATCAAAGACAAACAGATGGACAATGGTCAAAGTGAGGAAGAGGTGTCACAGAGTACAAAGACAGGAGGAGGAGTAGTGGTCAGCAAGTTAAAGGGGTCTTGGTAAGAAGAGAAATGGTGGAGATGCCCAGGAGGACCTTGGGGACTGTTGAAGGAGACAGGTCAATGTGTAGAAGGAGAGTGGGAGGAAGCAAGGGGGAGGGGTGCTTGCTCTTTACTCTGTCCGGGTTTAGAGCTTTTTTTTTTTTTTTTTTTTTGAGCTGTCCAAGTGGAGCCAGAGTGCCTTTTGTCTGTTGATATGATCAGGGGACTGGAGGAAGTGGAGGAGCATGGGAGAGTTTTCTGTCAGCCTCTGTGCTGGCTCCTGCTGTTCTCAAGGAGACTTGAGCAGGGCTATCTGTTTCCATCTCTCCTGCTGCTCTTCAGCAGGCCAGACCGTTCAGCATGAAGGGCACGGGGGGTAAGTCTGTCAGCTAAAACACACACAGCCAGAGCAGACCTGCCAAGTTAACTCGCTTCAAGTTCCCAAATAAATTGTTGATCTCACTTTACTTTAGGAAACGTCTCCATCATTCTGCAGTGAAGAGAGCGTGTGTCCTTTACAGCTGTCCTCAGTCCCCCTCCCTTTTCTGTCCTGCAGTTCTCTCCTCGGTACTTTGTTCCGTCTCATCTGTGCCCTTCATCTGTCGCTTTATTGGAGCATTTATGCTTTTAATCGATAATTTTTGCTTCCAAATCTGTGAAAAGTGGAGCGTTTTGGGAAGACGCTTGTCTCGACTCTGGACTACGCACTTCCTGCTCTCTTGTCGACTGGATGGAAAAGCGTGGTTACAAAAATCTGACTTAAGACGGACCTCGCCGCGGGGCCGTGGGGTTCCGGTCAACGTGGACAACCTGCCTTCCCGCTGACCTCGGTGCTAGACAATGTTGCTCATCTGTGGTGAAAGATGGCTCAGTGTAAATGAAAAACATGACAACCCAAGTGTTGTCACATTGTTGGTGTCAGAGGTCCCCAGGGGTGGAGGTGCAGCTGGCTGCATTGACCTCAGGGCCCCCAGGGCCCCTCCTTGACAGTGCCAGACGCCCAGATGGGACGAACTGTCAGCCTGTCACCTCCAGGGCCAGGGAAGGCTAATAGTTTGATCTGATCCAATCTGATGGAGGATGCGTCTTCTCTCACTTGCCTCCCGACTCTTTACGTGTTCCCGGATCCAAACTTCCTATTGGTGCCTTTGACAAAACAAAGTCCTGTTGGGGAAAGAGAGAGAGAGAGATTGTTAGAGGGAGACTAAAAATAGCTTTTAAGTTGAAGCCCGTGCTGCCAAATCCCAGGGTTGGCTTCTGTCTGCATGAGATTTGAATATCATTTGTTCCCTTTAGACTCGCATAGGGAAACAAAAGTAACTAACACACGACTACTTATGGTTCAGCTTGTCACAACGGTGACCACATCGATCATACGTTCACTCTTTTGTCTGCTCTCTGGGTTTTTCTCTGCCTAAAGGCCGTAGTCTGCAGGTGCCTTTAGCTCGGCCTCCTTCGATGCCAGAGGCTTGACCTAGCCTTTCCATGAAGGTCACAGGAATGTGAGGTTGACTCCTGCAGTATCTCTGTCAGCAATAAGAGGTAGACTGGTGGATGAACATGAGAGGAAGTGAAATTCAAAGAGGAATGCAGGATGCAGCTAATATGTGTGGTATGCAATGTTTTCATTAAGCTTCTTAGAAAGTGCAAAGCCTGAACCGCCGGGGTCACCTAACTGCTGCAGTGAAAGTTGGAAAACCTGTCCTTTTTCTTTCCTCCCCCCTCTCTCTCTCTCTCCCTCCCCTCCTCTCTTTCATCTCCCTGTTCTCCCTCCTCCCTCTCTGGTTTCTCTGGCTCCTCTGTTGAATGACCTTGGGAGATCAGTGACTAGCACTTCCTGGAGTTCGCTTAAAGCAGAACCAAGGGTAAAGTTTCCAGGGGTCGTTTGGTCAGCTAGTTGGATCCAACCAGGCCAAAAGGGTGATGCCGTCGTGGCAGGTGCATCATTTAAACCCTTCTTCTTCTTCTTTTAATTTCAAAGTCAGTTTTAAATGACGAGCTGCGTTCGTTGGAGCGGTTAGCTGGAAACTTTTCCTTTAAGGTGTTGTTTCCCAGGGTTGATCATTTACCCTGAATTCTGTATTTTCTTTTCTGGGTGATCGAGGTCATCGAGACGGGCGCTTCAGTACTTCATGATCTACGAAGGCATTCCGCTTTGATTTAGGACCATTCTTCATAATGAACGTCAGCGCGGAACTTGCTGTTTAAACTGCGTTTATCCATCATAATAAAAAATGTCCTATTAAACATTAGGCAGCGTCTCTGTTGACCAGTAACATAAAGCGGGGTTGGATTTGTTTTTCTGTTCAGGTCGTGAGTTAAAACTTCAACCTTTCATGAACCCTCCCTCTGAACGGCCTCTTCTGCATCAGCGACACCTTTTCAGATCCGACCTCTTGCTCCAGACGTGTCGGTGGAGCGGTGATTTTCTAGAAGCTGGTGTTACATTATACAAAAAAGTCATTTAATAATTTACAGTGAAGTGGCAGGACTCTGTCCATGTGAACTCGACGTATTTGCTCTTCGATTGCTAATGTTTGGTGACTGTTAGTTACTCAGAAAACACGTAGGAGGTCACGTCAAAGTCACAATAGGGGAGAATTTGAAGTGGTGTGTGCAGTTCTTTATAGCGATCTAAACCAGCACACTATTGTCACGTTTCTACAGGATTGCTCGTTCTGTGTGTGCTTTGGAACATCGAGGATGATGCCACATCAGCGGTGAAGCTTTTTCACCTCACACTGCCCTGAAAGTTGACCCCAGCTGCTTCCCCTCATTTCTTTTTAAATGATCAACTTGGTATTTGGTGTTGGTTGGACAGGCTCCGTCTCTTGCCTGTTTTAAATCTAGTTTAAAAACACATTTTTATGATTTGGCCTTTTGCTTGTGATTATATTTATTTGTTGATCTTTTTGTTTGTTTGATCAGTTTTTACCTTATTGTGTCTCAATGTATTATACAGAAAGCACTCGGTCAGCTCTCATGCTGCGTGTAAACATGCTATACAAATAAACTGGTATGGTTTTTTCACCAGTTGTCAAGTCAGTGAGGGACGGTGAACCTTGATGCTTCCAGCTGTACAATAATAACCATTATTTTATAAGTTTAATTATATTTTATGCTGCAGGATTTTGTTTTATTTAGTTTTGTCTCTGCTGCCTTTAGAAACTCTCCAAACGTGGAAAAACAAACGAGGCGATGTCTTGCGAGGCCAGGCGCCTTGCTTACGAGGACACTGTCCTTCCTTGGTCAGAGAAAACGGTTAAATGGAACAGACTTGCATCACGTGACCGCGGTGGTCACGTAACGTCATGTGACACAGGAGATAACGTTATGTTTTATATGTATTAGTTTCAATATAAATATATAACGAGCCTTTTACTTTTTAAATTGTATATATGTTTATTAAATAAAACATATAAGTGAGTTACTACCCGCTAGCCACCGAAGCTGCTACTAATAAGCAACTAACCAACCATAGATAACTTCTTTGGATCTAAAAAACATTTTAAATTAGTTGTCTTACTTTAAAACTTGAAAATTGTCCCCGAAGTAGCTGCCGGCTTCTGATCCGCCGTCCTTTTGAAAATACTGCAGTGTATTCTGGGTAATTTTTGACCAAGGCTAGGCTACAAGACACCTCCCTTGCATCCTTGCTCAGCTAGCAAAACGGCTAACAAATGGAGAACACACGCCTCGGTAGAACAGGAACATTGGAACACGTCTTGGCGGTTCCTGATGACGTATCTCCTAGGCAACCAGGGCGGGGCCAAGACATCAAGGCGAGGTTCCTTGGCATTGAGAAACACCCAGTGTTTGGTTTTAGGAATAATGTGTGTAAACAAGCTGTTTAAAAAAATTCCCCATTTGTGATGTCACAAACGCAGAAATTAGAAACGCATCTCACGTGAAAGACAGAGCTGCTGCTGGAGGAGCAGTGGCTCTACTCTGAGCCCCTTCCAGATATCAAAGGTTCTCAGCCAATCAGAGGATGGGTGGACGTGGCCAGCTCCAGCTTGTTTTCTTAAAGTGACAGAGCTCTGGAATGGCTCATTCTGGAAGGTGCTGAAATCCCTTCATGTGAGAGATTGTAGAGATTAATAAACATGTTTTGTATAGACCATAGAGTGATTGGAACATAAGAAAAAATGTCACATGTCCCATATTTAACGTCTAAAGACGAAATGAAGACATGCAGTTCGGTGATCCTGCCTTGTTTTTTCCCAATTGTCTTCCTGTCCCAGTGTCCTATCAGGTTTAACGGACATGAATTGAAGAGTCATGTAAAGTGGTGTGATGTCAGACTTGGAGCGAGTGGTCACTTGATGTGCCATCCCAGAAATCGAGGGTGGAGGGGGTGTGTGGAGGCTTGGGCAACATTAGCGCTGATTCAGCTGCTGCAAGCAGAGTAGCATCGATGTTCTCTGAGAGGTTGGAAGAGGGCGATCAGGTGAAAGTAAGTAAGACGGCGAGAAAGAGAAACACTTAGCCGTGAGCTGGGGACGCGCTGGAGAGGAGACGGGAGGAGACCGATAGAATCACCAAAGGAGGAAGCACAAGTTGCTGCGCTGGACAAAGTTGTTACTGCACAAGCGCTTGTGTTCAGAAAACAAAGACGTCAAGCGGAGTTTGTTTGAAACCCAACACCATCGTTTTCTGTCTCTGTCACCCGGTGAAGGACAAAAGTGCTGCAGGGAGAAGAGGAGGGACAACGTTTTGTCTCCTGTTAAAGCGTACAGTAGCAGCTGGAGCTAAAGGTGCTCCTTTCTGCAGATAAAAATAACATTTAGACATTTTTTATCTGCCGTTGCTGGTTTCATCAGTCAGTCTAGGCTCCGTTTCAAACTTTCTATCCATAAACAAAGTAGAGGAAGTGACGGGCGTCGTCTTTCTCATGCCTCAGTCTACCAAATCCTCACTTGCTTTGTCGCATGCGGACTTCCTCTTTCTCTCTGCCGCTGTGGTTCATGTGTGGTTGTATATATTTATGTTGAAGGTCAAAACGTTGGCTGAAAGGGGCGGGGTCAACTGTAAAGGTGTTATAAATCCAGCTCTGTTGTTTTTATTGACTGAGAAATCCCAGTTCTGGGTGAACGCTTCATCACCAGTCCGGAGTATCCTGATCTGATCGTCCTCATCGGGCCGCCAGCTTGAGGGAGACGGGACACACGCAGATGCACGAGGGTTGTCTTATCAGATGGAAACGCCACCGTGTCACCATGCATCAGAAGGCCACGGAAGAACTTTCTGTTTGTCCTTGGCGGCAGAAACGGGAAGAAAACTACAACTCCCATCAGCCCTATCTGTCCTGTGGCATGCTGGGATTGTTCTGGAGACTGCAGGTTTTCAATCAACCTTGAAATGCAACTGGACACTGGAGCGTCAGAGAGACGGGGAGACACTGTCAAGGTCAATCGCTAGTCTGGCACGTCATAGCTGCAAACGACCTGACTGATTTATATAAACACCCCCCCAGCTTAAATGCTTCTCCTGGATAATTCAGTAACTTTAGTGTCAGAGAAGCGTTCCTTTAATGTCTAAATGAAATCAGGTGAGGCAGGAATCAGTGATTCATCTGTGTGACTTATTTACAAATGCACTCCGGTAGCATGAAGAACCAGGAAGCTCCTACGACACGGCCGCATCACAACCTAGAAAAGAGTTTAGTGATCTACGTTGCTGTGGGCCGGAGCAGAACCACCGCTGCTCATGCTTGTTGGTGAGATAAGAGAGAGGAGGTAAAGTGGAGCGCGCTCTCTCTTTACCTAACACTCCTTTGCAGTGTCACGTCTCCCTTTCTCTCTTTGTCCTGTTTGACCCACATAGGTGGTTTCTGCGCTGCAGTCTGCTTGTGCCCGTGCCTGCCTCTTACCTCCCCCAGTTAAAGCCTTTGGCTCTTACTGCTGGATTAAAACCAAACTGGACAAGGCACCACCCCTCCCTCAGAAACACACAAGACACTTCTCATCTCTTTTTGAATAGCCCTAAACGCTCTCCTCTTGTGTTTCTTTTTTTTTCTCCTCCTCTCTGCCAAATTGTTTCATGAAGATAGGGAGGGAAGGGAGTGTGTGTGTGTGCGTGTGTGTGTGTGCGTGTGAGATCAACACACTCCAGGCTCTACATGCTCAGACAGGCAGGCCAATATTCCCCCTCCGGATTCCTGACATGCCATAGTAACCTGCTGGATCCTTTTTCAAATCACCGAAGCTCTTGTTGAGGCACGGCCTTTATCATTCCAGAGTTCGCAGGAGTTCATTTAGCCCTAACTTTGGTCCTTCTAAGTGAATTAGTCGAATGTGTTAGATTTTCTTCTTTATTTATTATGTTCGTTTGCACAGAAGTTCAAAGCACGAGAATAAGTTTTGTCCTTCACCTAAACTGTCTCTTTTATTTGTTGTCCCTCCATGCAGCATCATAGAAGATGTCTGCAGATGCATTTGGGTCTGGAACCAGCGATGCCCAGCAGACCCTGCAGTCCTTCTGGCCGCGTGTCATGGAGGAGATCAGGAACTTGACTATGGTATGTTGGAGTGACTTGAGCAGGCAAGACGTGCACGTGCTGAAGTCAAGTACGTTTGAAATTCTTTCATCATTTTTAAACCTGTTTTATTTCCAGAAGGATTTCCGCGTTCAGGAGCTGCCGCTCGCACGAATCAAGAAGATTATGAAGTTGGATGAGGACGTCAAGGCAAGGCTGCTATCGATTATTTAGAAGTCCTGCTGTTGTGAGCCACTAGCTTAGCGCTATGCTCATAGACATAAATACGTAGAAGCATTGGATAGTGTGACAGTGTCGCCGCCATATTGGATGGGTTCCTCACTCTCCAAACCCAACTAGAGTCGATGCGTTTTGGGCACCTATGCCTGTTTTTTGCAAACAACCAGCACCCTATTGAAAACCGATCATTTGGAATTACTATTGACTTTTCTAGTGTACCTGTTGGGATTTTATATTTTAATTGAACTTATTTTATTATATTTTAACTATCATGCCACACCATGTGTCCGATATTGTGAAAAAGCATAGAAAATGTTGTTTTTTAGTAGAGTAAACGCTTTCCTCAGTAGAAATAAATGCACTGGGTGTGAATTGTGATCCATCCAAGATGGCGGCCTGCTGTTACAATTGCTCCAATAGGCAGCGCCAGTACACGGGGCATCTACGTATATTAAATAGACTATTAATCCCTCAGTCTGCAGCACTTACACTTACAGAAAATGAAGAAGAAAAATAACAGCAATATGACATCTGTGGCTGCGCTAGTTTGGCGCTATGCTAGTTTGGCGCTATGCTAGTTTGGTGCTAAACTAGCGGTTTTGCTTTGAGTTTGAAATGTTCCCACACTTTGAAACGTTTTAGCGTTTTTTTTTCTGGGTGTTGTCATCCCTCTTCCATCGCCCTGCTCACTCTCTGATCTGTTGGAACTACAGAACAAACACTCTTATTGTGTCAAGTGACTGAAAGCTCACACCCGAAGGAGACTGAATAACCTGGAAGTGCTAAAAAGATTAAGCATTGATATCAATTGAACATTTTTATAATCGGTTTAATCGAATTATTCAAGTATTCATTTAGGCTTTACTGAATATCATTTGTTTTGTTTTTACTTCTGGCTTCAATAAGGATAATAATGACTTGTAATGACTTATCCGGAACTGCGCTGCTCTGGGTGGCTGCATGTTGGAGTAGCTCTGTGACTTGATAATTATTATTATTGGACTTGATTATTATTATTATTCTGAGCTACTACAGCAATCAATTTCCCTCTGGGATTAATAAAGTATTTTTGAATTGAATTGAATTGAATTAAAGGCCTAGAGCCTGATATAAATTGTCCTCTAGCTAGCGTTTTATCGTTTTCTTGGATGTAGCCATCTTAGTTCTCTAGTAGCTGCAAACAGAAACTGGCTTCAGGGTTTTCAGGGTCACGAAACAGTCTCTTTTAATTCCATTATTGAACTTCCAGCTCAGGTTATGTCGAACACTTGTGAACATTTCCACTGAGTTTATTCAGAGGAACCCACCCGCCTCCTGCCATTCGTCTGCTCTGTTCAGCGGAGGCTCACAAAGATGTGATTATTTTACTCCTATTACAACAGGTTCAGTCTCCGACATCACGTGTGCGCGCTGCGAATGTGTCGTGTCAAGAGCGCCGTCCTATCCTCTTAGTTCAGCAGCAGATTAAAGCGCTAAAGAGATCAGGAGATCACTAACATAACTGGGAGAAAAGATCCTTCTGTCACTCCTGACACAGCAGCTTTCAGTGCATGAGTGCAGGTCATGTGGGTGGTGTCATGAATTCAGCCCATCGTGAACATTTAGACATTAAAGGTTTTATTTAGGTACCGAGTTCAGGGAAAATGCATTTCAGCATTCAGTTTGAGGGATTATTTTGTTGTTTTAATCTAGTAAATAGTTACTGCTGTAGTGAAGGCACGCAGCATTTTCATACAATATGTTTTACTTCTGTTTGGGAGCAGACGAGCACATGAAGTAGAAGTGAGAAATTTGATGTTTAACTGGGTAATTGCAGCATTTGTGCATCCATCTGTTCAGCTGTAACCCAGAGTGATTAATGAGTCTGTGTATGTTTTAATCAGGTGTGACCCTGTCCTCTGTGCAGATGATCAGCGCAGAAGCTCCGGTGCTGTTTGCCAAAGCCGCTCAGATCTTTATCACGGAGCTCACCCTGAGAGCATGGATCCACACCGAGGACAACAAGAGGCGTACACTACAGGTCAGGCGCACGTTCGGGTTGGGACTCCACGTGTTTGGGTTTTTACTCTGGATCCCTCTGAAATTCTCACAGGTGTAAACCCCCCCTCCTTTAGTGATGGTGTTTTCTTCCATTGGCCAAGTGAAGCAGGTGCGGGAAGCACATTTCCTCCCTGTTCTGTTTACTTACTCTGCAAAAAGAGTCCAGATCATCTCAGAGGGGAAACCTAAATACACCCTCACCAGTGTTGGTTTTGACAGGAAATTTTCATTTAGTTTTAGTCTTTGATAACAATTATTTTTTAATTTTTAGATACAGGGTATCCGCGGGTCCTTAAAAAGTCTTAAATTAGCTTTTCCTAATTTAAGGCCTTAAAAGTCCTTAAAAATGACAAATAATCCTTAAATCCAGTTTCCAAAGGTCTTGAATTACCAAAGACCCAATAAACAAGGTTCTTTTATTTCTATAAAAATTTCGTGAATTTCTAGTTAGTGTTCAGCATTTTTTGTGTATGATTTTGGTGTAAGCGGAACCGTACGCAGTCAGTTGGTTGTTTAAGGGGGCTATTTTTTTAGATGAGCACATTAGCTGGTTAAGCTAGTGGGAGCTTGCGCCATGGGGAAGGGCAAGTTTAATGGTAACTGGATGGCTAATCCAACGTTTGCAACGTGGTTAGCACCGGCTCCAGGCAATAGCTGGAAATTATCGCTTACATTTAATTTTTAAAATAGCTTAAATTTGGTCAAAGTGGCCTTAAAAAAGGTCTTAAAAAGTCTTAAATTTGGCTCCCTTAAATCTGCAGATACCCTGTAGATAAGATTTATTCGTCCGATCTGTTTTAGTTTTAGTCTTAATTAATTTATTCACTAAATAAAAACCGGGTACATTCAAATAAAGTAAATATTTCCTTTCAGCCTCTGTAAAGAAAATGGCAACACACCTAGCTGAAACAGTAATGTAAAAAAATAACTCAGAACTCTATATTTATAATCGTTTTAATAAAAGTCAAAACTGAAAAATACCAAAACTCACACTGGTGTTTGATGTTGTCTGTCAATATGAATGAATTTAACTACTGTGTATAATTATTAGAAATATTTGTTTGCTATGTATAACTGAGGAAATAGCTTGTGTGACGTGTACAAATAAAACCGTAACATGTATGCACTGTACGGGTGAAGCCTAGGTTAGACTGAGAGACCATCTAAAGGCTCGGGAAGCCTTTGCAGGTGTTCTGGATTCATTATCTGATCACAGTGTGATTGTTTGAGTCTATAATATTGAAGCTTTTCGCAACATTCTGATTGTCTGAGAACTTGAATGTGGTGATTTCATCAGCTGTGAGCCACAATCATCACAGTCACAACAAATAAAGGTTCGAAACATCTGGCTTTGCGTGGAATGGGGCAGTCTTACATATTGGTGTCACCCTAACCCCAAGTTGAATTACTGAAATTAATTAAAGGGAAACTTTGTAACTTTTCTATATTTTTAATAATAATATGGTAAATGGTAAATGGCCTGTATTTGATATAGCGCCTTCTAGAGTCCTGGAACCCCCCAAGGCGCTTTACAACACAATCAGTCATTCACCCATTCACACACACATTCACACTCTGGTGGGGATGAGCTACGATGTAGCCACAGCTGCCCTGGGGCGCACTGACAGAGGCAAGGCTGCCGAGCACTGGCGCCACCGGTCCCTCCGACCACCACCAGCAGGCAACGTGGGTTAAGTGTCTTGCCCAAGGACACAACGACAGCGACAGACTGAGCGGGGCTCGAACCTGCAACCTTCCGATTACGGGGCGAGCACTTAACTCCTGTGCCGCCGTCGCCCACTATGTTTTATTTAAGGCACTCAAGGTCACCGTACAAACGCAGACATTTGCAGAAAAGACAACATTAAAAACATAGCAGCATAATACAATACAGTGCCATTGAGTTAAAAGGATCGAAAGCACATTTACAGTGAATCCTTAAAGTTCAGATTTAAAAAGCATGAGTGATGTAATGTTCTTAAGGTCTGTCGGTAGAGCGTTCCACAGGAGTGGGACCGATCTGCTGAAGGCTCATCTACCCCTGGGGGTTTATATTTTTCAACCATTTTCTTGAGCCACTATGTGCTAAAATGACCATTTACAGGCTTACTGACATGTCACTCAGACCTCCACCACCCTCTGTGGTCAGAATGCCGCACTTGCAACTTCAGAGTGCCGGTCCAGTCTGTTAGACTTAGAAAAAGCAGCTGACATACCTGGCGCTGCAGTCTGCACGTTTGCTGCATGTTTAAGATCATGAACACAGCTGATTTGTTTGATTTAGTGATGAATCAAATGAAACTAAATGAAACAAATCAGCTGTGTGCCCAGTTTCCTCGCATCTTTCTCGTCTTCTGATTGGATGTTTGTCAATTTTCGTCTCGTTTTTTATCATTGACAAAAATGTTGGAACAATCTTTGTCTTTTGGGGCAGCAGTAGCTCAGGTGGTAGAGCGGGCTGCCTCATGATCGGAGGGTCATGGGTTCGATCCCAGCTCCCGCCAGGGGTATCCTGCTGTTGTGTCCTTGGGCAAGACAGTTCACCCAACTTGTCTGTGTTAGTGGTGGTCAGAGGGGCCGACGGCGCCAAATGGCAGCCTCGCCTCTGTCAGACCGCCCCAGGGCGGCTGTGGCTACAAGCAGCTTACCATCACTAGCAGTGTGTGAATGTGAGAGTGTGTGAAAGTGTCTTTGGGTGTCTAGAAAAGCGCTATAGAAGTTCAATGCATTATTATTATTATTATTATTATTATTATTATTATTATTATTATTATTATCCAGGTTGTTTGTATCTGCACAAACTAACATTATGAAATTGTTATGTCAAACAAATGAATACTGGTGCACACACACACAAGCACGCACGCACGCACACACACACACACACACACACACACACAATCATTGTGTGTATAGGCCAAGCCAATAGGGTCACCATAACGACGCTCATCAATAGAACAAGTGTAGATGTGACCTGGTGTTACCAGATATTAATCAAGGTGCTATGAATAGCCTGTATTACATAGAGGACCACAATGGGGGGGGTGGGGGGGGGGGGGGTCCTGACAGCCAATATCCTGTGGAAAATTCCACATGGACAGCACACCACTGTGGATATGGGAAAGGATATAAGAGCGGCATTTGCACCCGTGATGGGAGGAAAATGTCACTCCGCGTTCTTTCCCACTGAACTCAGACAGAGCTCAGTCTGGTGTGTGAGGGTGGCTGCTTTAGTTTCATATCAAGTCAACTTTGGTGGAAGTAATTATAATTATGTAGTTTCTTCTCACGGACTCACTTTGTCATTTAGTCACAGTTTAAAAAACACACAATTAACACATTTTTCTGTCCTCCACACATTTAAAAACCATAAAAGCTCACTCGTGCTCATGGTTAAACTCGTCCTCTCTTCCTTAAGCTCGTTCATTAAAGCAAACAGCTGTTTCACTTCTGCCAGGAACTGAACGTCAATCCTGCTTTAGACCGCGGCTATTTTAGGAGTGAAGAGCTCAAACCTTGAGGCACGTTCACATATATAGAAAGCTGTTTATATAGAATAAATATAATCGTCCGCTGACCTCCTGTGTGTGTGTGTTTTATTTTTGCAGAGGAATGACATTGCCATGGCAATAACAAAGTTTGACCAGTTTGACTTCCTGATTGACATCGTACCGAGGGACGACTTAAAGCCCCCGAAACGGCAGGTAGGAAACGGCTGCAGCTTTAAAACGTGTCACGATCAGAGTGGGAGCTTCCATATGAGTCATACAACATACAGGAGTTTAAAAAAAAAGTGAATTTTCTTTGTTTTAAACACGTGGAAGACTTGCCTGAACCAACTTGATCGCGCCTCATATTGAAGCTGATAACTGGCAACGCGGGGCTGTAAACATCCTTGACTGGAAGCTGGGCTTTCATCAGAGATGGCTTTCAGTCGGATGTTTGCAGCCTCTTGTTGCTGCAGTCTGAGACTGGTTCGTACTGCTGATGGACAGAGAAGATCACATTTCTTACCAGGATGTAATTCAGTAAACACCAAAGAAAGCCGCCTGTTAAGTTGAAGCGAGTCTGTCTAACAACTTATTACACCAGATGGAGATGTGAGTATTAAGATGTGCTGTCAAGACGTCCGTTTCTAGGCGTGTAAACATCCTACACTCTCAGCTGTGTTGTCATGGAGCTGGGAGAGGGGTGTTTACTCTTCTGGGGATGGAGACGCATCAAGACCAAGCCCGGCTCGTTCTTCACTTATGAAACAGGATGACTCGGGTCAGTGTTTATTCATAATTGATCATCGTAATACCTGGATTCAGCAGCGCTCAGCCTGCTCAGCTGTTCTGAGCAAATTAGACTGATCCTGCACTTTTTTTTGTTGCTAACATAAAGCCCGTCGATACAGAAAGCAGTAACGATTGGATTAGTAGTGTCTCAGAAGAGAATGGGTACTGATCATCGTGTTCAGTTGCTCCAGATTACGTTACTCTTCCCCGGCTGCTTCCCATCAGTTATTTATTAACCTCCTCTCCCGTTACACCCCCAAAAATAATTTATGGAGATGTAGTGGACTGATATGCCTTTGATGTGTGTGTGTGTGTGTGTTCGTGTCCTGCCTGCAGGAAGAGATGCGTCAGTCTGTAGCTCCTGCAGAGCCGGTGCAGTACTACTTCACCTTGGCCCAACAGGCTGGAGCTGTACAGGTGCAAGGCACACAGCAGGGTCAGCAACCCGGCACGCAAACGGCCACGACCATCCAGCCCGGGCAGATCATCATCACGCAACCTCAGCAAGGACAGGTGCTTTAAACAGAGTCGAGGGAAAGGTGTAAAGAAGCAAAAACAGAAGGAAACCAGCTCTCTTTGCTTTAAAGAGTAAAGGGGTTTAGACTCGAGTCCATCCCTGTTACAACAGAACGTACGGTCTGTCTGAGCGGAGCAGCAGATACAGCAGATATGACCCTCTGAAGTCATACTTTTTTTTTTTTTAGTTAACATTGAAGGCGTAATAAGTAAGAATTTCACAGCGAAATGATCAGAAAACCTTCCAATGTCTTAATTATGCTGGAAGGAAAGTTACATCAAAACACAGTTCCTTTTCTGGGGGTCTTCAGGTTTTCTCCTTTTAAAATGGCTGAAGAGGGTCTTTGTTTACAATCTGCCCCAACTCCATACTCGCTGGTTCCAGAGCCAATCGTATGTGAGTTTTCACAGCAGCAGCGTTATGGACAGAATGCTGGACAGTAAAAGGAACCAGGAGTTAATTCTGTACCCTCAAGAAGCCACGACGTCTTTTTGTTTTATTCTAATATTGGGTATTGAAGACTAGAGGCTAACGTTGAGCTAACAATGCTAACCGGGAATGAAAAATATTTGTTGGCTCTAAAAAAATCTCAAGATACTTCCTCCAATATTATTGAACTCAATATTGCAGCAAAACATTTTTATTTACGCATCAACTCGGTGTGTATGATCGTCTTCAGTCACTTTTGTTTGTATACAAGGGCTGCAGTACCCATAGTTCACCACAAGATGTCAGTCTTCATGCAGAAAACTACAAATAAAACTGAACGATGTTTGTTGTTATTAAAGAGATTCTAAATGCAAAACAAATAAAAAAATGAACCCAAAACAAAATAGAAGTGAAATGTAAACACTGTGAATCCTTTTTTTTCTAATTTTGCACCCAAACAACAACATACCTCCAGTTTCTCAGAGTTAGCTGTGAAGTGAGCCTCATCCCCTGGCTCACGGTGCTTTCACCGCCCATCAAGCTAATCCGTAGTCCTTCCGCTTGTCTCTCTGTTTTTAATTGTTCATTTCCTGCTTGTTTTAGTTCTGCTTCCTTCCAGTTAGGCTCCTGCTCGTAGCTCGCTCCGCTTCACTCTTGCTTCACGCTGCTTCAGCAGACTGCTGCTAGCCGAGCTGTCAGACATGCTTGGGCCTCGTGTGATTCCCAGTCCTGCTTGTCACTTTGTCCCACACCCATTTACATTTACTCAGTGGCACATTGGATTAATCGATGTGTTTAAATTTAAATTCTCTAGAAAGTTTTTTTTTTAAGTTTACTCAGTAAACTGTGCTTTTTTTTCTAGCTCTGAATACAAAAACAGACTGAAATTGCCCCTAAATGAGGCACATTCTGGGTTTAGTTGGTGAAGTAGAGCGTAAGCCTGGAGAAAAACTTCACATTTTATGTGTTTGCATGCAGACATCAGTAAAGATCATTTTATACACTCAGTGTCGTTTTTTAACCAGACCCAGGCACCCAGAATATAACATTTAAACAGGCATCAGAAACTGGAATTGGCTGAAAAAGTGCAGATTCTAGTGTTTATCAACTTTCATCATTTCATTTTGAATCTCCTGCTTCTCTTGGCGTTAAATGTTGCTTAAATCCTCCGTTTTCCATTCTAACGCCTGAAGCTCACGCTTACATGTGTGTGTTACGTTTTTGCTATCGCTGCCCTCTCACCGTGTGTCTTTCTCTCATTTTTTCATCCTATTCTGTCGGCCATCAGATGTTGCAAGGTGCCAACATGCAGCAGTTACAGCAAGTGCAAGTGCAATCACAAGGCACACCCATCACGGTAAACACACGCACTATTTGTCTACTCGGTGCCGCGGCCCGGTGGGTGACCACCACCTGCAAACTCTGGGCTGCTCAGATGACCGAACTCTCTAGGGGTGTCTGCAGCACGAGATCGGATGGCCTTTCCTAGATACTGTGACAGACAGAAGAGAAATAGAGGACATGAAACCTGTGATGTCACATCTTTTGGAGCCAGCTTTAGAATCATTGATTACATTTTGTTAAACGTAAATACTTTACGCTTTATGTTTATGGATTAACTGTATTTCAGTCATTCTTTTCCAGCTCTAATAGTCACGTGACGCCCGTTTGTGTTTATTTTTCTTCTTTAAGAGTGCGCCTGTTGCTATGCAGGTGGGTGAAGGCCAGCAGGTGCAGATTGTCCAGGCTGCTGCAGCGCAGGGTCAAGCTCAGACGGCACAAGCCCAAGGCCAGACCATGCAGGTTATGCAGCAGATCATCACCAACACGGGAGAGATTCAGCAAATCCCGGTAAGAGTTTGTGTCCAACTGGGAGAATTAAGGAAACCGAAGCGATAACACTAGAAAAATCAGATAAATGGTTGTAGAACAAACTAAACGGATGTTTTTGGAACATTCACAAGCAGGAAGTGAAGAATCCTGCATTGTCCAGGGTAGGAAAATGGCTGTCCTCTGTGTCTGAATGACCTTTTCTCTGAGCGAAACTCTGTCTCCCCCTTGTGTCGGTTTGCTGCAGGTGCAGCTAAATACAGGCCAGCTACAATACATCCGACTAGCCCAGCCTGTCTCCGGAGCGCAAGTGGTCCAGGGACAGATTCAGACTCTGACAAACACCCAGCAGGTAATCAAAGCAACAAAACCAGCCGGTGTGCTGCAGTCTGCATGAGTTGTGATTAAAAATAATAATAAAAAAATCACTGGGTGCACAAGTCACGATAAAGCCAAATAACGTGTCATTAATGTGTTTTCAGATCACACAGGCTGAGGTGCAGCAGGGACAGCAGCAATTCAACCAGTTCACTGATGGACAGGTGACTAATGCAAACATGTTTTTATTGCTCTTTACATGGTTAACATGAATAAAAGCCAGATAACGATGAGGATGTGTTGTGTAAGTGGCAACCCACAAACAGGAACAGGTGCTAAAGCAAGAGGTTGAAATCATTTATTAGGAACTTCTCACAAATCCAGGGGCAGCATCCTTCTGAAGACACGCTGAACGGCTGATTACCTCAGTTCTCTTCTCATTTCGTTTTTAGTCCCACTTTTTATTCTTATCACTTTCACCTTTTTTATTATCTTTTTAAATCACTCACATTTTTTATGCCTGTGAAGCTTCTTGTGATTTTTTTTATATCTTTGAAGGTGTTAAAAAAAACTTTCTTCATCTTCTACTTTAGTGAAGCAACAAGGCTGTTACTCAAAATGTGTCCTCGTTGTCCCCGAATTTAGAGTGCAGGTCTGGTGCATCCTCCTAGGCAAAGGCTATCCCAGGACTCATTACGGGCTGAATGGGGGGGGGGGGGTGTTTTTGTAATAACGTGGACGAATCGGGAGAGAGTTAGAGTTTTAAATCTTAGTATATTAATATCTGACAGTAAAACATAAATAACTTAAAGTATTTATGTTGTCAGATTTTTTCTAGGGATGTAAGAAAATATCAATATGGCGATATATCGTGATATCGTCTCCCCTGTATCGTGATACGTATCGCCATAATTTCACCAATACATACCCCTACTTTTTTCATTTGCATTTTTGTTTGGTTAAATATATTTTTTGTCACAAATAATAGGAAAAATACCCGTAAATACCGCTTTATAACAGGTCCCATAGCTCATCTTGTTTTACCATTACGTTTAGACTTAAAGAGACAATGTGTAGTTTTTACCGTTAATCTCTGGAAATCCATTGAAATGTTGGTGAAACTGGATTAAGTGTTGCCCAGTTGTTGAAAACTATTGGTGGCTGCGTAACATGTAACCATAAAAATCAGGTCTGTGGGCGACGCCATGTTTCCTTCTACGGGAGCCTGTGAGGACAAAAAGCATTTACTGATTTGTAACAAATGGTTACAAAACTTTCATCGTTCATAAACGCTGTTTTACACATTTACCTCTTCACTCATTGCTAATGATGACAGGAAGTCTGAAGTGTCATTTTCGTCGAGGTTGCACTCGGATTTTTGACCCTAATGGCCATCCGTTGGTTAGATCGTACTCAAACACAAAAATACCGCTTGCTTGCAATGATTTAGGCATGTACTGCCACCTGTCGCCAGGGAAACTACACATTTTTAATTTAACTTCTGTTTTAGTACCTTTACTGTTGCTAGGCAACAAGACATACTCTAAAGTAGGGGTGGGAGTATTTTTGAAGGCTGGAACGTCCAAATTAAAAGCCGCTCACTACCGGTCTTAGTGGTTGAGGAAGGACCCAACCTACGTGGACTGGGTAGGACGCGTCCTTACAAGGATGCTACCTCTGGATTTACACACAGATCTTGTGTTTCGATGTGCACGCAGCCTCCTAATCTTCCTCCTTCCCTTTTCCCGTCTCACAGCAGTTGTATCAGATACAGCAGGTGACGATGCCGGCGGGACAGGAACTGACCCAACCCATGTTTATCCAGTCCACCAACCAGACTGCCGATGCGCAGGTCACGCAGGTCAGCACCGACTGAGCCCAACCAGGACACTTTGTGGGCACGCACGCCAGCCCATGTGACACCACCAATGTCCCTAAGGGAGGACCAGATGTATTGAATTTTAAACATTGAAATGAGGGACCTGAAATCTTGCAACACACATTTTTTTTGTAATAAATTTAGTACGACGAATCCAAAACCAAAGGGACACTGTTTGACTTTCACTGTCAGATTCATGTTACATCCACGCGGACATGGTCCTTTTGTACTTTTGTTAAAAAAGACACTTATTAACACTCTCCCGCAGTCCCAGACCACATGTTTCTGAGTGGTGTTTGCATCTCTGAGGCCTGTGTGTTCCCCGAAACCACACCCTTCCTATCATGGCATCATTTAAAAAATGATAGATTTGTGTCACCTGCGTCTGTGTTTTTTTTTCACTCTGTGATAAATTCAGGTTTCTTCATATCACATCTTTGGGTGAACATTTCATTTTCCTGTCGCTCCTCATTATTTATCCAGTCCTTGTTGATTGAAACGAAGCCATATACCTCAGATAAGGTCTGATGAGACTTTTCACGTCCTTCCTCTGTTGTGATGTTTTCCACGTTGATGACGAAGCATGAATTTATGTTGTAAGGGCTTCAAACCCAATAGGCACTTGCTCGTCTTTACGCTTCCCTTCGTCCATTCACCCCGTCTGCGGAGCTTCTTTCTGCGTTTTTACTGCCTGGGAGGTTTTAAGTCTGGTGTCCTGGTTTAGGTCTCATGTAGAAACACATGACTCCCATCTGGAGTTTTAGAAAGAACGCATCCTTTTTTAAGAGATATTTTTCCTTTTCGCAGCGACGTTTGACCTCATCACTCTCCCACCATCTTTGTTTTTTACAGTGTTTTTATTATGGTCGTTTATGCACGTAGTTCAAGTTTGCCAGCATGACCTGCAATAGATAGGTACAATTTGTTATTCAACGTTCCTTTTTGTAAACCTAATTCTGTTTGTGGAAAAAAATAAAAAACAGAACTTGCGTGTTTTGTTGTTATTTTAAATTGGTGATGTCCTTTACTAATGTTTGGTTTTTTTTATTTTAGGGGACATAAACAGCTTGCTTGTGTGTGGACAGTAGACAGGGACAGTAGACATCACTCCAGGCACCAGGTAGACTCATCCCACCACCAGATACTTTTTGTTGCTTCTTTAGATGGAAAAAAAAGTGATTTTGCTATTTTGAGAGGCATTTTCCAAAGTGGTCTTTAATCAATCAATCAATCAGATTTTATTCATAAAGCGCTTTTCAAGCAAAATGCTTTACAGAATGACCCCAAATTCCCATAACACACACACACACACTCAGTCACTCACTCACTCAGTCACTCACACAAACATCAGTAAAAATTTATATTCGGCTGAGTCCAGATGAGCCAAGTAAGCTAAGGCAAGGAAACGCCATCAGAGGCGCCATCTGCCCCGGCAGCATCAGGTCTTCCACACAAAGTCAGGGCGCTCAGAGGAGGGGGAGCATAGACCCCCACCTCCACTTAAACACTACCTGTAGTGCGCCCAGAAAGCAACAGAGGGCAGCACTGAGCTAACAACCTGCTCATAAAAGGGCCGGCTCTAGGTAATTTGGTGCCCAGGGCAAGACTGCCCATTCCCCCCCCCCCGTGCCTGCACGCCTCTCACCCAAACCCAAGTCCACCCACCCACCACACATTGGAAAAAGCAACTCCACAGTGATTCCTTAGTTACTAATTTTTATTTTAAATATTCACACAGCAACTCTTTAAAGTCAACAGCCTGAAGAATAAATGTAAGCTTGAAAGATAAGTAACCTGAGAATATTACAATAACCAACAACTCAAAATGTTGTGCAAATGTCAGGGGAGGGGGTGCAAAATCAAAAGCAGCATTAAACAGTGCAATCGAAAGCAAAACTCAAACATCAGTATCATCACAAAGAAAGTTCTACTTTCCATTTTGTTCAACTGCTGTGGCCAGTCAGCAGGATCTATGGGGCCAACAGCTCATACATGTTCACACACATCTGTTGAAACTGATGATGGTGTCTCTTCAGGCTGTTGGATTGGAGCACTGAGTTTGCTGGTGTTGGGTTCTTTTTCTGTGAGAAAATAAACACACACACACACACACACACACACACACACACACACACACACACACACACACACACACACACACACACACACACACACACACACACACACACACACACACACACACACACACACACACACACAAGCAACTTAACCCTCTGATGCATGAATTAAGAACAGTGCCACTTTCACATTCAATATTCCTCAGCCATGTGCAGTGATGCTTTTCATTATTTTTAATGTTACTGGGCTTTTTTTATTGATCTTTTTTAATCTGTTCTATGAAAACATGAATAAAATGATCAAAAACCGGTGGAAGTGAGCGCATCCATGGGGAATATTTGAAAAAACGTATGTCTCACTCTCAGGTGCTCTTTAGCATCAAATAAATTGTAGAATATTCGGAAGAAGAACCGGTGATCTGAAGCACTCTGAGGATTTCATTTATTAAACAAGGAAACGCCGACGCGTTTTGGTACGACCTTCTTCAGGGCATACCTTTATGCCTTGAAGATGACTCATTATGTCACAAAAACTAATGTCCATACTTTTTTACAAACTTACAGCCTAACTGACAATAACATCATAAGGAGACAATTTCAGATGTGTATGTTCAGATTATTTATTATTCTCAATGCTAAATCAATGCTGCACTCATTGTGCCAAAAACAAGTGTCTGGTGTGGATTTAAATAAATTAATTTTGCATATCGATATATGTGATAAGCCGTTTAATTTGAAAAAGCCAGTTTCTACTGCTGATTACAAATAGCCTAACAAGTAACTTACCTGGTTCTAGATGCTGAGATTGTAGCTCAGAAAATGTTCTGCTGCTGCGTGATGCCTGGATAGAAGACGCTGCAGCGTAAACAAGAAAGAGACGGCATAAGATGTCATGCTGTGTTTAGGCAGTGCGAAAGGCAGTTCTCACTCCCAGCCGGGCCCGGCGGCAGCGGGGGAGTCCCCGCCACGGCCGCGGCGGTGCCGTCCACCCGATGTGTCGGACGAAGTTGAAATTTTGCTACACCCATGGACGTAATTTTCACTTTAGAAGTGGGGGGGACACGGGGGGGGGGGGGGGGGGGGTATCTTTACAGTATGTTCTAAAGGGAAACAGGCTTCAACAAAAACTGTTATTTTCCACTTGGTCCTAGAGCTCAACCAGTGTCCATTTAATATAGCGTAATGTTGTTTTTAGATGGTAAAAAGTGTGCAGGGGTCAAAACTTGACTTTGGAAAAAGTGGGGGGGACATGTCCCCCCTGTCCCCCCCCAAAATTATGTCCATGGCTACACCCACACCTAGCTTTCTTCTGATATGAAAATATTAAATTCATATTGTATCCATACTTAAAACTTGAATCGAAGTTCATAAAAAGGCTGCAATCATACTCCGAAAAACGGTAAAAAAAAAAAATCTTACATTCATCATGATCACTGCATCTGGACACGACGATTCAAAAGTAAAAATAATTGGATAAAGTTATGAGATACTGTATTGTGTATGTAAACAGCTAGCGAGGGCCCGTCCGTGGACCGTGCGTGGCAGGAGAGGCAGTTAGCTACAATGCTAACGCAAAAAGTTCCTTTGCCAAATTTATAAAGTCTACATACATCTGCTTTGGGCCCTTTTTTTTCTTCTTCCTTCCTTCGCTTTCGGAATGCTGATCCCGATGGCTTTGGTGTTCTTTTCCTCGTAAAATATCAAAAGTTTCAATGCAACAACAACAGGATATCCTTCTACAGTGCTACCCACGCACGTGATCTACGGCACCCTTAACGGTCAAATGCATCGGAGCGGTGGCCAAGGCGGGAGCTCGTCATGCAGCCAGATCATTAGAATTTAAATATTGATGTTTTAATTTCATGTCATTCCAGAGGGGAATTTTGAGTATGTAGAGTGTGCATTTCATATAACAAACATAAATTTAATAAACTTTTTTTTAATTTTTTTTATTTTGCGCTCTATCCATCAGATGGCACCCCAGGCGGCCGCCTGTGTCGCCTGTCGGCAAAGCCGACCCTTAATCCCCAACACGGTTCCATTATTTTCAATATTTACATCATTGAGTCGATATTTCAGCGTGTCTCTGCATCCAAACCAACCCAGCGTTTATAAACACCCTTAATCTCATTTGTACTCCACTCCTACAGCGGATTCAATGTTTCTTGTGTCACTGAGCAAATGGTTAACAATAGAGTCACGGGTTATTTGGCTGGAGATTGCTCCGCTTTTGTAAGATCAGACCACATTCCTCATTTGACTCGCATCTTAAAAGGAAGAGATGTAATTGTGGTGGGACAGAAAATTCTGTAGGGCAGAGATGAGAGGGTAATAACATCATCCCTGATCTGAACTACGCAGAGATGCAAAGTAAAAAAAATCACGTTTAATTAGTTATGTGGAGCTCTAGCTACATAGAGCTGCCTGGTGGGATTATTAACAGGAACCGTTTGGATCTGGAAGGCCTCGTTTCCTTAATCGACTTAATCTCTGAACAATAACAGCATTTATGAATGCAGACACATGCTCGGCTCCTTCTAATGACCAGAACGGGGATTGTGCGAATGTTTGCGCCTAAGTCAGGCGTGAAGCGGATTGGTATTTTTCTTGGCTCTGTGGTCCGGTCAGATCAAGGCTGCCATAAGACCCGGAGTCTGACAGCTTCAGCTGTGATCTGGACCTTGTGATGAGTTCATAACTAAAGCTGACTCTCACTCAGGTGGGCCTGGTGTTTGATCCTCTGTTTGATGAGGTGTCGGAAGATTTCCTTTTAGTCGTCATCAACCTGAAATTTTTCCTAAACAATCGTTTTATAAAACTAATATAACTAAATCTACACATGGAAACGATAATCTAGTGTAAAAATATTTAAAATAATATACTTCTGTAAATAAATGTGAATTTCCAAACAGGGTCACTACCCCATGCCCAAGTCATCAAGGGGAAATTTACAAATATTAGAAAATTCCTGGATGCACAGAAATAGAAACACTCATGGCTACCAGCTAGGATTGGCGAGTCACGCAGCGGCCATCTTGCTCAGTGCTACTTGTAGCATTGTTTACCTCGCATTAGTGCCATCTGCATGATCTGTAAATAAACTTATAGAAATAAACATATTTTACTTCAACAAACATATCTTAAATATTGTGAAACCTATAGACAATAATTAGCCATAATAATCTTCCCAAAAGGCCTTTAATCATTTTTATGTAGAAATTTCTTCCCACATAACAATTCATCAAAGTGCAACAATCAAAGACAATTAAAATGATGTAAAATTTAAAGGTGTGATTGACTGAAAAAAAAAACATGTTTAATGATTATTCTTGATTCTAATGGGTCACTCTGAGTTTTTCCATGCAGGCTGAACATGAAAATAGTCTCCTACACTTATCTCCCCCATTAGCTTCTGATAGAAAACAGACGATGACTCTGCAGGATTAGAAAAGTCTGACAGATCTACGTCACACATTCATGGATTCCTGCATCTTCACTCCTGACTGGTGTAGGGTTGGCAAATTGAGTGCTTTAAGAGCTCAAGATGAATATTACCTCTACTTATGACCAATAAGCTGTGATACTCTATTTAAATATAGAATATCAACCCTGCTTGGTCTTTACGGTGTAAGAATTTATTTTACAAATAATTAAAACATGACAAGTTAACTAAGCGTTTACTGTGAGTGGATGGAGCGAGATGTGATGTAGGAACCTATGTGTGAAAGGTGTTAGTCAGAACTTCACTAGTAAAGCTGAGTTCTGGATGTAAAAGAATTTGGTTTGCGTTAAGCTATGGAGTTGGTTATTATCAAAACACATCAGACACTATCTGTGTGTCTACATACCCACTCGAAGACCCTCGTGATAGATCCGGAATGTCGAAGTCCTCGGACTTCCAGGCACCAAGG